AGAATGACAATGACATTGATGCCCACCAGAAGGGGACCCCCAGTTTCCATGTCCCCTCTTCAGACAAAAGACTGTTTGTCTGTTTGGGGATCATCCCTTCCTCATCCTCAGCCCAAGTTGGGGGAGGCTCCATCTTGGCTTCAAAGGTGGACCATGTGACTCAGGTCTTAGTTGACCACTGTAGTTATCTCATCCTTGTGGCATGTGATTGGTGCGTGTAGGGGAGTGTCACATCGACTGACTGGGCAGCACGAGCCACAAAGGAATGGGGGAGGAGGAATGGGAGTTTCTTACCTCATAGGGTATTGACCAGTTTTTATGGCAATGCTCAGTTCTTCACTCAGACTATTGAGTCTGTTCTCTGTCTTACCAATTTCCTCTTTTTTAATTTAATTTAATTAATTTATTTATTTGTGGTTCTGGAGTTTGAACTTGGGCCCACCACCTTGAACCACTCCATCAGCCCTTTTTTGTGATGATTTTTCTTTTGAGATAGGGTTTTTCAAACTGTTTGCCTGGGCTGACTTTGAACCATGATTTTTCTTGATCTCTGCCTCCTGAGTAGCTAGGATTGTAGGCGTGAGCCACTGGCACCAGCACTAATTCCCTCTTAATTAACAAATAAAATACTTAACTGTGTTCACTTTATAACTATACATAACTTAGACTTTGACATGCATTTATTATTACTTAGGGAAAATAATACAGTAGTTTCCCCTTATCTGTGGTTTCACTTTGTACCACTTCAGTCACCCATGGTCATCTGTAGTCTGAAAACATACAGAAGATTCTAGAAATAAACAATTTTTTTTTTTTGCGGTACTGTTTCTTGAACTCAGGGCCTACACCTTGGGCCACTCCACCAGCCCTTTTTTGTGAAGGGTTTTTTGGAGATAGGGTCTTGTGGAACTGTTTGCCCAGGCTGACTTCAAACGGCGGTCTTCCTGATCTCTGCCTCTTGAGTAGCTAGGATTACAGGTGTGAGCCCCAGCGCCCTGCTAGAAATAAAAAATTCTTAAGTTTTAAATTCACACAGTTCTAAGTAGCAACATAAAATCTTACCCTGTCCTGCTCCATCCAGCCTTGGACATGAACCATAACTTTGTGGATCATACTGTTGTAAGTTTCTATAGTCTCTGACCAGAAGATTACCAAATTCTGTGTCCCTCGTGGAAGCATCCAGGCAGAATACATGAATGTAGTAAGGGAGGTGTTAGAATTAAATGTTAGGAAAGGCAACACAGAAAGCATGGTGGTCCCATCTGGCCAGGTGGGCCAGGTAGATGAAAGCAGCAGGAAGCAGAGAGGGAGCTCTGTTTCAAGGTGTTTTGAACTGCAATGACATGTGGGTGGGGAAAGATTTGGGCAGTTCCTGATAAACAGTAACCCACAGTGGGGAAGGATTTGGGTGGCCCCTAGGCTAGGGTGATGGATCACTGTGCATATTTGCAACTGAGAAGGTGCGCTGGTAGCTATTATTTTTTTTGACCCACAGGTAGGAAAATCTTTATATTGTCCTTCCAATGATGGTATTCTCAGAATAGAGGACAAAATTTGAATGTAAGAGAAAATTATTCCAGAGACAGGAACTCTATCAAATACACAAACTGAAACAATTAATCAGGATGTTATCGATGAAGGTACCAGAATAGGTCAGCTTGATGATTTGAGGAAACTCACAGAAGTGTGGAATGCCTAAGTTTGTGTGGAATGACAGCTGCAGTACATCAGGCTGTGCAGTAAGGCCTCTGTAATGCGAAGAAACAGACCAGGACCAGCATGATAAGAGGCAGGTTCATGATGACAGTGTGCCTCAAGGGATGACAAATAGCCACATAAAGGTCATAAGCCATTACTGCAAGGAAAAGATTTTCTAAGCATGTAAAGACCATGACAGAGCAGACCTGAGTGATGCAGCCTGTGTAAGAGATGCTCAGATCATGTGCTTCGATATTTGTCAGCATCTTTGGGGCTGTGCTGTGCTCAAGCAAATGTCACTAAGGAGCAGACTAGACAGGAAAGAGTACACGGGTGTGTGGAGGTTGGAGTCAGAGCTGATAGCCAGGAGGATGAACAGGTTTCCCAGGATGGTCACAAGGTACATGGATAAGAACAGGCTGTAGATGAGGGGCTGCAGTTCATGGTCATCTCTAATTCCCAGGAGAAAGAATTCTGAAACAGCTGTTTGGTTTATTTTCTCCATGTTGCAGTGAGTCTTCTGGTGTCTGAGTGTAGACTTCAGTGCTGATGCTAGAAAGCTTCTGCCTCAGGACCCCAGGGTCCCAGTTAGGAGGGTAGTGTTGATCTATACCACTGAAAGGCATTATTTTTTCTCCAGTTACCGCCCTGTGGCCTTTTCTTCTCAAAGGGTCTGCAGTAACTTCCACTGAGGTAACTTTCATTGCAGGAAGACAGCTACCCATTTGTGCAGATAAAGACGTGTAGTAAATTCAACTCAAGCCTGGGCCACAAAGTGAGGTCATGTTGTCAGGGTGGGAGTGAATTCAAGTGAGCCTGTGTGTCACGGGGTGTTGAGGGGCACCCTGGACTGCAGAGTGAGTTGAAGGCATAAAGACCCAAGAGTCTTGTGGCCACACTGTATGCCCTAGGTCACTGCAATTTAAGGTTGCTGAGAAGAATGGAATCCCATAATTCTGCTGTGCATAGGTTTGTCATTTAGACTTGAAGTACCTGTTCACTTTCCTGATGCACAGGTTACCTGAGATGACTTCCCCACAAGACGGGCAGTATCCTCCTGGTCCTTCCTGCTCTGTTGCCTGTGCTGCCTTAGCAACAGCTTTTTTTTTTTTTGAAAGAGAGAGGAAATGTTCAATCTGAAATGCAAATCATGTATGTTTAAGAGTCCCAATCTTTTCTTATTTCTAGCCAATACCACACTGTATGCGCTGCCCACCTGTTAGTCACTTAACAACCATCTCAGATGACTGTCAGGGTGTTGCAGTACTTGTGTACAACTGATTTTACTTACTGCTCCAAAGTACAAGAGTAGTAATGCTGACAATTTCATTATATTGTTATACTTTTATAATTATTGTAATATCTTACTACGCCTAATTTATAAGTTAAACATTGTCGTAGTTATTTATAGGGAAAAGTGTATATAGGTATCGGTTTAGTACTGTCTGTAAGTTCAGATATCTACTGGGGGCCTTGGAACTTGGCCTCAAAGGATAAAGGGGACACCAGAGTGGTACTCCCTTTTACACTCAGGGCACAATTACAGAGACATCTCAAACCTTCAGGAATTGAGCCTTTTGGCAGGTGGACTGGATAATAAGTAAAATATAACAGGAGCCCCCTCTCAGGAGCCTTCTTTGCCTCCCATAGTCAGTTGGGGCCCTCCCTGTCCTTCCACAATGCCATTACCTTCCCTGTCTCATTGTCCCTGGCATCTGCAATGTATTGGATCCTCTCTTTTGAAGTTCTGTCTCTCTCACCAGACCTTGAGCTCCTAGAGGTGGTAACTGAGTCTTCTTAGTCTTTTCATCACAGCCCCCAGCATCTCTGTGACCTCCATGCTCTCTGTGGATGAGTGAGGCCCCACAGAGGCCAGGGGCCCCTCTTCTCACACACAGGATGCCCTCCTTCTCTGGCCACCTGTGGCAGCCTCTATTATGTTCTTAGATTTGTTACTTCTCCCATCATAGGTTGCTGGTGGTGTGCGTGCGTGCGTGCAGGGCCGGCCCTTCATTTGTCCATACAGTCCTGCTTCACCTTAGGCCCCAGGAGGCCACAGAGCAGGATGGGATAACAAGGTTGGCTGTGTGGGACAGGTCCAAAGCTTTGCCCTTTGCCGCTAGTCTTGTGTATCTGTTGGCGTTGTCATGGCTGGACATCAAAGCTACAATAATCACTTCAGGGTCAGTGACCAGAGTCCATTTTGCATTGGCATATCTTGTTATTCCTGACTGTTCATACAATCCTCTTCTCACTGAGGCACACTTACTAATGGGCATGGCTTTGAACCTGTCCTCCTGATCCCTGCCTCCCAAGTAGCTAGGATTACAGCTTGAGCCACCGACAACCAGCCTATAGTGTTACAAATGTTTAAATTAAAAAGTGAGTTGATTTAAGGGAAAGGTTAAATAACTATATAGGTATGTGTACATTTAACAAAAATTGTGACACATTACTTAAATCACATAAAATTAGTCTTTAGTGGAATAGGGCTTAATTTAGATGTGGTTTAGCCTACGTGAAATAAGGCCGGGGTCAGTTAATGAGCACCACTCTCTACCCCAAATCATGTGCAAAAATCACACAGAGGGAGTATTTTTCTTAGGGTAGTGCCAAACATCCTCAAATTCTCAAAGGAGTCTGTGACCCCTAAATGTCACAAATGTCATGATTTCTGCCATTCACCTCATTTCATTCTGTTTCCTTTCCTCACCAGAGTGTCTTCAGTCACAAAGAAACACTAATGACTCATTTGCCAGGAACCTTGGCTAAAGGAAGCCTACATTCTAGACATGAGACTCAAGGTCTGCTTCCTAAAGACACCAATCTGCGTCTCACTAAACCTGAATAAACTGGCATCTGGCTCACTATGTGAAGTTGGTCAGTGCAGTTCTGTCCCATGTGGTCTGGCCAAGGTTTTGAACTTCTTTGGGGGGTGGTAGTACTGGGATTTGAACTCAGGGCCTCACACCTGCCAGGAAGGCTCTTTACCACTTGAGCCATGCCAGCCCAAAGTTTTAAAACTTCAAAGCTGAATACCAATTGTGGACCTCCAGTGTCTCTTTGATGGTTTGACCTCTCTTTCCTGAGAGCTGAGGCAGAACTGTGACTCACGTTTGGATTTTATCCCTAGTGCCTCACTCAGGGGCTGCCACAGGTACCCAGGCCAGAGACATCTATGCATTACATGCATGAAACAAAGTGACTTACCCACAGAAGGGGAGGGGGACACAATGTGGCATATCAACAGTGTGGACAATGTGTGTGCCTGGTAGCATTTCCCTGGGCGAGTGACACAGGAAGTTAGCCAAGAATTTGACAGCAGCTCTGTTTTAATGCATTTTAATCCAGAACACAAAGCAAAGTTCAGGCAGTTCCCTCCATGCTAATACAGTTGTAAATAATGGCTTTTTCCTTCCCAAACAGGCAACATACAAAAGTGTATCAGAGAGATAAGACATTTCAAGCTCTTTTTAAAAGAAACCACTCTGAAAGCCAGTAGTATTGTTGCAGTTTATGCTAGTGTGGTGGTGTTGGTTTTTTGCAGTGCTGAGGATGGAGCCCAGGGTCCTGCACATAGTGGGCAAGCCTTCTGCCACTGAGCTACCTCCCCAGCCTGGGGTGCAGTTTAAAAAGGGCTTTCTGCGTTAGCTTCACCTGGCCAACCTGCACTGTCTGTCAATACAAATTCTGGGACTTTCTTAAGCAACAGATTTGTAGGTGGGATGTCTCGTTTGGGACTTGCAGTGTGCAAGTGTTGTTTTTCTTGGCTTTCTTATGGATCCTGGTAGGTTTTCTGGCACTGGATAAGGAAGGAAGCCGACATGGTTCTCTATGAGCTCTTCTGAGGCACCTTGATTGTGACCTGTAAGAGGGTTCAGAGAAACAGTTAAATCTTCATGCTTCCTGGTGCACGCAGGTACATGAGCAAGGTGCTGCCAGTGTGACAGAAAGGCCTTCTCCTCTAACATCTCAGCCAGCCAATCGCAGGAATCACCAGGACTGTCCTCTGTGGGAGGTCACACCCTGATCCCCTTAGTCCAGTGATTCTCAACCAAAGGCAATCAAGCTTCCCGGGGACATTTGGCAATGTCTGGAGACAATTTGGGTTGTCACAGATGGGTGGCAGTACTTACATCTCGTGGGCTGAGATAAGGGATGCTGATTAGCATCCTACATTGCATAGAGCAGCCCCCCACTACAAAGAATCATCCAACCCCAAGTAGTGTCACCAAAACAGAGAAATGCAGATCTATGTCCATAATTTCCTCTGCAAGAATCAAAGTGAGGAAAAACTAACATGCATAAGCTTGCAGGTGTCTCAGTATGTTAAATGGGAAGATTCCAGATTCAGATGGGATTGGGTTGAATCCCAGCTCTGCCCTCTAGCTGGGCAAGCTTCTCACCTTGGTCAACTTGTTTCCTTATCTGTAAAATGGGGGTAGGAACACTACCTCCAGTTAGGTGTTGGGGCTTGCTTTCTTCAATTTTTAAACAGCTTTAGTAAAATACAGTTTATACATCAGAAAGTATGTATAAAGTAAACAGGACTTATAGCATATTTAGAGTTGTGTAACCTCACCATACTTTAACCTTAGAACATTTTTTATCATCTCCAAAAGAAACCTCACTGTTCCTCACGCCCTCCTTCCAGTTCCTAGGCAAATCAAAAGACTCTTGTCTTTTGATTCAGCAGAGCAATCTTTTAAAAATGCAAACTAAGTCACTTTACTTTCCCACTTCAAACGGTTCCACAGCTTCCCAAGGTTCTTACGAAAGAGACCAAACTCTACATCAAGAGGATGAGGCCCCATGTGCTCTGGCCTCCACACTCCTCCTGAAACACTATCTTCTATCAGCACTTTCCCTGAAATTCCCAGAAGAGTCTTGTTTCTTGATGCCAAAGTGTTTCCATAAACCATGCTCTTTGTCTACATTGATCTTCCCTTCTTCCTGCACTACTTAACCTCCATATCATCCAGCTGGTGTCAGCTTTAATACCACCTTGTCCTGTAGGACCTTTGTGTGTATGCTCAACATTAATCACATTCCAAGAGTTAAGACCCTCCGTCATCTCCCCAACCCAGTGCAAGCTTCCTGCCTACCTGGTCACCTGGCTGCGTACATGCATCTTGTATGAAGTTTGTACACTGGGATCTGGATGGATGCATGCAGGAAGCCAGCCTGGCTGTGAGCTCACCTTTGTTATGCCTGTATGGTAGGAGCCAGGAACTCACTGCTCTGTTACATCTGCTCTTGTATATGTTAGGAAATTTCACAGTAAACCAGCAGACACATTTGTCTTATTCCAGTGAGCTTCTCGAAAGCATAGGTTGTCTTTTTGGTCTTGGTCTTAGGCTTGGCACTGCTGGGTGGACTAAAGCCCCTCTTTGCCTTTTCTCCTCCCAGAAATTTGCTTCAACCCCACAGCTGGGCATTTACATTACCTTTGATTTTTTTTCTCTCCTTTTTTTTTTTTTTCTTTTCTTTTTGGCAGTACTGGGGTTTGAACTCAAGGTCTCACGCTTACTAGGCAGGTTCTTTTACCACTTCAGCCACTCCACCAGCCCTTTTTCTGTATTGGGTATTTATGAGGTAGGGTCTCATAAACTATTTGACAGGGCTGGTCTTGAATGGTGATCCTCCTGATCTCTGCCTCCCAAGTAGCTAGGATTATAGGTGTGAGCTACCAGCACCCAGCTGATGACTTTTTTCCCTTAGAGAGAGTGTTGTCATGATTACTCATGGTACTACCACTTTCTTTGTATTTCTGATTAGTTCCTCAGCTATATTCCTGTCAGTGAAATTGCAAAATCAAATTGTGAATGGATATAGTGTAGCCCTGGGTATTTAATACCTGCTGGTTTGATTTTTACTAGACATTTTCCTCGCTGCTTCTGACCACTGGAGTCATTCCTTCTGCTCAGATTGACTAGTCGTTGGTCTGAAACAAGGCCAATAAGTAACTGTGTAGGCCTGGAGTAGTCAAGACCCTAGAGACTGGGTCTTAACCTCTTTTGTGGCTTCTCTGACTTGAAAAGAGAAACTTGTAATAAACAGTGATGCCCTCCAGCCTGAGGGAGGGGCCAAGGAGATGCAAGGAATCCCATGGGCTCCAGTACTCACCGTCTTCACTTCAGTGTATGCCTGCAGACCATACTCGCCCAGCTCTCGGCCACTCCCAGACATCTTGTAGCCACCAAATGGGGATTGGGCCCCAAATACATCATAGCAGTTGACCCTGTAATTTGAAATGAGAATTCAGAGACCACTGTAAGGGACATGTGTTCTAACCCTACTGTCCCCTGAATGGCTTTAAAATCTTACTGAGGAAAAATGAATGGGTGGGACCATGGTCATACCCAACCATGGACGAAGGCCAAAGTAAACCTCATGAGACAGACGAGTACTATGTCATCTTCGTCCTTTATGATGTCACAAGCCATATCAATAACAGTACACCAAGTGACAGCTTCTGATGTGAACTAATCATTTTGACTGATTAGGTGCTAGGCTTTCCTTTCTGTCTCCTCTTTCAACTTAAAAACCGCATTTAAAATTCAGTTTTAAATTTTAAAGTATTCAGCTCAGTGGTTTGTGGCATAGTCACAAGGTTTTACAATCACTGCTGTCACATTCTAGAATACTTCTCTTACCCTAAAAAGAAGCCTTGTACCCAATAAACAGCTTCACCCTATCCCCTCCTCCATCTGAGTTACTTCCACCTTCGGCCTGTTATGACTAATGCTGCTATGCACACTTGTATGCATGCTTTTGTGTGAATGTGTTTTATTTCCCACGGTGACTCTGTTGGACTGTCTGAGGAACTGCCAGGCCCTTTTCCCCAACAAATGTACCATTTTTCACTCTCACCAGGTCTTTATGAGGGTCCCATTTCTTCACATGCTTGCCATTCTGGTTTTCTTTGTTTTTTGCTTTTTAACTAATAGCCATCCTAGTGGGTATGAAGCAGTGCTAAGCTTTTGTGTGTGCCCATGTCACAACTAGGTGAAGTGGCTGGTCACCCACTTGGCACCCAAGGAGAGCCACAGGGCATCTATACTTGCAGAGGAGCTCTCTCTCCTAGAGGGGAGATGGCTAGAAACCTCCTGACTCAGGGGAAACTGAGCCTAGCACCCCAAGTTTTGGGATTCCAGAAGACCCTGGCTTTGGGAAATTTTGAGGGTTAGAGGCTGCTGGGAGCGTCTTACCACACAGTGCCAGCCTGGAGGGCTTGGGATAGATAATTGGCCTTGTCTAAGTCCTTTGTGAAGACAGCTGCGGCCAGCCCATACTTGGAATTGTTGGCTCTGCCAACAACCTCCTCTATGGTCTTGAACTTCAGAATCTGCATCACTGGCCCAAAGATCTGGGAAGACAAAGCAGAGTAGGGTGGGGCAAGGTGGAAGCACCTGATCCCCAGCCTTCAGTGCTGAGCAGGTGATGGCAGATGCAGGGCAAGTTCCCACATATTATTTAGCTGTTGCAGAGCCAGATGGCAGCCACTAAGCTCACTGAAACACAAAGACAACAGACTACCTTCTACATACCCCATGCTTTACACACAGTATCTTATTTCTAATCCTGCACAGCTGGGGGTAGACTGTCATACGCACATGTGACATGTGGATTTAATGTCAAAGAATTTAAGCCAGTCATTCGTGAAATTTAATCTAGGTGCAAAGCACAGCACATTGAGGACACAAGTAGAAACAACATATGACCTCTGCTCTCAAGACAGCCCAGGTTTATCTTGCACTTTCCCTGCACTATTCCCAGGATGGGAGCTGTGGTTCCTTTTGTGGAGAATGAAATTTAGATACCAACACATACACCTTAGTTGTGCTTGCTGCCATTGAGGTGTTGCTGCATTCAGATCCTTCCTGGGGAAACCCCTGGAGGGGACATGACTGTAACTGACCTCATTATAACCAGCTGACCATACTGCACTTACTGCAGTATGGAAGCCTGGGCCTAACTGAAAGCTGGAGAGGGGGGTGCCAGGAAGATTTGGCAGAAGGGACAGTTCAACTGGGATGTAACAAGAGCAGAATGGGCAAAGTGGGATGGGGTGAGGGGCAGAGAGAGTCCCGGGCATGAGCACACTGGGCATCCTTTCTCACTAAGTCCCATTTTCCACTAAGAGAAACCAGGACTCCTTAAGGAAATGGCTGATTCCAGGAAGGGACAGTATAAAGACGGATGGAAGCCAGGTGCTGGTGGCTCACACCTATAATCCTAGCTACTGAGGCTGAGATGGGGGGGAGGGGGGCTTGAGGCCAACTCAGGCAAATAGTTCACAAGATTCCATCTCCAAAATAGTAACCAGAGCAAAATGGACTGGAGGCTCAAGAAGTAGAGTGCTTGCTTTGCAAGTGCAAAACCCTGAGTTCAATCCCCAGTCCCACCAAAAAAAAAAAAGATGGAGGTGGACAAAATAGTCAAGAACTCTTGTTGTTGTTCTAGATGTTCTAGAGACTGTGAGCTTCTGGCACTAGCAAAGCACAGGCAGCCCCTGCCCATCCAGAGAACTGGCATCTGAGATTTAAAAAAAGAAAAAGTATCAAAGCAGTCATGATGGGGAAAAGGCAGATCTCTGCTGAACTTTCTTATCCTGGTTTTGATTTTAATATTATTTGATTTTAACAAATCCATGAAAGGGGGGTGGCATGATGGTTTCCCCATATGGGACCACTCAAGGGCTTTATCTAGCTGGGGGAAGTGGAGCAAGTCTGAGGGTAGAGGCAGGTCTTAGGTTCTGCTGCATCTCCAGGTCACAGTCAGGGTCTATTGTGACCTGGCACATAGCAGGTATTCACTGTGAAGTGCACAGGTGACCCAAGTAGGCAGAACTGCTGTTCTACAGCCACAGTGAGCACTGAGTGAAGAATATCAGAGCAATCTCATCAGATGAGGAGTCAGCCATGGTCTAATCCAATGTCCTGCTTGTGTCAAGGCCACAGGAAGGGCCAGGAGGCATCATTTGTAGACTCATCGCCTACAGAGACCAGAACACAAAGGCCTGTGGGACATCCTGGAGAATTCAGGCATTCTCTCACACAGCTGGTGATGTAACAGGCTGACAAGGAGAGGGCAGTATCAGATGCTAATGATCACAACTTGTTCTAGGCACAGAGCTGGTCTTAAGCCAGTGTAGGGGTCACAGCATCAAGCCACCATACCAAATCATGCACCTCTCCCTCTCTTAAGAGCATCCCCCAGCGCCCGCCCAGCTGCTAACCTCCTCCTTCGCAATGGTCATGCCATCTTGCACATCTCCAAACACAGTGGGCTGGATGAAGTAGCCACGGTCAGCAGCGGCCTCTCCACCACACAGCAGCTTTGCCCCCTCTTGCTTCCCGGATTTAATATAACCAAGAATCTTCTTAAACTGAGTTTCATCCACCTGTGGGAGAGGAAGCCCAGAGTAGAGATTCAGGCCTCTTCTAGGTGTTCTGCTGAGAACCACACAGGCAATGAAGGAGCCGGGAAATGGGCCAAGGTCTTAAATAAGCAAGGGCTGAACAGGAAATACGCAAGGTCAAGAAACATCATACATGAGAGGATCAACCTCAAAAGCCATCAGAAAAATGCCTATCGAGTCCACTGTTTTGCCAGGGTGTGGTGGCACATGCCTGAGCTGAGGTTCTAGCACTTTGGAGGTGGAGGCAGGAGTTGAAAGCCAGCCTGGGCTACATAGCAAGACCCTAACTCAGAACAATGAAGAAGAAGAAGCCCATAGTTTTTCTTTTTCAACTGTGAGATTAGCAAAATTTTAAAATAATAAGCTACTATGACGGTTTGGAGTGTAGCTCACTCATAGAGGACGAGCTTAGCATGCATAAGGCTCTGGGTTTGATCCTCATCGTCAAAGGGAAGAGAATACATTAACATGAGTATATCCCATACACAGAAGAACTGTGAACTGGTTCAGTTCTTACAAGTGGTTTATTAATACAGGTGCTCATATCCTCTGACCCATTTCTTTCACTTCCAGGAATTTATTGTACATATGCACAAAGAACCAAAAGAGACTCTTCACTGGGGAGTATTTTGTAATAGTAAAATAAGGACGCAATTCCCGGTATAAATCAGTAAAGGATCTGGTTAAAATAATTGTGGTATGCTCATATATTATGCCTGACACTGACATGAAGATATGCTATAAAAAGAAAAGGCTTATAAGACAATGTGTATTACATAATCTTTTCTTCATTACTGTTAAGCATACAACAAATAACTCCAGACCTCTATGTGTGTGTTCACCTATGGAAAATAGACATAAGAGAAGCAGGGGTCTTATTTTTTTTTGCTAAAAAAACACTATTAATTACCTTAATAACTACAAAGGAAAACAAGGGTGAGAAAGTATACACAAAAACCAGAAGAAGGGAAACAACCCAAGTGTCCATCAATTGAAGGATGGAAAAATAAAATGCAACCTATCCACAGTGGACTATGATTCAGCCACAAAAAAAGAATTGAGTACAACATAGATGAACCTTGAAGACATTCTGCTGAGTGAAGGAGGCCAGCCACAGAGGGCCGCATATTGTATAATTCCATTCATATAAGACACCCACTACAGGCAAATCCATAAAGCGCATGTAGATTGGTGGTTGCCAGGGTCTAGGGGAGAGGAGCATTGGGAGTGACTGCTTTTAGGTGCAGGGTGTTTTTTGGAGGCTGATGAATATGTTTTGGAAATAATGGTGAAGGTTGCACAACCCTGTGAATACATTAAAAGCCAATGATTTGTACACCTAAAACAGTACAGTTTATGGTATGTAAATGGTATCTCCATAAAGGTGTTAGAAGTTGAGCTTGTAACCCCATCCCATGGTGAGGCCAGTCCATCTTCAGATGCGTGGCTGTGGCTCGTCTACCGATCTATGAGACCTCTGAAATGTGGGAAACAGACAGCAACTGGGATCTTGTGCTCACCCCAGTAGGCACATAGCTGGTATGTGGCAAAGGTAAGACTCAAACCCAGCCCCACCTGACTCTGAGCCAGTGCCCTTTTTGCTTCCCCATACTGTCTCTGGACTCCCAGGCCCACCTGAAGCTGCCTGACTTACCTGTGGCCCCTGCTCAGTCTGGCTGTCAAAGGGGTTTCCGACTACCCGAGACTTGGCCCGGGCAACACTCCGTTCCACAAACTCTCGTACACATTTTCCTGCACAAAGGTCCGGGAGCCAGCGCAACAGCACTGGCCCTGGTTGAAGAACAGGGCGAAGTGGGCCTGTTCCACAGCCCAGTCCACTGTGAGGAAGGGACAGGGGACAGAAAGGTGACCCCAAGAACAGAAGAATGATCCTGGCCCCAGCAAGGTCTACCCATGTAACCCATTTACCCCACTATCAGGGGTAGTGTCTGCTGGGTGCCAAAACCTGAGCCACACAAAACAGAGCTATCTCTCCCTCTTTGGAGCATGGGGACTGGGCAGGGGGACAGGCAGTAAGGACAGGCAAGAAGAGGAATATTCCTTGGAGAGGGAAAGTCCAAGGGCTTCTTGGCAAGACCAGGAGAAAGGGTATGACTGAGGCAGAGCAGCGTAGTCCAAGAGCCGAGGTTGGAACAAAGGTGAGGAAGAGGCTGCAGAGCACAGAGCCCTGAAGCTGATCCTGTGGGAGGCTGAGGACAGTGTGGGTGAGCAGCTGCCTTCACCACAGGCCCACAGCTTACTATCAGCATCTGACATGATGATGTTGGGACTCTTGCCCCCCAGCTCCAGGGTCACTCTCTTGAGATTGCTGCTCCCTGCAGCAACCTGGATCAGATGGCCAACCTGGGGGTCACAGAAACAGACAAGCCACAGAATTCCAGGAGCTCCTCCCCAATAGAGTAGCTTGGGCCCACCACATGTGACTGTGAGGTCTGGGGACCACTTACCTCTGTGGACCCTGTGAATGCTACTTTGTCCACATCCTCGTGGGAGGCAATAGCAGCCCCAGCGGTGGGGCCATACCCAGGAACAATGTTGACCACACCAGGAGGAAAGCCGGCCTGTAAACAAAAGCCAGAGGACACTGGGAGTCATCCTCCTGTCCCATGGCCTGGATTGGAGAAAACACATCCCTTCCCAGAGAGGCCGAGAGAATTTGCTGAGGACACGTGAGCTTTTGTTTTGTTTTGTTCTTTTTTGAAACGTATAGCTCAGGCTCGCCTTGAATTCTCAATCCTCCTGCCTCTGACTCCAGAATACTAGGATCAGGTGTGCACCACAACACTCAGCCAGAAACCAGCTTTATAGGGGATTGCCCAGAACTTTAAATGGTTTAAATAAGGAGCCTGTTTGTGGGGTTCCCTGTGGGCAATTCGCAACTCACTTAGAAAATGGTTTTCATTCTTCAGAAGGGGACCATGCTGTGGAGCCTGATGTGGAAAACAGTAAACAGGAAGCCTCTCTGGTTTAAGGATGGGGAGGAAGGACTCTACAAACCCTCTGTTTTGAGGCTCCTTCTCAGAACTTTCTAGAATAAGCTTATGCAAGGGCACTTAGAGGTCAAGGTGGAAGTGAACCACGTACCTCCTTGACCAAGTTGGCCACGTAGAGAGCAGTGAGAGGCGTCTGCTCAGCGACCTTCATCACAACCACGTTCCCAGTTGCCAAGGCTGGGCCCAGTTTCCATGCTTGCATCAGGAGCGGGAAGTTCCACTGTACAAAACAGCCACCCCGACCCCCAAGTTCTCATCAGAGAGCTACACCAGGAGGCAGGGAGTGCCACCTCTGAGGCCAGAAGCAGCACCAAGTCCTCTGAAGCCATGTGTCCCGTAACTCCAGCATAGGTTTAAGACAGATGGACAAAGCAGGTGGTGGATGAGGATGACAGTGACTAAACACTAATCAGCACTTCAGATGGAAAAACTGAGGCTTAGGAGGTTAAGAGACTTGTTCAATGTCCCAAGTTCACAGGTGGCAAGACTCAGACTTGAACCTAGGTCAGCTTGACAAAGCCCATATTCTCAGCTGCCACCTAGCTACTTTCCAGTGCCACCTGTGGAACCCACTCTTTATAATTTATACTGAGACTGACTGGGATCAGAGTCTCACATCCCTCCCACCACACCCTCTTTTTCTTTTTTCCTTTCTTTTTTTGAGACAGGATCTTGCTTATGTAGCTTTAGTTAGCCTCAAATTTACTACATAGCCCAGGCTGGCCTTGACCCTCCAACCTACCTCTACCTCCTGGGTGCTGGGATTACAGACATGTGCCACCATGTCTGGCTAACACCCCAGCCCCTTGATGACCTCCAGAGGGGCTGGCACTCACCGGAATAATCTGCCCACACACCCCCACAGGCTCATGGCGGGTGTAGCTGAAGAAGTCTCCATCAATGGGAATGGTTTTCCCATGGTACTTATCGGCCCAGCCAGCATAATAACTTTGAAAAAAGAAAGTCCAAGCTTTAGTGAACATAGGGTCAACTGGGTCTTTCTGATAACTGCCCTTGCATCTGGCTTATTCCCAGCAAGACTTGCACAACTGCCAAGGACAGTGACCCATTGTGTATAACCTGGAACATGGGTTTATAAACCTGGGGCAGGGAAAACAGCCAGGGAGTTGCTGATTTATTGCAGTTCAGTCCTGACTGCCCCCTGCCTCCACATCTCCATAAATATGGTCAACACTGCATCTGGTTTGTTAGGCCCAGATGGGATTTTCAGTCAGCACACAGGAAGAATGCTAAGCTCTAAAAGGAATGAGGCTCTGCCCAGCAGTCACCAGGAGGCGCTCTGGAGTGGCCCTGCACCCAAGAAGCCTCAGCACTATTGACAGTGAGTGCTGAAAAATTCCTCGTTACAGGGTTTGTCCTGTGCCCTGCAGGATTATAAGCAGCTTCCCTAGCCTTTTCCCACTAGGTGCCAGTAGCACCCTGCAGTGGTGACAACCAAAAATGTCTCTGGAATGCCCTATCTCCTGGGGGGACATGATGGCCCTGGCAGGGCACCACTGCCTCCTCCCTACCACCTGGTAGGGAGGTCACATGTCCCAGAGGAGCAACCACTCTGCCGACAGCTGCTCAGACTCAACCAGCCAATGGCAGTCCTTTCCCCAGGAACATGGCATTAGGACTAAGAGACTGCAGCTTAGTCAGGCAGCACGAGGAGCCAGGTTCCAGCACAAAGGTGGCCTGGAAGGAGGCCACATGTAGCAAGAGAAGAACGAAGTACGGGAATGTGGGGTGAGCGAGACTCAAATGCCTTTTGTTGAGACCCGTGTGCTCTCTAGATTGTGTACATTGGGCTGAGTTTCTGTTACCTACAACACCAAGGGCGCTAATAAAGACTCTTTTCCACAGTCATTAAGCTGTTTCTGATTAAACTAAACCTGGAGCTGGCAGAGAAATAAAAATAGAGAACAGAAAATCAGCAGAATCAACAAAGCAATGAACAAGCCTTTAGCTGGACTAAGAAACAAGGAGAAGATGCAAATAACTAAAATCAGAGATGAAAGTGGTGACATTACTACCACCCTACAGGGTAGAAAGGATCTGAAGAGAAAGCTATAAGCAGCTGTAGACCCAACAAATTAGGTAACCCAGATAAAATGGACAGGTCTCAAAGACACATTAGTTACCAAAAATGACTCCAAGAAAGAGAAGGTATTGATGACTAAGTTACAGTTGTGGATTCTGAGGGATTTTCCCAAGAGAGATGGAGTCTACATGAAGCAGACTTCTCCATGTGATCCTTTGGCATTTTTGTAATTCTGATTCTACCTCCCAATATCAGTCCCTCCCTTTGGTCAATGGCCTGAATAAAGAAGAACAGAAACTCTGATCCAATACCGTAGACATTTCAGGACCATGTCCAAATCCACCAGGTAGGAGATGATGTAAGGCTTGCCGTTGTCCAGGGTCTCCAAGGCCTGACGAGAGATCAAGGTTAGCAGAGGCATGTCAGCACAGGAACAAAGCAAAGCAACTAGGCTGACCAATGGCATTGAAGCCTGGGCTGACGAAGACTGGGGAAGCCAACAGTGAGAGTGCCCTTTGGGCCACTGAATGTCCAAGGCATTTCTGGACCCAAAGCAGAAGGTGGACAAGGTACCAACTTCTCACTCACTCACCTCACAGACCTATTTTTTAGCTTCTGCCAGACCCAGCTACTGGGAATACACAAATAACCATGGAGTTTTCAGAGCACAGAGACGGTGAATAATGACATAAATCACCTACCACGTGTGTCAAGAATGCTAGAATAAGAATAGACTGCCCAACCCTGCCTGAGCAACTCTACCCTAAGAATAACACCTGAAGGATGTATGGGAAGCATACATCCAAAAAGGGGCCAGTGCCACGGCCAAGTGCAGAGCACCCCAGCTAGAGGGCACAGTGTGTGCAGAGGCCCTGCTGCTCAAAGAGGCTTGGCAGTCAAGAACCCAAAGGAAGCCTGTGAGCAGGGCTGGGTGTGTAAGGGGCAGGACCAGCATGACACAGGTAACAGAGGTAGCCCACCAGGTTCTTGTGGACCATGTTGAGGACACATGATGCCATGGTATGATTTACCTTCTGGAAGGGCCACTCTGGCTGCTATGTGTGGAATGGATTGTTGAAGGCAGGGGATTTGCCTCCTGGTTTCTTTTGCCTCTAGTAGCCAGGCAGGAGGACCCACTATGCAGATGGGCCCAGGGAGAGGTGACAAACCCTGGGGGTCTCCCCTGGGAAAGTCTCTCTAGTACAGCTTCTCTCCCTCTTCTCAGTCTCTTCTTGCATCACAGAGAAACTCCCCTAATGGGTGGAGGGGGGTGCATCACAAAGACGTCCATCCTGTGCCATTCTGATCAGTTACATGTCAGCAATGTGGCCCTGGCTATTCATAGGCTGCTATGAGCCCCTTTGCATGTGGGGAAGCAAGGGCAAGAAGGCTGAGCACTCACTGCCAGGTAGGTCCGGTCTCGCTCGATCAGATCAGCCAGGCGGTACAGCAGTCGGCCCCTCTCCGATGCATCCATGCGGCGCCAGGGTGAGCCCAGCTGGAAGGCAGCCCTGGCAGCCTTCACTGCCTTGTCCACATCTTCCTGCAAAATATCCACGAAAGCAGCTCAGACCTTCTCAGCAGTAAACACCTGCAAACACATCCACCCCACTACCAAGCACACCCACAGGACCAGCGTGGAAAACCACCCCAAAACAGCCCTTCCAAGCTCCCAGGGGTCCATATGATGTGCTCCGGACTTGAGTGACAAGGCCAAGTCACACACCCTTTTCTCTTGCCAGGAGTCACAGTAGATATGAGAGTCCTGACATTTCTACCTGTGTATTTTCATTTCAAACACCCACCCCACAGTTTTGGAGGGAGAGGCACCCAGAGGTCAGTGCTTAGAATTGGATCACTTTTTCCTGCTCCCTAAGAAGGCAAGCCCAGCAAAAGGACCCATTCTTTTCTGATGACCAGCGTTATCTAATAAATGCAGGCTTGACCAGCTTCCCTCTCCATTCAGGGAAGAGGAAATAAGGAGGCAAGGAGCAAGTCAGCAAGCTTTTCATTTATATTAAACACATCTGTGACAAGATACTGTCCAAACCAGAAAAAATATTTGCAATTGCTTGCAGCAAAGGAGGCTTATATATGAATTAAAAAAGACTGTCTTAAATTAGAGGGCAGGAAGCATTTTTTAATTATTTTAAATGCCTTTTTATTTTAAAAAATATTTTTACTGAGTCTAATTTAAAAAATTTTAAAGTTCTGTCAGTTTTTAAAGTTCCTGTTAGTATATATAATTCAAACTGGCATCAGAGCTATAACAAGGAAACCCAAATTCTTCCAAAATTCCACGTAGCTGTACATTTCCCTTCCCTGACCTTCAACTGCCAGGTCTATAAAGGAGACACTAAGTTAAATGCGCTCCAAATTCACTTCCAAGTCTACAGTTCACGACATGGATTCTGGAACCCAGACATAATTTACTACCTTTGTCTTCAGGGAAGAGCTTCTATTGATTCATTTACTCAAAATGTTTAGCTGGTTTTTCTAAATTATGAGCGTAATATACATGCCATTTTCGTAACAAGTTTCGAACACACAAACAACATATAAAATAAAAAAAAGGAAACCATCCCCACCCCGAGGTAAGTCACTAATTCTTACCTTGTTCCCTTCTGCTACCTGACAGATGACCTCTCCAGTGGATGGATTGACAGTGGGGAACGTTTTCTTGCTGATTGAGTCATGCCATTCATTGTTTATGAAGATCTACGATGAGAAAGAAAGAAGTTCTGACCAGTAGTGATGTAAAAAAAACCAAAAATAGAACAAGAAAGAACAAATATGAAGGAATGCAAAACTGCTTCAGAGTGCTGTCACCTGGAGATTAAAAACACCAGCCTGGAGACAGTCTGCACTGGAAAGCCTACTCTGCCAAGTGACCTTGGGTGAGTCATCTGATCTTTCGGTGCTTGGTTTCTTTGCAAAATGAAGAGAATGTTCCTAAAATGGTTTCTTATCTCTCACAATTGTGCCCACTGACTGAGCTCAGCTGGGCAGGGCTCACATATGCTCACGACTGCAGCACAATCCAAAAGCAGTTGAGCCAGGGTCACCTGGGCTGGATGTGCAGGGTGGCTCTTTACCCACTCATACGGCACAACAGGGCTGCTTGGACTTCCTGTCTGCATGGCAGGACCAGGCTTTTTCAGCTTCTCCATGGCAGTGGGCCTCCCCAGAGGGTCCCAAGAGACCCAGGTGGAACTGTAAAGGCTTCCTCAGGCCTGGCTTAGAAGTCACATGGTTTCATCTCTGCCACCAAATTCTGTGAGTCACAGGCCCAGTCCAAATTCACAGGCAGGGGCAAGAGTGTTCCCTTCTTCACTACACTATAGCACCAGGTAGCAGAGAGCCAAGTTAGGTTACGCTTTCACCTACACAGCAACAATTTAGTAATGCCTGTGCTGGGTCAGGCACTGTTCTAGGGCCAAGAACACAGAAAGACAAAGCCCCTGCTCTCATGGTGCTATTGTTCTGGAGGGCACAAAGCATCAATCAAATGCACAAGAAACCTCAGACTGAAGTGCTGAGTGCAAAGGGGAAAACAGGATATAGAAGTGATCAAGTGAGAGGGACAGAGCACTGTAGCTGCAAAGACTGGGAGGGCCTCTCTGAGGAGCAGATTTTGACTTGGACCACCGTGGGTGGAGCAGGATGAACAGTGGGAATGGCAAGTCCAAAGGTGGCCAGGGTTACTGGTGAATCAGGAAGGAAGTGATGAGAGAGCCATGTGAGATGGGCAGGGGCAGCACCTGGTATCACACTAGGGTGTCACTATTGCTGCTGTTCTATTAATAGTGACCAAGGCAAGCCCAGGAAAAGACCACATTGCTCAGGAGGTCATTAGTTCAGAAAAAGCACCCAAAGCTGGCTTTCTGCTCAGTAGGGGCTGGCGATGGTTTGATGGGACTGCAAAGCTCTTGAGGCTCTTCCCTTCAGACTTGGGAAGCAGGTCTCTCAAAGAGTCCATGTCGCTCCTCCAGCTGAAGCAAAGGTCAGGGTGGGACTAAGGCAAGGATGTCCAGCTCTCTGCCTGTCTTCCTCAAGACGTCTCTTTGGGCTCAGCATCCCATCTTAGCTCTGGGACTCCAGGAAGTCATCTGCAGATGCTCCAGGCCAGTCTGTGACCATAAGTAAGACCAGGGCACCAAGCGGAGCCTGGAGCTTGGCTCACACCAGGGCTAGGGAAGGAGTGGTAGTCTCTGTGGTCTTTGTGGAGGCAAAAAGGTGATGACTCAGCAATTCTGCTCCCAGTTTTGTCACCTGTGACAAGGCCTGCCCCTCCCTCAGCCTTCTTCCCTCATCACTGGCAAGAAGAGCACAGCAGTGCTCCTTTCACATAGTGGTAAGTCGGACTTGAAGGTTTGCACTGAGCCTGACACTGTGACAGTGACGGGGTGGTGACTGGGAAGGAATGGTCAGGTAAGAGGCCAGCAGGGGATACTTTACCAGACTTAAATTTGATATTTCTGCACAATCCCTATCCCACCCTTATGTTGCAGTGCAACACACAGCTGGACTGAGAATGTGGGTAAACATTAACTAGACTGTTGGAACTATGTTTGTATGGTTTCATATTAGTCAGCATTAATATTTAATTAATTAGTCATGCTAATTTTCCAGCATGATACCCATGTAGTTTCTGGCGTGAGAGGGCTGGGTATGGCCACAGAGCTCAGGCTTGAAGCCAGCAGCTCCCCTTCTCAGAATCACCTCCTTCTGGTCAGTGTAGAGCAGAGGGAAGCAGGACAGGACTGGAGCTGATACAGATGAGAAGAGGGCAGGACAATGCAGCACAGGCAGCCTGTGGCCCAGTTGGGAGCTGGTTTCCATCTTCAACCTGCAGTGCAGGCCCAGAGCCCCAGCCTCATACGGACCGCTGTAGTTAAGCACCAGAGGCAGTGAGCTCGGGAGAGCATGGGAGGAGGCAGGTGACATCAGTTAGTCTTATACTGTCCCTCACCTGTCCTCCATCTACCACCTGCATGTCATAGAAACAGCTAACATTTATGAACTGCTTGTTAAGTGGCAACACCTGTATCAGGAGTTTCGGGTGCTTGGGTTGTTCTCATCAAACCTCATGGCAAATCTAGAAGGTGAACTTCATCCTCTCTGCAGAGGAGGCCACTGGGGCACAGAAGAGGTCAGGAGCTGGCTCAAAATCACACAGCATCGTGGGGCTGGCAGAGTGGCTCAAGTGGTAGAGCACCTGAGTTCAAATCCCAGTACCACCAAAAAAAAAAAAAAAATCACACAGCATCAAAGGCAGAGTCAGGATTTGAACTCAGGCTTTGGGATTCCAAGGCCTGTGCTCTTTGCACAATTCCAATCCAGTCTTTGGTCACAGCCTCCATTTGCCTTCCAGAAGGTTAGAACTCTTATCCCCTAATTCCCCACCTTAACAGTTGATTAGCAGTCCATCACCTTTATTCTGGATCTTGTAAAAAGTAGCAACCTCAAAGCCAGACAGATCTGGGTTGGAGTCCTGACCCCACTCCTCACAGACTGAGACCTTGGTAAACCCAGATTCTTCATCCAATACTTCTGGGGGCTGGTGTGAGGATTCCCCTGCATCCTAGATGCAGGCAATCACTATGCCATTACTCTAGGTCCTGTTGCTCTGGGCTAAAGACTCTTGGAAGCAAGGCCCAGGTCTGCTGCCACTTGCTGTGTTGCTTCCTGCACAATCCCTGCACAACAGCATACTAAATTAGTTGGCCTTAAGAAAGTTTTCATGAGTATCTTGCAAAGATCAAGAAGCACCGGTGGCTCATGCCTGTAATCCTAGCTACTCAGGAGGCAGAGATCAGGAGGATCAAGATTTGAAGCCAGCACAGGGAAACAGTTTATGAGACCCTATCTCAAAAATACCCAACAGAAAAAAGGGCAGGCTTCCTAGTAAGTGTGAGGCTCTGAGTTCAAATCCAGGACTACCCAAAAAAAAAAGAAGAAGGGGAGAAAGGTGGATAATCTGGCTAGGGACCCACCAGCCCTATCCCTTCCCTCTGCAGAGATTCCAGCCCTGGAAGAATCATTCCAGGCCTTGTGAGCATTTCCAGCCCTGAATTTGCTGTCACTCTCAATGGGTGAATCTGGCTGAATTTTCAACAGTCTTTCCTCTCTTCTCATCTGGCAAAGTAAAGGGAGGTTTGGCTAGCAGGACCTGCAGACTTCCTGGGTTTAGAGTTCCCATTTCTCTCCAGGTTCTGGTGGCTCATTCGTGTAATCCTAGCCACTCAGGAGTCAGAGATCAGGAGGATCACTGTTCAAAGCCAAATAGTTCATGAGACCCTATCTCAAAAAGCCCATGAAAAAAAAAAAGGTCTGGTGAAGTGGCTCAAGGTATAGGCCCTGAGTTCAAACCCCAGTACTTGAAAAAAAAGAAAAAAAGAGTTCCCATTTTCCTTTCCCTACTGCCAGAATGGCCAGATTCGGTGGTCTTCATCCCCCATCAGTGGAAGAGTCAGTAGGAACTTTCCCACACTGAGGTCCTGCCAAATCTCTGCTTCAAGGAGGAGTGCATCACAGCAACTAGTCTTGAAAAAACACAGGGGCAAAGTCCAGGGCAAATGCTTTAAAATCTCCTGGCCCCAAAACAGGTCTGACTTACACAACAAGCTAAATTCAGTCACCCTTGGAGGAGGGGGTCCTCCCAGCTCTCACTTCCTCGTGATCATTTCCAGAAGCAGAGTGTAAGGAGTTGGCATGTTGAATCTGCATGTTGGTAAAACACACAAAACATTTCCATCAAAGCACTCTAAGTTCTCCACATTTTCATAAATACTTCTTATGTCACTTTATAATTGTGTAACTAAGAGCCATACCAAAGCGGGCTAAGCAGCAAGGTCCTGCTGCTGAGGGATGGTAAACAAAGAAAGCAAGTGAGAAATGGCAGGAAGAACAGGCTGGAAAGGATGGGGCAGCAGGCAGAGCCTGGGAAACAGGAGGAACTGAAGGGGCCTGCGTGGCTGCAGAGTGTGGTGAGAGGAGAGCAGGCTTGCTGCTAGGGGCCTCAGGGCCTAGAGCAGACTGGTGGTGTTCTCCTAAGTGGGAATGACAGCCTTTCTAACATGCAACCTGCTTTCTCAATGACAGTTTATCTTGGATAGTATTCTATAGGCAGAAATGTTTGGTGTACAGATGGTCACAGTTCATTTAACCATATCCTAGGAATGTGCTTTGAGGAGTGCCCCCAAGTTCTCTAGTGCTGCTGGAGCCAATATGGATCAGTAGAAATCTGCAAGCTCAGATTGTGTGTAAAATTCAGAATTGCAGATCCTTCACTGTCTTGGATATCTTTCTTTCCAGGCCAAGCAGGTTACAGATTACAAACTGCAAATGGGGACCAAGTTGCAGTGGCGGTGGCCCAGAGGAGGGATTTAGGAGCTGGGCAAGCACGGAGTCCTGACTGAGGTGGGACAGAAGAGATTCCAACCACTGCCCCCACATCCCAGTAGAACGGGGAGTCATAATCTGCCCACGGTCTCCAGTGAAAGGTTAAATCATGTACAGTAGCTGTGATGGAAGGAGACAGGACACTTAAAGATTTCAGTTCAAGCTTTCATACTTTAAAGAATTTAGGGGAGTTTCCTAGGAAAACCAAGTTCCTTACTTTCCCAAAGCATGTGAGCAAAGGCTCTGGTTTTGCAGCTGGGGCCATTCCTGATAGCATCTGCTTTTTAATTTATTTTTGGGGGGGGGGCAGGGCGGTACTGGGGTTTGAACTCAGGGCCTCAGGCTTTCAAGGCAAGTGCTCTACCACTTGAGCCACTCTGCCAGCCAAACATCTCCTTTTTAAGTGGCAGTTAGCTAACCTACCCAGTGGAAGGCAGATGCCTTTGTGTATCACAGATCTCAAGGGGTGATGTTCAAATTAAACACAGGATGCTACACAATCCATACTTCTCCACCCATCATCCAAAAGCTCCACTTAGTTTGGGGGTTAAGGCCCAAGGGCAGCCATCTCCCCAGACTTGATGGGGACAATTCTGGTACCTCACCCCAGCCCTCCTCTCCTCTCTCCCACATCCCACAGCAATGGGTTTTATCCCTGGATTTTCACCACTTCCAGGATGAGTGTTAATTTTACTGTGGGCCATTTGCCAGGAAGGTGCAGTTTCAATTTGTCCATCTGCTTATAACTTTGTTTGATCTTGCTGTAACCACCTGCCAAGGCCAATATTACCACCTCCCCCATGTCCCCATGCTCATGTGAACTCCCAAATATTTTGCAATGTTTGCTCTATTGAGTGGAAATACTGGGCTCCCATTAAGTGACCCTTCTCTGGCTCCTGTAGCACAGAATCGTAGACATAGTTTCATACACAGCAACTCTTATCCATTTCATAATAGTTATTGAACAGTGTTCCATGCCAAATCTAGGGCTGGGAATACAAATACGAGCAACACAAATGTGGCTCCTTTCAGAATTCAATTATTTATACCCTCAGCTGTCCAACAGGGTCTGGTCCTGAAGCAGCACAGAATGTGGCTAGGGGCGTGTGTGCTCAAGATGGGCAGAGCTGAGTTCGAAGCCTGGTTTCAAACATAAGTTAACGTGAACTGGAACCTCAGTTTCATCACCTCTAAGATGGGGACACTGACAGTACCTGGCTTATAGAGTTGTAGCTGAAAGAGGTGGAGTAGCATAGGTAGGGTGCCTGCCTGGCAACATGAGGCCCTGAGTTCAAAGCCCAGTAATGCCAAAAAAAAAAAAAAAAAAGATAATGTAGGTAAAAGTCCTCAGTAGGGTTATAGTAGCCATGATCACTGCACAGGAAATGCACACATATTTCCACAGCATGCACATTCTGGACTTGGCCTGACCCTAATGCCACAAATATTATCACAGCCCAATCATCTGTAATGCAAGTGTGTCCCTTGGATTCTGGACAGAAAGGACATGTTGAGAGCCATTTGTGGTTGCTGGAATGTATTTCTACAGAAGCTCCTCAACAAGCAATAAACCAGTGCAGTCAGTGGGGAGACAGTTCACAAAGTCACAGCTTAGTTCAAAGAAGGTTGTGGCTCATTCTGTCAGAATCTCCCAGGAAAAAAAAAAAAGCAAGTTCCCTCCCTGATCATACTGTTAACAGTGATTATCTGCAGAGGTCAGATATCAGAGGCCCATTATTTTCTTTTAATAGCCACATACAGCATATTCACTTTCAAACAAATAAAACGCTGAAAGCCAAAGTCCTCTTTCATCACTGCCCATGGGCGCTCCCTGCCAGCCCTGAGATCAAAACAGTCACCACCCTCACACCAGACCATTTTCCCCACGGTACGTTCTAACACATTTTACATGGAGACAGGTCCAGCTACCTTCAATGGAAACTTTTATTTAGTGTAGTTTCAATTGACTTCTTATAGTGTAGACTGCTGGACCTTTTTTCTTCCCCAGAACATTGTTTTTGAGATCCTTTATTCATATACACTCACTAATTCTTTGTTTTGTTTTGTTTTTGCAGTACTGAGACTTGAACTCAGGACCTTCACCTTGAGCCATTTCACCAGCTCTATTTTTGTGAAGGGTTTTTCGAGATAGGGTCTCGTGAACTATTTGCCTGGGCTGGCTTCGAACTGTGATCCTCCTAATCTCTGCCTCCTGAGTCGCTAGGATTACAGGTGTGAGCCACCGGCACCTGGCATCACCTAATTCTTTGTAACTGATGCATAAGCCATTACTTCTTAAATCGTTGCTAATATAAACTATGTCACAATGCGTTTTTGCTCAGTGCTTATGACTACTTCTGGTGAATTTCTACTCTGCAGACTTTTCAGTTAGAATGTACTTTTGTACTTCAGGATGCATGAGTTGTGAGAATCAGAAAACTCTATATAGGGAGATTTTATATATACATATTTTTTGGTGGTACTGAAATTTGAACTCTACCACTTGAGCCACTCCTCCAGCCCAGGAGATCCTTTAATTCCGCTTTAGTCACTTCTCAAGGGCAGTGGAGTGTCTCAAGTGGTAGACCGCCTGCCTAGCAAGTGTGGGGCCCTGAGTTCAAACCCCAGTATTGAAAAAAAAAAAAAAAAAGGCTGAGAATAAGTACATAAATTTAATTCATCCCAGATGCCAAATCAACTTTACTACAACCAAGTTCACTCTTCCCGGAAACAATCTGCAAATATACCACACTCACACAAAAAGTTTTTAATCACCATCATATTGTCAATAGTAGCACTGTTATCCCAGTTCTTATTTAAGCTACAAAAAAAATCCCCCCTAAATCTCCTCTGGAAGCAAACCTACAGAAGGAACCTTGAAGTCACTCTAGCAACAATCTTTGGGAAATGGCTCTGGCACAGCCCACTGAACTTCTAGGCACTGAAAACTCCCACGAAGATGATGTGGTACAAGGACTTCACATTCTTGCCAGCACAGTGTGCAATGAGACCACACTGCAAACAGCCAATGAGCTTCTAGAGGGACTAGTCCAGTTCTGCAGCCCTGGAGCAGAGTACTTGGTGTGCTGGGAAAACTTCAGATCTGAACGTGCTTGGTCTCAAAGATAATTCAGACACAACTGTTCAAGGAGACGGAGAGCATCAGAACTCTGGCTCTCTCATAGACACACTCATAAATGCAAAGAAATGTCTGTAAGACCACACACGCATCTGTTAATAGTGCTCTTGGAAGGAATCTGATGGAGTATCCATAGAGTTGTAAGTTCATACTCTCTGCATTTTATACAGTGAGCACGTGCTACTTTTGTGATCTCAAAAACTTAGATGGCCAGGCCCAGGTGGCTCAAGTCTGCAATCCTAACTGCTTGAGAGGTAGAGATCGGGAGGATCATTGTTCGAGGTTAGTCAGGGCAAAAAGTTCAAAAGACCTTATCTCAAGCAACAGCTGGGCACAGTTGGTCCCTACCTGTCATTCCAGTTACACAGGCAAGCACAAATAGGAGGATCAAGGTCCAGGTCAGCCCTGGCACAAGTGAGACCCTATCTCAAAAGTAACCAATGCAGAAGGGGCTAGCAAGTGGCTCAAGTGATAGAGCACCTGCCTAGCTGCCTAGCAAGCACAAGGCCCTGAGTTTAACCTCAGTACTGCCAAGAAAAAAAAAAAAAAAAAAAAAAGGTAAAGAAAGGCAGCCATAGGGAGAATTTACTCCATTCCCCCAACTCACACCCTCAAACTAAATCTGGCGAACAGACCTTTGACTACCTACCAGTTGAGAGAGTACGTTAGGACCCAGACACCACAGAGGAAAATCAGATTGGGGGCTCTCGGGGCACTGCCACCTCTCCTGTAGTGTATTTCTGCTCCATCTTTTTGATGTCCAATTCTTTCAAGCCTGAATGCCTCAGTTACCCAGCCTACACAGTGAGCTACAGCCTCTGCATTTTTGGCTTGTGTTACGCAAAGACCATTTTATTTTTATTTTATTTTTGTTTTTATTCCCTCATGAATAACCCCTTTAACATGTGTTAAAATCACAGGATTGTGGCTTGCCCATGCCCTGTGAGATCTGCAGCCAGTGACACAGCCTCCTCCATCAGCAATCATCAGGAGGATCAGATCATGGTTCCCACCCAAAGTTGCAGTGTACCATGGAATGTTCCAGTTAGGGACTTACTTTTAGGTGTCAAATGTGAATATGAACTTTGCCACTGATTTGAGTCTTTAGGAAAGTCACTAACCCTCCTTGTAACTCTGTCTCTTCAACTGTAAAGTGGTGATATTTACAGTACCAACCTCATAAGGTTGTTCCAAGGATTAAAGACAAAAGGAGTAAATGTTTAACAGGCTTCCAGACTCAAATGCTGTACACAGAGGAGGGGCTGTTATTAACTATGAAGTGCTCACACCAAATAAATGAGGCCTTGTGTGAAGAGACAGCTCACTGGAGGGTGTGGTGGTGCACTCCTGTAATCCCAGCACTCTTGGCAGAGGCAAGAGGATAACGAGTTCCAGGCTTGCCTGGGCCATATCGAGAGACCCTGTCAACAACCACAAAAAGAAACAAAAGAAAAAGCCACCATGCCTTCTGACTGCTTCCCCATTTTACAGAAGAAACTGAAGCTCAGGGGAGGGCAGCCAACTTGTTGCACAAACAAACATTCTTTCATAACCGATTTCCTTCTGTGTGAACTCAGCACTTTACCCAAACCCAAAGACTAAAAAGGAAAAAATATTCCAAAGTCCTGGTTGGGCAAGAAAGCGGCCACTGGGAAGCAGCCCTCAAAGCGGGAGAAGACAGGCCGCCCCTTGCAAGCCGCGGGCCTTCGCAGCCATGGAGGATCCCTCTCTGGTCCTGGCCTTTCCTTTAGAACTTCCTTGGACCAGCAGGCGTGAGTCAAGTGGGAAAAGAGATGACTGAGGAAAAGACAAAAGTTCCTGCAAGGAGGGCCTGAGATGGACACGTCTTCTGGGTGGGTGGCGGTGGGGACGCTGCACAGACTGGGAGGCCCAGGACCGCGGAACCCCCAGCAGGCGCCGGAAAACCGACCCCGGCTGCACGATGCTGCATGAGCGGACGGAATCGCAGCTGGATAATGGCATGGGGACTGTCCGAGGTGACGAGGGGACAAAATGCTCGCAGGACGGGAAAGGAAACCTACGCATTAAACACCAACCACAGCGATCCCCCAACGGATAAACCGAGGGCCTTCCTGGCCGGCAGGCTCCGTCCCGCCGAGGGGCCTGCGGAGGACCGAGAACAAAGCGGGGGTCTCACCTGGTTGTAGAAGACCTCAGGCTGCTGGTTGGGGGTCGGGACGGCCTGGGTGGCTGCGGCCGACAGGAGGCGGCGGCCCAGGCGGGGCCCGAGGCCGGCGGCGGCGAGAGCGGCGGCGCGCAACATGCTACCAGGGGCTGGGTGCAAGGAGCTGCGCGCCAGGAGCTGGGTGCGCAGCCGAGTGCCGCGCGCCGCCGCCCGTCCCTGCGCCCGCCCCTCGCCCCGCCCTCCCGCGCGGCAGCCAATGGGCAGGCGTGGCACGGGGGCGTGTCCGCCCTCCGCCCAGGGCGTGCAGGTCTCGATGGCCTGCGGCTGGGCGGTGCTCGGCTGATTACCCACTGAGCTCTACCACTGCGCGCTCCAGCATTCAGCAAGCTGAACCCCTATCGTGTGCCGGGACTTCTGATACGCACAGGCCTGCACCAGAGCGCCCCTGACTCCCTCGGGCTGACATTTTAGCGGGCGACACCAGCCATAGCCAAACACGAGGTCTGTGCTAAGGGCTATGGAGGAGATGAACAAGGTGGAGAGGCGGGGGTAGAGAGCGCTGCTGTTCGATACTTGGTCAGGAAGTGACAGAGGACATGAGTGAGGAGAAGCAGCTAGTTTGTAAAGGTCTAAGGAATTGAGGAAGGGGGGAACACAGCAAGTGCAGAGGACCTGAGATGGAGCATCTTGTTAGGAAAATGAAAGGAAGGGAGCTGTGACCAAGGAGAGGATGGTGAGAGGTGAGACGGGCCAGGACCTGCAAGGGTTTTGCAAATATTTCTATTCTGTAGACATCCTGGAACCGGATACTGGGGAAGCAGGAAGGAATGAGATGTCATTGACTGGCATGGAGGGGATGGATATCCAAACATGCATATTTCAACCAGGTAAATAAATGTCAGCAAAAACCAAGGAGGAGCGTCAGAGTTGGCAGGAGGACCTGAGCTGTGCAGAGAGACGTGTATTTTGACAGAGACATTCAGGAAACAGGCACATCACATCAGACAACCAGGGTCCAGGGAGCTGTTTGAGGCTGGACCCCTGAGAGGTTGGCCAAGGACCATTTATGAAGTAGCAGACACAAGTATTGATCCAAGAGCTCAAGGAGACCTGCAGACTGTGTTGTTTTGCTTTGCTTTGAAGAGATAACCTGATAGCTAAAGGGTATTGTCACAGAGCTTCAGAAAGAGGCCCTGGAATCCAGTGATCACACACAACAAAATTGCTGCTCAAATTGCTTCTCACAGGCAGGAACTCAGGCACCCAGGTCCCTTTCTCTGATTTTAACATAGGATCTCCAAAGTTACCCTGCGGCTCAGCACCATTCCACACAAACCAGAGGACAAAAAAGCACTAAGGATGGCACACGCAGGTTTCTATGGCTAAGCCTGGCTAGGTTTCAGTCACATGACTACTCCTCAATGCAAAGGAGTCTGGGAAATGAGTGGAGCTGTGACCTGGGAAAGAGGAAAATAGGCTTGGAGATGAGGCAGCTGCAAGGTTTGTCAGGACAGCAAGCCTTTTTTCTCCCTCAGTCCACACTACCCCTTCTTAAAGGTGCCTTGCTTTTTTCACTTAACACAAGGAAAGCATCCCCATTCTCTTTAACAGCTACATGATACTCCATTTTTATTTAAGGAACTTCCTGTGGGTGACATTTAGGTTTCCAATCTTTGGCAGTTACAAAAATGCCACAATGTATGTCCTTGACTTACTTGAGAAATTCCCAGAAGTGGAACCAGAAAGCCAAGGGATAGTTATTAATTGAATACTGATGTTGCCAAGCAGATGCTCCTTGGCTTATAAGAGTGCATAGTGCATAACTCCATCTTAAGTCATAAGTCAAGAATGCATTTAGGGCTGGTGGAGTGAGCATGTACCTAGCAAGTGTGAGTTCAAACCCCAGTACTGTAAAAAAAAAAAATACACCTGACTTTATCACACATCACAGCTTAGCTGCATCACACACTGTAGGGTGTGGGTTGCTCCCCTGGTTGACCACAGGGCGGACTGGGAACTGTGCTGATGCCACCGTCCAGCTCCCTGAGAGTGAGTCACCGCATGTCTCTGGCCCAGGGAAAGATCCAGATTCAAAGTTCAAAGTCCAGGCTCTACTGAATGCAAATCACTTTTGCACCATGATAAAGTTGAAAAATCATAAGGAAAACCATCATAAGCCAGAGATCATCTGTATTATCTTCTATAGATGGATGATTAATATATCCCCACCCTCTATCATATCTGGTATATACCCTTTCCAATACAATTTATTATCAGATTTTTTTTAGCCTATGGTTTTGGGTTTTGTTTTTTTTTTTTTGGGGGGGTGGTTTTTTTTTTTTGGTGGAACTGGGATTTGAACTCAAGGCTTTGTGCTCACAAAACATACACTCTACCACTTGAATCACACCTCCAGCCCAGGCCGTGTGTTTCTCACATCATTGGCTCATTTTCCTATTGGGAAAAAGCCAACAATCACCTTGGCTTCTTTAAAACTGAGTTGTCAAAGTCACACGTGAATATGTGTGTGCATGTGTGTGAGTAGGCAATTAACTCTGTGTCTATAGTGTGGTACAAATACTTTCTTCCAGTCATCATTTATTGCTTTATCAGTAAATACCTTTAAGTAGGTGAGCATTTCCAAACTAAATCCTGTTCACTGATCTGTTTCTATGCCAGTGTGACACCATTTTGAACACTGTCTTTCTCCTGAGTCTTAATCTCTCATGCTATCTTTTTTCTCAACCAAGATTTTAAGTCCAGAAGTGATGAAACTGTATATATACTTCTGAGGGATCCCTTAGGGAACAGTATTGAAAGATGGATGTGGACCTGGGAGAGAGTGTGGAGGTAGGACTGCCAGGTAGCTGTGTGAAGGTAAAGGAGGAGTAGAAGATGAGCTTCCTTCAGCTTGCAGCCCCACTTGGGGTTCCCAAGGATGGGGAAGCCAGAGAGGCAGTAAACTTGACTTTGAGGAGGGGAAGGATCACCTCCATTCATCTATGTCGATTCGGTGTGCAGCAAACGTACTAGGTCCCTGTCACTATGTTTGGTGTGCATCTCTGTGTATCAGTGTATTGAATCATGGGTTCACTTACTCTATTTTGGTCAGCTGTGGTGCTCACCATCATTCCTGGGACCCTCTCTCCTTAGGGAAATCTTAGCTATCAAGATTCAGCCCAAGCTGGGCGCTGGAAGCTCACACCTATAATCCTAGCAACTCTGGAGGTTGAGATCAGGAGGATCACAGTTCAAAACCCAGAACCTATCTCGAAAACCCCATCACAAAAATAGGGCTGGTGGAGTGACTCAAGGTGTGGGCCCTGAGTTCAAACCCCAGTACTGAAAAAAAAAAATTCAGCTCAGGTGGTGGTGGATTGGAGACACCTAGCACTTCCCTGCATCTCCCTGAATGTGAAACAAAACAGTGAGGGCATGGCTGCAGGGAGAGATGGGTGGCATGGAAAGGTGAGTGCAGGCAACAGTAAACAGCAGACAGACACCAGGTGAACTCTGGAAATGCTGAACTTTAGTTTACAAAAGAAGCGCCAGACCCAAACTAGAGCACTAAGCAGAATGGTAGAGAAGAGAGAGAGGAATCTACCCCAAGTGGGGCTGCAAGCTGAAGGAAAGGAAAGCCTTGGGAAGTCCCACAGGTACACAGGTGGCACTCAGCAAAAATAAAGTTTAGGATGGAGGATGTGCATGTGCAGCCAACAGATGCCAGCGAAAGGCCCCTGCACTTTCTAGCCTGTTCACGGGTACTTCGGAGGGGACTGTCCTAGGAGAGGGCTTACAGTGGAACCTCTCTGACGGGGAGAGAAGAAGGCCCTGCATTTCTTTATCTCCAAACCCCAAAGGCCTCCCCCCAACCCCAAAAATCAGTCTGGACCCAGATCTACTTGGGTAGGAAGTGTGAGTCATCAGCAGAGCTGCAGCCTGATGAACCCCACAGGCCGGATGAGGCCCCGCAGGCCTGGGCCCCCATTTAAGCACAGCCTCTTCTTCTTCAGCAGCCCCTTTCTTAACTCTAGGTATGCAGGAATAATGGGCATGCATTTCTGGCTTATAATAAATCACGCACCATCTCATTTAATCCTCCAACAGCCCTGCGAGGGAAATGCTGTTCTATTTTTCAAATGAAAAAGCAAGACTAAGAGAAGGAAAATCATGTAGTTGGTCCATAGTGGAGCAGCTGGAAGTCAAACCCATTTGAATCCAGAACCAAAATTCTCTCCTTAACCAAACTCTGGGCAGGCTATTCTTCTCAACTAGTCCTCAGCCTTGGTCTATAAAAACTGCATCCTTCCAGGTGCCTACAGATCACACCTGTAATACTTGCAACTTGGAAGACTGAGATCTGGAGGATCCTGGTTCAAGGTCAGTCCAGGCAAATAGTTTGAAAAACCCCATCTTCAAAATAACCAGAGCAAAATGGACTGGAGGTGTGGCTCTTTTGCAACCTGCACAAGCTTGTCCTACTGACCTAACTGGGGGTGACTGGAGATGCAGAAAGGACAAAAGATAGAATACAAACATGCAGAAAGCTGGGGCCAGGTGGGCTGGGCGCTCAGATGGAGACACACAACAGCCTTGTTACTACTTTTTTATTTCTTTTCTTTTACTTTGCTTCTTTTCTTTATTCTTTAAAACCTTACTTCTTTTCTATTCTTTAAAGTCTTGGTCCTTAGACTCGCACTGTCCCATGTTTCCTCTAATCTCTAGTATAACTCCTAAAGTCTTGGTCCTTAGACTCACAAACACACAACAGCAGCTGCCAGCAGCATAAGCAGTAGCAGCCAGCAACGTCATCAGCGGCAGCCAACCTCTCAAGCAGCCAATAGCCAGCAGCCCCACTCATGAGCCGCTAACCCACAAGCAGCCCACCCGCAAGTAGCCAACCCATCGCATCCTCCAGAGAGTCTTTTATATACAGTGCCAAACGAGGAGGTGGAGCCACAGTTCTCCAGGAGCAGTATGACATTGTAACAGGAGAAACCTGCAATTGCAATCTCTGAAAGTAGACATTTTAGGAAACGCAGCCATGCTGCATTTTGCCTTCTCCCCATTCCGTGGCTGGCTCCATGCCAACTCAGCCTGCAGATTATTTGACATAGCTGTGCTTGCTCCCTTCTGTGGCTGGGGCTTTGCCAACTCAGCCTGCAGATTATTGGGCATCGCTGTGCTTATGTCAAGTTCTCATAGGCTTCTTATATTCTGCTCCCCAATGGCTCAAGCTGTAGAGGGCCTGTTTTGCAAGCACAAAGCCCTGAGTGAAACCCTAGTCCCACCAAAACCAAAACAATTCCTGTATCCTCTTTTGCATAAATGATTTTGTCTACTCTCCCCTCAGTACCACATGAAAAGACTTGAGCAAACACTGAGGGTTTCTTTGTTCTATCTATCTATCCATCCATCTACCCATCTATCTATTTATTCATGGTGTGGGGATGGAACTCAGGGCCTTGCACAAGCTGAGCAAGCTCTCTACCTCTGAGCTCCACCCCATCCTGAGTTTCTAACAGTACAAAGCCTGGTTGCTAGGATTACGCTAGACCCCCTTAAAAGTTAAGAGCTGTCAAACAAAAGAAATTACTGTTTGTTCCTGACACCACCTGAAGATGGGCAGGATCCTTCTCTTAGACTCTTGACTTCCCTAAGTACCAGTTGGCAAACCCAGATAGGTTTCACACTGCCCAAGCTCCCTTTCCCCTTTGTTGTAAAACTCCACATCCCAACTGCTCAGACCCCCATCCCTGCCATTCCAGCCACTTCTGCACCAATGGGAGCTGAGCTCCATCCACAATGCCCTCTCCTCACTGCAGTGGTCTATCACAGAGGACTGAGACCTGTCGGTACCACTTCAAGGAGGGTCTGGCTTTATCTTAGCCATCTGATGTTGATATGATAGAAAATTCTCGAAGCCATTTCACTATCCCACATGACTTGTGTGACTGTCATTTAGGATGTCTACTCAGTTCATACACTCTGATAGTAACATATGCTGCACAGCCAGCACCCTCAACCATCGCTGGTGAGCTCTGAAGCCCTGGTGGTGACAGAAAACCACTCCAGGACTGGGGACGAGGACAATGGAGACTGTTCCTTTGAGGCCACTCCTCACTGTGGCTTTGAAGGAGCCCCACCCAGGCAGGTTGCTGAGACTTCTGTCTCCTTTCAATATCTCAGGAGTGTTCTGCAATCATCTGATAGTATATGAAATCAGGGCCTGAGGGCCAGATGCAGGCAGCTACAAGGAGAATGAGGAGGAGTGGGGAGAGCCTCCTCCAAAGCCCCATCCTCCAGAGATGAGTGGGGGCTCAGATGGTCCCAGTGTCTCTGAGGAGGTCAACCCTACAGTAACCAGCCCAGTGCTGCCAAGAGGGGAGCGGAGGGATGTGTGTTCATTCTCCTTTGCTTTAGGGTAGAATACTGCTGTGAGACAAAAAAATATTAGTATGTTCTGATCATGTGGAATCCCACATAAAACTGGTCAGGCAACATCATTCCCACACCAAGGCTGGGCAGGCCCAAGTGCTCCCAGATACACATCTGCACCCTGCTGGGACACAGCCATGACAGTCGCCAAGTGCTCGGCCAACAGGAAGTCTGACTGTTGGTGAATGTGGGGAGAAAGATTAGGACTGGGTTAGCATCCTCTTATTCTTTGGATCTTTTGTTCGTATCTTCTTAAGCTCCTGCCCACCTCCTAATTTTTAATTTATTTTTATTATATTTCAGGCAGTTCCTTTGGAGCCTTCTACTGTGTTAGGGAACTTCAAACCAGCCTTAATCCCTTTAACCCTCTCAGTCCTGCTGAACTTTGGAGAGTGGCAGGATCTCTTAGAAACCCAAATCATGGCATGTCACAGCACTACTACCTACCTTCACCACTTTATTCCACTGAGTATCAAGAAAATCGGCCCCATGTGGCCAGGCACCTGCCTAACCTTCCCAACCCAACCACACATCTGTCCCTTTCTCCCGTACCTGAGCCCCACACACCAGGTTGTCCCGGGCCTTTGTACTTGCTGCTCTTGCTTTGGGAAGTACCCTTGCCCTTCCTTCTTTCCATCAGGTCTTGGCTCCAGTGACTCTTCCAGAAAGTCCTCCCCTGAGCTCCCCGTCCCCAACAGTATCTGCCAAATCACCCACCAGTTCAGGGTATGTACTGCCACCCCCCTTGAGAACACAGTGTTACCCATTGTGTTCACCTGCACAATCCCCAAGGCCTAGGCCAGGGGCTCAGTTGGTAGTGGTGAGTGGACGGGAACAGAATTGGAGACTGACCAATGGGCTGCAGGGACATCATGCCTGGTCTGGCCAGTCTGCAGGCAGCATTCTTGGTGCTTCTCGAGTGACTCCAGCCCTTAAAGCACAGAAGCCAAGGGAGTCGTAGTGCCGCTCTAAGGCATGGCTCTTGTGTTCACCCTGCAGCTGCACAACTGAACAAGCAAAGTGAACCCCAAAGAGCAGAGGGAAGTTTTTAGGGCCACATGAGATGCCAGCCATAACTATTTCCTTTTTATTGAAGCTCCCCGCTCCCTCCTGAGGTCCCAAGCAGAGTTCACCAAAGGTTCTTTGTCAGCTGTCAGCATGTGATGGCCATTAGCAGGGGCTGGGATTTCATTTCAGCAACAAGCAGTTTCTCAAGTGTGGAGCAGGCCCTGCCTCCCCAGCCTGCTCGGGGCCAGCACAAGCCCCCGAGATTCTGTGTTCTGGGGTGTGTGGTCCTGGCTGCAGGTGGGTACTCTCCCCCAAGGTCAAGTCTGCAATGCAGCAGACAAGGGCCACAGTCCCTCCTATCCTGTCTGTCCTGAAATGGGCTTTGGCCACCTCACAAGTGATTAGATGAGCAGACTGGGTCCTCCCAGTTGGTGGCTTAGCTCTGCCTGGGCTCACAGGGCACCCATTTCTCTAGGAACTCTGACCCCAAATCACATGTGTATTACCTGCCCCCACCTTCCTCCTCCCCCAGGAAAGAGAACAGAGCAGGCAGAGGCACCTCACACGTGAAAGTCACAGTTCCTTCAGAGCCACTTCCAGGAGCACAGAGAATGGAAAGCAGTAACAGAAGGCAGTGACTTGGGACCTACCGGGAGCCATGGCATCGTGCCCCCCCACTGGGGGGGTGCATTGGGTGCCAGTGCATCAGGGAGGGGCTGAAGGAACACAGGTAAGAGGAAGCAATCAGTGTCCTGAGATGCAGGGGCTGAGGAGCCTTTATTCTCTGTGCCTTTCATGTGACACAGAAAGTTAACAAAGTATCCTTCTTGCTCTTTTATGTGCCTAAAGCCACTTCTCAAAATAGTCTGTTAATGAGTGCTCTGTGATGCGCCAATGGAGTCACCATTTGGGTTTCACTCCATTTTCCCAGGAGCATTGGCTATGGCCCTGGCTGCCCATCAAGCCTGTCCTTCTGCCTTCAGGGAGGCTCCTAGCACAGAAGGCACACTGTTTCTGGACTGAGCACAGTACAGGACCCCAGTTCCTAATGTGCCCAGATTCCTACAGCCAGGGAGAGAGGGGGACCAAAGCCAGCTAGAGAGACTGAAGACCAGCTTTCCTGGCTCTGTATCGCTCAGCCCATGGATCCTCCTCCATGTCTGAACCACAAATTCACACAGAAATGGCTTCTGTGGGGACTCAGAAAGGCTGACTGTCCCAGCAAGTGCTGGGTGGGGTGTCAGGATCACACACCAGGCCTTTCCCAGCACACTATTTACAGTCTGGCATGGCTGACCAGCAGGGATGCTGGCTCCTGTAGTTCCATGGGTCTAGGTGCGATGCTTCAACTCCATCTTGGCCACTGTTACCTGGTGTACCTCATCAGGACCATCGGCAAAGCGCAGTGCTCGGGCCCAGGCAAAGAACTGAGCCAGGGGGTAGTCGCTGCTCAGGCCAGCTGCTCCAAAGGCCTGGAGACACAGAGCAGCAGAGGAAGTCCTGGGTGAGCCCTTGTTTCCCAGGGCCCTGGGAATGACAGCCTGCTAAGAACTGCTGATAAAGGTAATCTTCCGGGGTGTCAGATGACACCTAGGTGGCACAAGTAATACTCCAGAGGCTGCCTGGAGTGGGATCACACTGCTATCCTTTGCATGCCTGACTCACCCATCCCACTCTGCAAAGTGCATTCTGTTATCGGGAAAGTTCTGTGTTCAGCCAGGTGTTAGGATGTGGAGGGGGGCATCCCCCAGTGGTTAGGAGACTGGGCTCAGGGGCACCGAAGACCCAGGCTCAAGTAAACTTAAGGCCAGCTACTTGCAAGTCGAGTGAGCTGAGCAGATCACTTCACAGTCCTGTGCCTCTCTTATTCAAACAGGGTAGGATGGGCCCCTCATAGACTTGTCTTAAAGAGGAAGGGAACATGGTATGCACAGTGAGAGGGCAGCTAATGACCAGTGAGTTGTGGGTCTGCTGCCAGTAGTTCAAACAAACCAGGTTACCTGGCCTGTGCTCACCTGAATGGCACGATCAATCACTCGATAGGCCATGGATGGGGCCACCATTTTAATCATGGCAATATCCAGAGCTGCAGCCTGCAAGGAGAAAGCAAAATCAGAAGGAGAAGGGGAGACTGCTTGAAAGAACAATGCATTTCACAGGGAGGAGTGAAAAAAAAAACAAGGCCAATCTGAGGCCCAGAGGGTATGCTGGGCTGTCAGGGCATGCACACTGCCAGACACTGTAGGCCTGACTCAACTTTGAGTGGGAATGGTCTACGCTTTGTTCCAGGCCACAGCCCGTTCCAGGGGGCTGAGTGGAGAGTGCTTGCCTAGCATGCTGAAGGTACAGGGTTCAATTGCCAGCACTGCAGAAACAAAAACAATAGCCAGCTCCATCTCCAAGCACAGTGGATTGAGGCTGGGCTCAGTAGATCCAGGAAGGCAAGCTACAGGGCTCTGTCCTGGGTGACGGCATAGAGTGAGGTGCTGAAAGGCTCCCACATACCCAGAGCCAGAGAGTCAAAGAGCCAGCAACCCTGAGCCTGTCAGCCCTGCATGACGGAGGTTCTTGGCTACAGACAGAGCTCCCTCTTCCCATCCCCACCCCCCACAGAAAGCTGGAAGAGGTAGGAGTCAAAGTGGACCTTGTGCCTAGCTGTTAGAGGCACTTAGAAAGAACATTATACAATAGGTAATGTCACCCTTGGAAATAAGTTTATGTTAGCTAATTCTAATGTTTAGATCAGGGACCTCAGAGTCCTTTCTGCCTGGCTTACTCATCCTTCGTCTGACTCCTATATACCAGGTCCTGGGAAGCCAGGGCAGGCCAGGGGGCCACATGGCTCTTAATTAGGGCCACTGTCTTGAACCAAGTTCACCAGGTCAGTAGAAATGAAATGAAAGTCCAATCCTCTTTCACTGAGTCTTTTTCTGGTTTTGAGTAGTTGCCAATGAAGTTCCAAGTAGAGCTGAACTAAAGTCATTAATGTTAAAGAGCCAAGCTTTCTCCATGGTTTGCTGAGTGAGGAGAGACAGATTTCCAGGCTGTAGCCTCAGGATCTCTGTCATCTGTGAGGCTCTCAGGACCCCTTGGCTTCCCACCTTATTTCCTGCCACATCCATGAGGTGGGCAGCTTTCAGCACCAGCAGCCGAGCCTGCTCGATCTCCACACGTGACTGGGCGATGTTTGCCAGGATAGTGCCCTGCTCTACCAGGGGCTTCCCGAAGGCCACGCGGGTCTTCACCTGTGGACACCAGAGACACAGATCTGAGGAGCTGAAGATGGTCACAAGAGGCTTGGAGCTGGTGGCCTGCAAAGCTGGGTGGGGGCACACACATGGGAGTGTAGGCCAGGAGTGGAAAGCAAGAGCATGCAGCCTATCTGCCAACTCTCCAGCCACAGGCACTTTCAGGGAGATCTAACGTGCACCCCTCCAGCCCCAGTCCTCAGGGTGGCTAGACAAATTACTACAGCTACAAAGCCACTTCTCAGCAGTTCTTTCAGGTCTGAGACAGCATCTGTTCCAAGGCTACTTCTGGAAAGTAGGGAGATTGTGGGAGCCTCACATGCGGGGCAGGGCGCCCCCTGCTGACCACAGCCAGCCTCACACCCCAGACCTCCCCTGGGAGCTAGTACCACTGTAGGCTGCCTTGTTTGCCCCAGGAATTTTAAAGTCTGGAGGAGGCCCCAAGGCTCAGAAGGGGTTATAGACATTCTGTGTGTGTGTGTGTGTGTGTGTGTGTGTGTGTTTTATTAAACTTTACTAAAGAAACTTTTACATAACTTATGACAGAAAAACTGTCAATTTTCAGACAAAAAGAGAATAAACATACCTAGGATCCCACCATTTAATCACCTATAGTTAATAGTTGGTGGCTGTCAGAGCAGGGCAGGTGGCTCATGCCTGTTGTCCCAGTTACTTGGGAAACTGAGGCAGGAGAGTCACTTGAGCCTAGGAATTCAAGGCCAGCCTGGGCAACATAGCCTAGAGGGTATAGTTTTACAAAAAAACGAAGTCATACGCTATATACTGCTTTTTTAAATTTACTTCTTTTTTTTGCAATACTGGGGTTTGAGCTGGGCACTGGTGGCTCACGCCTCTAATCCTAGCTACTCAGTAGGCAGAGATCAGGAGAATCACAGTTGGAAATCAGTCTGGAAAAAGAGCTCACTAGACCCTATCTTGAAAAAAATCAACACAAAAAAGGGTTGGTGGAGTGACTCAAGTGGTAAGAGCACCTGCCTAGCAAGTGCGAGTTCAAACCCCAGTACCATATATGTGTATATATATATATATTTGAGTTTTAACTCAGGGTTTTGCAGTTGCTAGGTTGGCACTCTACCACTTAAGCAATGCCTCCAGCCCTTGCTTTTTTAAACTTAAGAGAATATAGTGAGCATTTTTCTACATTAAGAAATAGATTTCCACCAGGTGCTGGTGGCTCACACCTGTAATCCTAACTACTCAGGAGGCAGAGATCAGAAGCATCAAGGTTCAAAGTCACCAAAGGCAAATAGTTGGTGAGACCCTATCTTGAAAATTCCCAACACAAAACAGGATTGGCTGCATGGCTCAAGTGGTAGAATGCCTGCTTAGCAATCATGAGGCCCTGAGTTCAAACCCTAGTACCACCAAAAAAAAAAAAAAAGAGAAGTAGATTTCCATAGCATCTTTTTGGGAATTCACTGCATGCCCACACCATGGTCTATATGGCCTGGTCTTGTAGGTTGTACCCTGCATTTTCCCATTAGAACCAGTACTCTTACAGATTCCTAACTCCTCCCATGAACCCCAACTGACCAGAGTTGCCACACTAGCTCTGTGCACCTTCTCAGGTCTTCTGACACATGCAGTCAAACTTGCCTGAGTAGTAAGCCATATGGGGCTAAAATGCCACACCTGTGCCCAATGAATTGCTCTATCTCAACCAAAAGGGTGTAAGTCACTGCAGGTTTGCTCAGGAACTAAAATGCATTTGATGGCTTCTGTTTGTTGTGTAGCATTTCTTATCAAGTATTTGTTTTGGTACAAGAGCTTGCTTCATCTTTGTGAAACTAATACCAATGATGTGAACTCGTGTCCCTGACAATCTTTTTTTTTTTTTTTTTTTTTTTTTTGCGGTACTGGAGCTTGAATTCAGGACTTTCATCTTGAGCCACTCCACCAGCCCTATTTTTGTGAAGGGCTTTTTGAGAGAGGGTCTCACAGAATTATTGGCCCGGGCTGGCTTCAAACTGCAATCCTCCTGATCTCTGCCTCCTGAGTACCTAGAATTACAGCCATGATCCACTGGCACCTGGTTGTCCCTGGCAATCTCTGATATCTCTTTGATGTAGACTTCCAACCTTTGAGGGGATCATAGCCCATTACATTTTCTGACATGCTAGAGAGAGGAGGTTGGTGTAAGACCAGATGCAGGAATCCCAGGGTCAAAAACAAGCAACCCAGGTTCTCCCTGGTATCTGCGTTTTTACCATATGCCAGGAGCACAAATAGCTCCCAGAAGTTCATGACCCTTTGGGCCTGGGAACCTCTCCCATGGATGCCACAGAGCCTGACCTTTTGCTTCTGGGTCATCTCAACAGAGTGGGGCCCATTCTGCTCTGGATATCAAGCTGCAGCAAAGTAGCAAGGTAGAAAGCAAAGACACATACAGAACTTCTTGGCAATAACATTCCCTTGCTTTACCCGCCAGGTCTGCTCTCAGGGAAGAGGGTTTCAGCCAGCAGTGGGGGAGCCAGGGGGCCACTCACGCGGGCCTTCATGAGAGCCAAGGCCCTCTCTGAGAACCCAATCAGCCTCATGCAGTGATGGATCCGGCCAGGCCCTAGCCTGCCCTGGGCAATCTCAAAGCCACGTCCAGGGCCCAGGACTATGTTCTCCTTGGGCACACGCACATGCTTGAATAGGACTTCACCATGGCCACCTGAAAGACCAAACAAACCACCATGAGCGATTCTGGTTCCAGTTCCCCTTGAATGGGATTATGCCTTGCCTCAGTCTGGGTTATCTGCTGGCAATATTCCTGCCTCTCATTCAGCCTTCTAACTGGGTCATGGCTAGGGGACTGGCAGGAAGGAGCCTACTGAAGATGGAAAAGGAATTGCTGATTAACAATGGCACATGAGGTACTTTTCTGTTTTCTTAAGCAAACATTATGATGCAAGCTTAGGCTGAAACTCCCTAGTGTGTGACTCTATCAATACAGTGACCCTCTGGAAATGCCACAAGTAAAATGAGAACAACATTAGCGGAGAATCCCCACCACACCATCTGAGAACTGACTGGGACTGTGGCTTGGAGGTTGCTTTGCGCATTGGGACTTGGAAGAGAAGGTTGCCTTGCCCTGTCCTGCCTGGCTTCCTTGTCTCACCTTAGACTCTTGCTTATCTTCTAACCTTAGAAGAGGAAAAACATGCATAAGTACCATCTGAAATATGCCAAGTGATTGATAACCATTACACAAATGAAATGTAGGACCCTGTGGCCCTCCAGATGTCATCAGATCCTTACCTGTGACAAGTCCTGAACTTGACCAAGGGCTGCCCAAAGCCGTTCCCTGAGAACCAGACCCACACTCAGGGTGACCCACACTGGGAGGCCTAACCTGGAGCGTCCTCCAGCCCATATACAGTCAGAGGCCGGATGACCTTGATCCCCGGAGTATCCATGGGAACCAAGAGTATGGACTGCTGTTGGTGCCTTGGAGCCTGTGGGTCTGTTTTTCCCATAAACATGCAGAGTTGGCAGCGAGGATCCAGGATGCCTGCCAGGAAAAGGAAAGAGACAGGCCACATCAGCTGACGCCAGGGCTATCAGTCTCTGTCCACACACCATCCTGGCCCATGAAAGGCAAGACAACATGCAGATAGAGCTCTGTAAGACTTCAACGATGAGCATATGCAGACTCTGCACCAGACAGAAGAGCAAACTGGAGCTGAGGGCTGGTTGCCTAGCAGGCATGAAGTCCTAGGTTCAGTCTCTAGTACTCAAAGAAAAAAAAAAGAAAAGGGCCAACTGGGTTTTGTTCCAGTGAGGCATGAATCCAGAATCATAACAGCAAATTTTTCTATTTTTTAGTTTTTATTAGGATATATTCGTTGTATCGTGAGGATTCATTGTGATAATTCTGAATAGGCTTACATTGTACATTGGTTAGATCACTCCCATAACAACAAAATTTTAAAAAGCATCATGCTAGACTTAGAAACATAAGACAGGGACAAGATGCTGAAAACTGCTACTGCACTCCTGCTCTGCTCTGTTCCTATAGGTGTGTAAACAATGGCTTGGGGCGCAGGCCTTGGAATCAAGCAAATCTTGAACTCTGGAATTCCTACTTGCTAGCTGGGGGCCAGAGCCGTAGGCAGGTGACTTTGGTGATTCTGAGTCCTAGTTTCCTTGTCTGTGAAAGTGAGTGCTTATGGGGGGCTTGGTAGAGGTGACATTCCAGAAAGAGCCAGGTTATCCTTACTTCTTAGGATATAACACACCTGACCTAGGGGCGAGGGGGAAGCCACAGTGAAAGTGGCCTCCTGTAACTACTCAAGGCAGAATGAAGAGAGCAGGGGTGAATGACAGATTCCTAGAGTCACACGTGTGGGGTAGAGGCATCTGGTGATGCCTCTCCCCAGGACACAGCCCCTGAGAACAGGGTACTCCATGCAGCTACCTCATGTTCCCTGGGGCTTGCTGCCTCTGCTGGGAGTAGAGACAGTCACCTGCGAGAAGAGCTGGTTCCTATCAGTGTCAAGAGACCTGCTTATCAATACCAACTGATATATACTTGAAAGTCAAAATCAGGCCAAGTACCTGAGATCCACCACTTGTGACCATTTATGATGTAGAAGCCGTCCTCCTCTATGATGGAAGCCTCGATGTTGGTGGCATCTGAGGAGGCAACCTGTGCAGGATCACATTCCAGTTAGAGCCACCAGCATCCTGTATTCCCTGGGAGCAGAGACTGGATGGGCTCAGTAAGAAGGGACGGGGCAAATGAGGTACCTGGGGCTCTGTCATAGCAAAACAGGAGCGGGCCTTGCCCTCCAGGAGCGGGGTCAGCCAGCGGGCCTTCTGCTGCTGAGTGCCATAGCGCACCAGGAGCTCCATGTTCCCTGTGTCTGGAGCAGAGCAGTTGAATATCTGAGAAGGAGAAAGAGCGCATCGATGACTCCCACACCCATTGTTAAAATGTCAGACTCCCCAGGACTCCTTCCACATCATATACCCTCTGACAACTCATGGAAGTTCTTCCTCTCCTCAGAGACATGTCCAGACACATTTTTTTTTTTTTTTGGCAGTGCTGGGGCTTGAGCTCAGTGCCTAGGCAAGCACTTTAAGATTTGAGCCACTCTGCCAGCTCTGTTTTATGTTGGGTATTTTCAAGATAAGGTCTCACTTTTGTTGCCCAGGCTGGCCTCGAACTGTGATCCTTCTATCTCTGCCTCCCAAGTGGCTAGGATTACAGGCATGAACCACTGGTGCCCAGCTCAGACACACATTTTGAAATAGGATGTCCCTTTTTATTTGCAAGAAAGGAAAGGGGAACCAGGGGCTGCAGGCTCCATATCACTGGGCAACACCCCTCTTGAGCTACTTATTTTTTTTTTGGCAGCACTGAGGTTTGAACTCAGGACCTCATGCTTGCTAGGCAGGTGCTCTACCAGTTGAGCCACTCCACCAGATCTGAGCTGCTTTCTTGCTCTGCTCTGGCCAACTGCCCACAGCTGTCCTTCTTCCCCTTAGGAAGTTTAAGTTCATATCGATGCCCTGAGTCTGACTTTCTGCAGCAGTGCAGGGAGACGATGTGCTGGTCCCCGAACCTCCTATAGAGCGGGTACCTCGGGAGCATACAGAGACATGCCCATGACTTCACACAGATGCGCGTACTCCACGTTAGTCAGTCCTGCTCCATACTTTTTCTCAGGATCACTCTCCAAGGGTAGGAAAAGGTTCCAAAGTCCTTCAGCCTTGGCTTTTTCCTATCACAGGAAAAAGAAGTCAGTGAGCCACAGAGAATGACTGAGTTTTATTTTGGCCTGGGGAGCACAGTGAAAGGGATTAGAGAGAAGAGAGCAGCAGCATGTTCCAAAAACAATGACCTGAGCTCATGCAATTGGCTAGATATAAACCTGCAGGTTTGTGGGTGGCATACTCAGGAGGCAAGCTAATGGGGACTGGCAGTCAGCTCCCCTGGGATCTCCATTCCCAGATATTCCCTTATAGCCACATCTCATGAGTGTCACTACAGTTAGGAACCTTACAGGAACCCACTCAAGCAAGGACTACTATAGGCTGAAGGTCCCTAGTGCAAGGGACAGGAGGCAGGTCCAGAACCTGTGGCCAACACCTCAGCTGCTTTCATAGGGGAAATGAGGAACCCCTGACCAAGCTTCTTTTATGAGGCACAACTTTCTTCTTAGGCCAAAGACCTCAGGCTGGGGAGGCAGGAAGACAGCCTGGGGGCCAGAGCTTAGGCCTTCAGTGAGGTATCTGGCTTAGTTCTCGGCCCAGCACACCTGGTGGGGGACTCTGGACAACAGCTCTGGTCTCTGTGCTTTAGTTTCCCATCTGTGAAATGGGGACATGACCATCTGCCCTCTCAAGTCAGGATGGCCAAGGGGCAGCCACAAAAGTAGTCAGTGAATAACTAAAGGAAGCAAGGAGGCCATGGGAAGGTTCCCCACCAACAGGATGCTTGGTGGTCCTGCTGGGACCCCACTGCTGTGGAATGAGTGAGCGCTGACTGTTTTTCATCCTCTTCCAATTCCAGAAGGGAGAAACGGCTGGCCCAGCTTGGGTCACATGCCCACTTTTGGACCAGGACTTGGCTGGTACCTTGACTGACCACTCTGTCTCCAAAGGGGAAAGCAATGTCCCTAAGTAACTGGGGTGCTGCTACCAAGAGGAGAGGAGATGGATACCAGGCAGCCCAAAGCCTACCACGGCCAGAACACCCACCTCACTGGGTTGCTGTGAAGAATAAATGAGGTAATGCACAGAGCACAAGAAGCCTGGCACCGAAGCCAGCAGGCTACAGTGAATGTTAAAGACCATGGATAGAATCACTCTTCCTGACTCTGCTCACTGGGAGGGCACCAGCTGGCCTGCTCGTCATGTTACCTGCTTCCAGAAGCACTACAAGGACTTCTCTCACTCTTCATTGAGCAAATTAACTCAGCATAATGACCAAGAATGAAAAGGGCAGATTAGCAAGCAAAGGATGGGGAGGGAGAAACAGGAAGAGACAGAGGAAATGAGTTCAATTTTCTGCTTGTAGGAGGGGGGATAACAAAGGTGCAGAATTTGAGCTGGGGAATCTGTTTGATTTGCTGCACAAATCCCTCTCCTTCCCTGTAGATTAAGATGATAATGGTCATGTAACAGGATTTGTGCAGTGCATGGTAAATAGCCAAATATTACTTCTCATTTACAATATTTTGGATAATAGTTATGAGCTGTGATTTTATCACTGTACTTAAAAATCTTAGTGATCATTATGAATCCATTCAGGTGTAATTAGTAGAATGTTCACCAAGATAGGTTTTTACTAGGCCTTATTTCTTGACCTAGAGGTGTTTACTGTATGAGTTTTTTTTTTTTTGGCAGTACTGGGGCTTGAACTCAGGGCCTCACACTTGCTAGGCAGGTATTCTACCACTTGAGTCATGTCCCCATGCCCCCCCTTTTCATCTTAATTATTTTTAAGATAGGATATTATGGTTTTGCCTGGGGCCAGTCTTGCACTGTAATCCTGTTAATGCCTCCTGAGTAGCTGGGTGCTCCTGGGTACAGGCGCATGCTGCCACAAGCAGCTTGTTGGTTGTGATGAAGTTTCACTAACTTTCATCAAGGCTGGCCTTGAATCATGATCCTCCCAATCTCTGCCTCCTGAGAGCTGGGACGATAGGTGTGCTCCACCACACCTGGCCCCAAGTATTTGCTTTTGTAACTGGTCAGGCCTGTATCAGATGGGCAAGAAGTATGTTAGCCACCCTAGGGGACATCAATGATGGGAGTATGAATTGGATAACAATGTGGCAATATTTATTGACCCTGTAAGTGGTCTTGCTATGGTTCGGATCTGGAATGTCCCCAAAGGCCCATGTATTAAAGGCCTTAGTTACCTGTCTGCTATTGGGAGGTGATGGAAACCTTAAGAGAAGGGGTCCAGTGGAAGGTCTTTAGGTCATGAGGAGGTGCCATCAAAGGGGATTGTACGAGCCCAGTCTCTTCTTCTTCATTTCCTGGCTATGATGTGCCACCACAGCCCAAAGCATGTGATTGAGGCCAACCAACCACAGACTAAACCTCTTACACTCCAAAACAAACCTTCTCAGGGTAGGTGCAGAGGCTCACATGTGTCATCCTAGCTACTTGGGAGGCAGAGATCAGGAAGATCATGGTTTGAAATCAGCCCAGGCAAAAAGTTCAAGACCTCATCTCATGTCCATGCCTGTCATCCCAGCTACAAGGGGAAGCACAAACAAGAGGATAACAGTACAGGCTGGTCCAGGCACAAAGTGAGACCTATCTTAAAAAAAAACTATGCAAAAATGGCTGGCAGAGTGGCCCAAGTGGTAGCTTGCCTGCCTAGCAAGTGTGAGGCCCTATGTTCAGCCCCCAATACTGCCAAAAAAAACCTTTAAAAACATATAAACTTTCTCCCTTATTTGGTTGATTAGATCAGGTACTTTGTGATAGTAATAGAAAAATGACTCACACAGATTTTATTCTTGGACCACTTTTTTTTAACTTAAAAGAATTTATCTTGTAGAAACAAATAATGTACAAAGAAATACAGAAAAGAACATTTAATGCTCCTTGCTTGCACAAGATCCAAATCTCTTCCTATTTTGGGGACTCCTTCATTATCTAAGTTTTTGTGGAAGGCAGGACCAGATCCCTCCTTGTAGGGGTTTTGGGTTTTGGAGAGTTGTTCTGTTTTGTTTTTTTGAGACAGGGTCTTGCTACATACATAGCCCAGGCTGGCCTCAAACTTGTGATCCACACCTGCAAAAGCTAAAGAGGGCCAGACATTGCCTCCTGCTCCCCACTTCTGGCAATGGGCATGGAAACTACCCGGTCAGCTGGAATCCCCACCTCAAATCCCAAGGCCCAAGGAATCACCCAGGGAAGACCTCCTGGCCAGCTTCCCTTGGTACATAGCCTGGCCTGTGCTCCTGCGGCCTACCTTCCCTTGACTTCCCTGAAGTCAGCTCCTCAGCATTCCTGTTGATGTTACCAGCTACCTAATGTCCTCTGTGTTTAAGTGACCCACAGTTGGCTTTTGTGGCTTACACCCAGGCTGTCCACTGGGTCTGGACCAAAGTGAACCTCAATGGCAGGTTAGATAAATTATGGTGCACCCACATCACAGTGTGCAGAACACCAATCTCCATGTGTTTCCAGGTGTCTATAAACGTAAAAAGCAAGTGGAAAATTTGAATGTACAGAACAATTTCATCAAACATAGCAAAAGCTGTATGTGCTAGCATGTAACAGAAATGCTCACAATACTAGAAAAAAATCTGGGCGCACAGTGCAGCAAGTTATTGACAGTGATTACCTCAGGGGTAGAGGATTTTGGAGAACTCTTATTTTTTATGGTATGTGCTTTTGGCATGTTTAAGCTTTGTTTAATTTTGCAATATCCTTGAAGCCAGAAAAGCAAATGATGCTACTTCTAGAAAAGTAGACGATGGTTGCACTGTGTACCTGAAGAGCTTGAATAACTTGAAGACTAACAAGGTTCGAGGTTATGTGTAGGAGGACAGAACCGCTGTGATGACTGTCAACTTGATTTGATTGAGAGCCGCATAGGAGGTTGGTGTGTCTGTGTGGGCACAGAGGATTAGCTAAGGAGCGAGGCCCTCACCCTCACCTAGTCCCCTGAATGTGGGCAGCGCCATCCAATAGGCCAGGAGCCTGGATGGAATAAAAGCAGTAGAAGGAGGAAGCCAGCCAGCATGGGCAATCCCCCTCTCTGCTTCCTGTCCACCAGGAAGTGTGGGCTCCATCACACACTCTCTTTGCCTCACAACAGGCCCACAGCAATGGAGCAAACCAACCACTGACTGAAACCTCTGAAGCTATGAGCCAAAACATATCTTTCCTCCTTTTACATTTTTCTCTCTGATATTTGTCACAGCCACCAGAAAACCGGCTAGCACATTAACTAACCTCGTGTCACTGCAAGACAGCAAATACCGCTTACAATTGGTGGGCTTTGACATTGTGCATTGTCTAGAGAGACAGTTTACTGCTTGGTATAGCATGCTATTTCAAATTGCATAATTCAGCTCTACATCCCAGAAGCCCACCTGTCTCAGCTTTCTAAGCCACTGGATGGCATTCCTTTTCAGACCTGAGCTATCTGTGGTTACACAGCGAGAAAACTGAGTAACAGAAGATGATGGAAAGCCAAAGATAATTTTCTCACCTCTTGTCTGTTCCCTGCCTGAGAAGGGCACAGATGTACCTTAGAAAGTGAGCCGAGGCTGACCATGTTAACAAGGTCTCACAGAGTTGACAGGCCACCTTACTTTGAGGTCTTCTATGAGTGGCGAAGGGCTCCATCTGTCTGCGGAGGCCTGGTGTCTCTGCAGCTCTGGCTCTATGGGGTACACACGCTGCTCCATAAACCGCTGCAGCCGGTCATACAGCTCTCTGACACGTGGGGAGAGGCCCTCTGGAGAGATGACCAAAGCTCCCTTTGAGACATGAGCTGGGGAAGCCTCTAGAAAAGAGCTGTACCTCCTCGTGCCTGTGGGGCTCAGCAGTGACTGTGGAGTAGCCCAGGTACAATAGGACCGGGTTGATGGTTTGCTGGCTGGCGTGTCTTTGAAAATCCGGAATCCTTCTTTGGTTGCAAAGTCCCAGGCCAGGTCAGACATGAATTCAGTCAGCTTCCCGCTTTGTTTGGCCATTGCTGAGCTCGCCTGTCCTAAGCAGAATGAAGGAAAACAGTGACCACGCCTAAGAAGCCCTCTGAATGAAGCTCGTGCATGACTTCTGGTGATTCCAGACACCATGTGGTAGTGATCACAGCTCACTGAGTCCCAGGGCAGCACAGCTGTTCAAGCTGTGCTCTGCAGTCGGTGAGGAACCTGAGAATTGCAGGGACTGGAAGTCAAACTCAGGTCTGCCTGCCTTCTGCTTGTTACCTCTGCTTTTCCCCAAATCACTTCTGCTGCACCAATGGGCTGGGAGATGTCCTGCACTGTCCTCACTACCCTACAAGTCTGAATGACAGTGTCACAGCTGGCAGGCAAATGGCCTATTTTTAGGCACCATTTTGCCTGGGTGAACAACCAGCACCAGCTGATTGAGTGCCAGAGAGCACTCTCTTACCATCATTTTTTAATACATGCACCAAGACATTTTTTTTTTTTGGCAGCATTGGGGTTTGAACTCAGGGCTTCATGCTTGCCAAAAAAAAAAAAAAAGAAAGAAAGAAATCTAGAATGCATAAAAGAATACACAATCTATCTATAAAATTTTATGATGATTGAATTAACTGAGTGTTATAGAATTCTGGCCACATCAGTCCCTGCAAAGCCTCTATGCCACTTGGCTGAGGCTGGCTGTCTTACCTGTGAGCGAGCGCTTGTACACTCCCTGGAGGATTGCAGCCACACGGAAAAAGGAGAAGGCCATGTAGAAGCTCCAGTTCTCAATGGGAGGGACATCCATATGAAGACAGTACATCCTGAAGTACTCCTCCGCACTGGGGATTCCCAGTTGCGTCAAGTCCAGGTCACCAAACCCTGAGGTGAAAGACAGAGGCATCCCTGGGCAGTCAGTGTCCACACTTACGTGTGTGCAAGTGTCGCAACTCTGAAGATCTCAGAAATTCGTCTCACAGCCAGTTCAAGGAGGTAGCTCAGGATTTCAGTGGCTCTTCCTCTGCCAGATGGCTGGAGATCCAGGCATGGAGCCGTTGTTCACAGATTGGATTTCAAAAGTTTCAGTCTAAATTAGCGGCAAAGCAGGAATGTGACCCTGATTTCCACCTGGACCACAGGGCCTGGCGGATGCATAGTTCCCTCGAGCAGTCACTCGATGACAAACGGAACTGGTGAGGCTGGGGCTTCAGCTCAGTGGGAGAGCACTTAGTTAGCATGCACGAGGCCCTGGGTTCTATCCCTACCACCACACATGTGAGCACACACAGACACACATACAAAGGCATTGGAAGAGAAATCTCACCAACTTATAAAAAAAAATTACAATAAATTGAGAATTTCCACGGATTTGCAGCTTGGTAGTCCTAGCTGCAATCCTGTAAGCCTGTAATCCTAGCTAGGCAGAGATCAGGAAAACTGTGGTTCAAGGCCAGCCCAGGCAAAAAGTTTGCGAGACCCCATCTCAACCAATAAAAACTGGGTATAGTGGTACATGCCTGTCATCACAGTTATTCAGGAAGCATAAATAGTAGGATCAAAGTCCAGGCCAGCCCAGGCATAAAGTAAGACCTTATCTCAAAAATAACCAAAGCAAAACGGGCTGGGGGAGCAGCTCAAGTGGTAGGAGGCCTGCCTAACAAGCACAAGACCCTGAGTTCAAACTCCAGTACTGCCAAAAAAAAAAAAAGAAGAATTTTACTGATTTGAATTGATCCTAGGAGGACACCTTTTATTTCAGCAAAGATAATGCTACAAAGATGTTCAATGTTTTATTTTATGGGGTTCAGGGGAAATTAAATATCCCCATAGGAAGTAAATGTCTGAATTTTAACTATACATGAAAAAATCCAATGCTGTCATTCATTAAAAATTAAGTCATCAAAAAAATAGTTAATGATATGAAGACATCTCTGAAGTATACAATGAAGTGGAAAAAATTGAGTCATAAAAATATAGAAATACATTTTTGTTTAAAAATGTACATATACACATAGAAGAAAGGACAACAAGGATAGATACTGAAGCATCATCAAATAATTATCTCTGGGACTAAGAGATTTTTTTCTTTTTTGTATGTGGTACTAGGGTTTGAACTCAGGGCCTTCACCTTGAGCTACTCTACCAACCCTTTTTTGTGATGGGTTTCTTTGAGATAGGGTCTCTCGAACTATTTCCTGGGTGGCTTTGAACTGCAGTCCTCCTGATCTTTGCCTCCTGAGTAGCTAGGATTACAGCTACTCAGCTGAAATTACAGCCACCAGCTCCCGGATAGCTAATTTTTGTTTTTGTGGGCTCTAATGTTTTTACAGCAAGCTTGTATTTCTTTTTCTTTTTTTTTTTTCATTTTTTCTTTTGCTGTACTAGGGTTTGAACTCACGCTTGCTAGGCAAGCACTATTCTACCACTTGAGCCACTCTGCCAGTCCTTTTTTTTTTTTTTTTTTTGGTGTGTGTTAGGTATTTTTGAGACAGGGTCTCACTTTAATTTTACCTGGACTGGCCTCAAACTGTGATCCTCCTCCTCTCTGCCTCCTGAGTAGCTAGGATTACAGATGTGAGCCACCAGTGTCCAGCACTTGAATTTCTTAATTTAAAATTAAGTAGAAGTCAGCTCTTTGAAAACACAGAGGTGTCTACACGGTGTACACTCACCTAACACACATACTATGCCTATCATTCCCACTGTGATAGAAACACACCCCAATGACATTATTTCTACCAGAATCACAGGACTGCATTTTCACAGCCCCAGCCCAATCACAAACCACCTCAGCCAAGTTTGCTCCACCAAACTTGGGAGAAATGAGCCATCTCCACCACTCTGTCCCAGGAACGGTTCCTACCTCTCAGCAAGGGAAAACTGGACGGCAGGTAGTGGGCCAGGCAGCTGTAGGCCACATCAGCAAGGGGGTCACCTAAGGTGGAAAGTTCCCAGTCCAGGACAGCAAGCACCTGAGCCTTCTCTGGATGAAACAGCAGATTGTCAAGCCTAAAGAGGCACAGAAGAATGATGACAGCTCTAAGAACATTGACCAATAGGGCACACTCTGCGATGGCAGGTCAATCTGCCCCTCCAGGCTCACTCCCCACACTGCTGGCTCTGTATACCAGGAACCTGAGATGCATGGACTATACCCTCCAAGCTCTGACTTCCACCTGGAGCCAGTCAGTCAGGGCACCAGTGGAAGATGGGAAGGGGCCTGGCTACGAATTGCCACAGCTCCTTCTCTGCAGATGGCTGAGGGGTGGCTGAATTCCTGTCCTGAAGGTCATGGCTCTGGCCATGGAGCCCTTTCCACACAGCTGCCCTTTCTGGGTTCTGATAGTTCTAAAACAAGTCTCCAGCCACAGAAGGAAAAGGTCAAGTCTAATTCCTCACTCCTCAAAGCACCTGGCTCCTAACAAATTCAGAGAAGGAAATGATGCTGAGGGACATGTCTAGACCAGGTCAGGAATGTGGGTCTGCTTCCTTGAGCCCTGAGCTGCCAAATAAGAAGTCAGCATGCTGGGGAGAACTTGGGAAACCACAAGCGACAGAGCGGCCTGAGGAGCCCAGCTGCTACCATCTCCTCTGCCCCAGAGCTACGTGCCAGTTAGCCTGCAGATGAATCCAGCCCCTGCCATGGAGCCACTCAGTCCTGTGAACTGGTGCAGTGGTGAGCACAGTAATTCCTGTCACAGCCTCAGCAGTCTGGTATATAGTAGTAACAGTGAGAACACTTTAGCCTTGGCACTCCCACTCCAGGCTGTTCTTGGTTCTTCTACACCAGGCTGTACCCTGTGTCAAACTCCCCTCAAATGGCCTCTTTGAGTCCTGTTTCCTGCCAGGGTTCTAGTGCAAGAAAAACTGAGCCAGCACCAGTGGCTCACGTCTGTAATCCTTGCTACTCAGGAGGCAGAGATGAGGATCTCGGCTGGAAGCCAGCTCAGGCAAATAGAGACACTATCTCAAAAAAACCCATCACAAAAATGGGCTGGTGGAGTGACCCAACGTGTAGGCCTTGAGTTCAAAACCAGTAACAACAACAACAAAAAAAGAATAATTGCCAGGCACTGGTGGCTCATGCCTGTAATCCTAGCTACTCAGGAGGATCATGGTTTGAACCCAACCCGGGCAAACAGTTTGCGAGACCCCTATCTCAAAAATACCCAGCACTAAAAGGGCTGGCAGAGTGCCTCAAGTGGTAGAGCACCTGCCTAGCAAGTGTGAGGCCCTGAGTTCACACTTTTTTTTGCCATTACTATCAAAAAAAAAAAAAAAAAAACCAGAGTAAAAAATGGACTGGAGGTATGGCTCAAGTGGTAGAGTGTCTGCTTTGTAAACGTAAAGCCCTTAGTTCAAACCCCAGTCTCAACCAATTACAAATAAAAAAAAAAGGAAATTAATAACCTAACATGCAGAAAAATACAGAGAATGATAAACAGAAACCCATGTGCCCATCTTCCATATTTAACAGATGTGATATCTACTTCTTTGTTACATTTCCTTCAAGTTTTTAAACACTAAACATTACAAATTTAGCTATGGCCTCCATACTGTCCCTCCCTTGCCTTCCTCAAAGATAAATGCTACCTTGAAGCAAGCATTAATCTCAGATATTTATGTATTTCTCTTAGCTTTGCATGTATCTATAAACCATACATGGCATTTAATGCTTTTTTTTTTTTTTGGTGGTATTGGGGATTAAACTCAGGGCCTCACACTTGCTAGGGAGGCACTCTACCACTGAAGCCACTTTGCCAGCCCTTTTTCATGTTGGGTGTTTTTGAAATAGGGTATCTCGAACTATTTGTCAGGGCTGGCTTTGAACCGTGATCCTCCTGATCTTTGCCTCCTGAGTAGCTAGGATTACAAGTGTGAGCCACCCGTGCCCAGCTCAAAATTCACATCTTTGCAGTCTCCTGGTGCACAGGTGTGAATGCTCCTGTAGACATGGGATTCCAGGTTGTAGCATGTTCTTGCTTTCTATGTTACTGGCTATTACTTTTCAAGGCAGTTGTAACTGTTCATGTTCCTGCCATTGACTGTCTGAGGAGGGAATGTTCTTCCATCTAACATCAGTTGGAAATATTTTTGGAACGTGTTGGTCAGGAAGTCACTCATGCCCTCTAAAATCAGGGGATGCCTCTCCTGAAAGTGTCATCATGGACAATATTGTACTTTAGTACAGCTGAGGACTAGGCTTGAAGACCTCACTGATGTCTCCTTCCTACTCTTGTACTGAATCCCATTTGTGGATGCCTGAGGGGCAAACAAGAGGCAAAAAACAAGGTCAGTGGAGCAGTTATTATGGCTAATAGCATAAAGACCCTCTGCCAGTCTTCCCCACCAAAGGGAAGGATTACATGGCAAGAAGAGTGCCATGGGGTAGGTGTGAGAAGATGGAAGAGGGGTCAGCTGCAGCCCAGCTGCATGACAAGTTCTAGGCAATGTGGAGGACCTGATGTGGCCCAGTCAGTCAGAGACTGGTGCAAGCACAAACGGGTTCCACTACTGCAGATGGAGATGTAACTGAGACAAAGCTCAGATTTTTGCTCTCGGATTCAGGGCAACTACTAAAGGTGGCTGAAGGAAGGAGTGGGAGTGAGTGACACAGGTCAAGTCTGTGAAGAAAAGCCAATCTAATTTGAAAAGCAAAGAATTAGCCTTTACTGTCTAGCTTTGTTCAAAAGGCACAGTTGGGCCTGGGGTATAGCTCAGTGGCAGAGCTTGCATGAGGTGTGGATCCAACCCCAGAACCAAAATAAGTAAGTAAGTAAACAAAACAAAAGAAAATAAAAGGCACAGATCCCCAGGATGGGTAAAACTACCAAATGGATCAGGGACCCAAATAAGCCATGCGTATCCAAAGTACCCTCCAAGTACTGCTGGGAAACAGAGCCCTGTGAAAGCTGCCCCAGTGCATCCAGGCTTCATTCAGAGCAGAGATGGGAAGATTAAGCAGGATCCCTGGCCCCATGCATGGCACAGTCAGGTTCTGGTTTCAGCCAGGCTCCAGACTCAGTGTGCATCACAGGGACCCTTTACTCTGGATGCAAGGCCAACGTCCACACCAGCCTCATGGGGGAGAGGTGCCTTTGTTCCACCTGATCTTCAAACATCGGTTCTCACCAGAGGGATTCTTTCTTTCCAGAGCACAGTGTGGGACAATGTCTGAGGCAGTTTTGACAGCCATGACTTGGGGGGAGGGGCTGCTGGCCTTTAATCAGTAGAAACCGGTGTGAAGCTTGACATCCTACAAGAAGCCCTCCAACAAAAGACTGTTCCAGTGTCAAGGCTGAGAAAGTCTGACTTTAAAGGGAGTTTATAAACGAGGCGCCGGTGGCTCACGCCTGTAATCCTAGCTATTCAGGAGGCAGAGATCAGGAGGATCATGTTTAGAAGCCAGACTAGACAAATAGTTTGTGAGAGCCTATCTTGGGGGGGTGGGAAGGAGGTCTTTATTCCATTTATAATGGGAATAAGATGCACTCAGACCCACTGCTTCATTTCCCCTTCAGCCATTTTTCACATCTAATGTTCAGCCCCCGGGCTGTGACTACCTGAAGTCCCCATGCACCACCGTGGTCCTCTGTTGTTTGGGAAGATGGAGTGGCAGCCAATGGATGAGCCTCTCCATTGCCGGGATGGTGCTGGTTTCTGCAGCTCGGTACTGCTTGGTCCAGGTCTGCACCTGGCGGGGAAGGTAGTCCCCTGAGGGGAAGAGGATTAGAACATGGCCGTCATGCCAACAGCCTCCACAGGCTTTGAGACTCTCAGAAATGCTCTGTGGTGGTCCTGCATCTTTGAACATACTCGTGGTACTTGGCTATTTCCCATGATTCTCTTGCCCACCAGCTGTTTTACCTTGGCTGGTTCCATGTGGCCTGGATGCTATTCTCTAACACATGGCCTTCAAGCCTGCTCCCTGACCCTTGTGGAGACCACCTGAGCATCCTAATAGCCTTTACTGAATCCCTTTGTGGCTAAACAACAGGGGTTGACTAAGAGCAGGAACTCTGCAGCCGACTGCTGCAGTCTGAATCCATGTTGTCTGTTGTGTGATCTCAGGCAAATTAATTAACCTTCTGTGCTTAATTTTCCTCATCTTGAAATGGTGCTCGAGATGAGCTGCTGGGAGAATAAATACGTAAAACACCTGGCTCCCAGCTACTCAGGAGGCTGAGACAGGACGATCACTTGGCCCAGCAAATTCAAGGCCAGGCCGGGCACTGTAGTGAGACCCTGTCTCAAAAATAAAAAAAGGACAACAAAAACACTAAATGCTGACAAGGATGAGGAACAACTGAAATTCATACATTAAAAAAAAAGCAGCTGGTGGAGTGGCTCAAGCAGTAGAGCACCTGCCTAACAAGTGTGAGGCCCTGAGTTCAAATCCCAGTACCACACACAAAAAAACCCAAAGTTACAAGAAGAAGAGATTCTCCAAGTCCATGATGGGATGTACTCCAGGACCAAATGTGCAGTAAACAGATCTCCACTAAGATTAGCCTGGGCTCCGAAGGCAAGAGCAAAGTCCACCCAACACTTAACAGCTGCCTGGCAGTTAACACCTCACCATCCGGACCCTACTGGTAGAGCTGAGCCACTGGTGGGGCAACAGCTGCCAGAGGACAGATGGCCTGGCTCACCTTGCTTCCCATAGCTGTCCAGGCCAGCAGCCTGCAGGTCCACACTGTGAATCTGACACAGCACTCTGTTCATGGCAGAGTATATGGCTCGTCTCTGGCTGGGTTCCAAGCCTGGCAGGGAGGGGTCTTTGTAGATAAGGCCTGGGCAGTACTCCATCAAGTAGAAGGGGGTGCCAATGACACTGGGAAGGACACAGATGGGTGTCAGGGACCCAACACAGACAGTGGCAAGCTGTCTGCTCTGTTCTGAGCACATGGTTTGGGTACTGGGAAGAGCTCAGTTCTTCCTGGACATAATGGATGTTTCCTGGTTCCTTTGCACATAAGCACAGGGCATTTGAAGTACCCCTCCCCCAAAGATACATATGTACACACATGCACCTGTCTATATTTCTTAGCCAGCATGCTCTCTCTCCTCCTCAGCCTGCTGCAGAAGCAGGGGAATGAGTTTTAAGTGTCCTAACACACAAAGCGGCATAGTTAAAATGGGAGTTTTGGAACTGTATAGAACTAGGTTTAACTCCCACCTACGCCAGTTACTAGCAGTGTAACTGCTAAGAGACTTACTAAACCTCTCTGAACTTTGTTGTTTAATCTATAAAACATGCCTACTTCAAAGGGTAGCTGTCAGAACCAAGGGATCAAATATACAGAGTGCCTGGGATGATGTCAGGTTCCAGTAAGAGTCAATAAACATCCCTTCTTGTTACTGATGCGATTTTTACCACTGTTTAAATTACTGGCGCCTATGCCATCCTGATTAGTATTGAGTGACCTACCAAGAGGTCACTGATGGACCTGTTAGTTCTGACTAGAAATTAGTTTTACTATTCTAAAGAGTAGTTTTGAAAATTCTATCATTATAAATGTTTGTCCTGACTTGAAAAGCTGTTATAAAAGACTTTCCTGGGTGCCGGGCATGGTGGTACATGCCTGTAATCCTCCCGAAGCAGGAGGACTTTGAGTCCCAGGCCAGCTTGAGCTATATAACAAGACCCTGTCTTTACAAAAAAAAAAAAACTGGATTGGGCGCTGGTGGCTCACACCTGTAATCCTAGCTACTTAGGAGGCAGAGATCAGGAGGATCATAGACAAATAGTTTTGGGAAATCCTGTTGAAAAAACCCATCATTTAAAAGAGCTGGCAGAGTGACTCAAGGTGTAGGCCTGAGTTCAAACCCCAGTACTGCAAAAAAAAAAATTGATATAATTAGAGAAATTTGAATATTATTTAATAATATTAAGTAATATTATTAAAGTACAGTCAGCTGTCTATATTCATGTGTCCTGCACCCATGGATTCAACCAATCATTGATCAATAATATTTGGAAAAACTGCAACTGTACTGAACATGTATAGATTTTTTTCTTGTCATTATTCCTAAGTAATGCAGTATGACAACCACTTATGTATCACCTATATTGTGAGAGGTACTGGAAGTCATGTAGGGATGATTTAAGGTACACAGGACAACATGCATGGGTTCTGTGCAAAGACTGTGGCATTTCGTGTAAGGGACTTGGTATATTGGGGCATCCTGGAAACAATCCCTCATGGACACCTCCCAAGAACTACTGTTAATTGTCTTAGATGTGATAGTGGTGACGTCATTGTAAATTTGGAAGAGATGTGAGCTGTCTGTAACTTACTTCAAAAGCCTCAGAAAAGGCCATTTACGAATGTGTGAGACATATAGCACACACACACAGGTCCCTCCTCTCAGTCGTCAAAAGCAAGTGTGGCAAGTAGTAACAAGGTGTTAATCCAGATGACATGTAAGTAGGTGCTTATTAGACTATTTTTTTCTCCTTTGAACTTTTCTGTATGTTTCAAAATACTTATAATTTAAAAGTTGAGGGAAAAAAATAGACTCAAAAAAGCAGGTTATGATGCAACTTAAAACAGTTTAGAAAGACCACAATAAAAATTAAATTAAATAAACAACACAAAACTAGGTAAATATATATTTTTAAAATGCTAAACAGGCTATTTTCTACCCATCCCCCTTAGGCAGGCCTGCTTCATGTTTCAGGATAACTTAAAGAGCCTCTAAGCTGCTGGAGAGTTTCTTTTCTCTCCAACCCTAACAAATTTGGGTCAGTAAACAGGCTTTTCTGTCCTGTAGCTTCAATATGCAATGGCAAAAATACATGTGAATGTTACCTTGAATCGTCACAGAAGTCAAGGACTGTGGGGACAGGTACTCCAACATTTTCAAGGGCTTTCATTATCCTGCCAGAACAAATAAAAATGCCCAAAACTGTGTGTAGAACTGATGAGATTTTCTTGTAATTATTTTTCCAATTTAAAAAATAGTACACTGGGGCTGGGATGTAGCTCAGAGGTAGGAGGCTTGCCAAGCATGCACGAGGTCCTGGGTTTGATCCCCTCGCAATGCAATACACACACACACACCACACACACACACACACACACACACACAAACATGCACTAATTACAGTATTTCTACTTTGGGGGGCAGTACTGGGGTTTGAACTCAGGGCCTTGGGCTTGCTAGGCAGGTGCTCTATCACTTGAACCACACCCTCAGCCCTGTTTTGCTTTAGCTATGTTTTAGGTAGGTAGGGTCTCACATTTTTTTCGTGTAGGGATAGCCTCAGACCATGATCCTCCTACCTAAGCCCTTCTATGAGCTGGGATTATAGGGACACACCACTTATTTATTTATTTATTTTGCGGTACTGGGCTTGAACTCAGGGCCCACACCCTGAGCCACTCCACCAGTCCTTTTTTGTAAAGGTTTTTTTTGACACAGGGTTGAGAGAACTATTTGCCCTGCTGGCTTCAAACCATGATTCTCCTGATGCCATATTATGTATCATGCTCAAGTACAGCTCATTTTTTAGTACAGTGTGCATTCCTGGATATTTTGGGTGACATTCCTGCAGTCCAAAATTCCTCGGTACCTCTGGGAACTGCTCTCTGAGAGAGCTCATAAACAGGATGCACAGAAAAGAGGGCGGCATTGTCACAGTTTTGGGGTGTCTAATACACCTGCTACTACACAGGCACATCTTTGTAAATATTAACTAGCTACAGCTTTCCTCCCCTGCGTAGTCCCTAAGGTTTCATGGTCATTAGTCAGCCATCCCTGACAAATCTGGACAAGTCAGATTGTAGGAACTCAACAGTCCAGAGGAGGCAGAGCACATGGAGAAGGAGGAGGGACCAGGAGCTGATGTCATATTGTGACTGCATCTTTCCTATGTAGAGCATAACAGGCCGCAGTGAGAAACAAGAGAAAGAAGGGGACTTTCCCAAGCAAGCCCATTCTAGAGCTCGCCCACGGCTTTGCACCCATCCAAAAGCCCTGGGTGTAGCTAGTGGGATAGCCCATACCTATAATCACAGCACTGAAGAGACTGAGGTAGGAGCATAGTAAGTTCTAGGCCAGCCTGGACAACAAAGCCAGATCCCTATCAAAAACATAAACAAAACAAAACCAAGAAAGTCCTGGAGTTGAGGATGTAGCTCAGAGGTAAAGTGTCTGCCTGGGGTGTACAAAGCCTTGGGTTTGATCCTCAGCACTGTCAAAACAAAAGTCTTTAAGACTTAAGATGTATTGATCCTGTCTTTTTTCTTCTAAAGGTTCTTAAAAAATGCATTGTCTTACAGATTTAAGTATACAAAGAGAAGACAAACTTAAATAAAATTAGGTAGTTGGGAGGCCAAGGCAAGGAGTCACAGATTAGCCTGGAAGCATATGAAGATCTCAAAACAAAAATGAAAAACAAAAAATGGTCTCGTATTCCTATCTGAAATAATGTGGAAATTCACCCTTGCTGTTTTAAACATCTCAGGCTCTTAGATACTCACCTGTCAGCTTAGGGCTGCACCTGCACACTGTGGAGGTCTGGTGGGCAAGCACCAGCAAGCATCCCCTGGCCCCTGAGATCTTACCTGAACTCTCTCTCTATTGCATGAGCAGATGGAAGGAGTGTCCCAGGGGGTTTCTTCCTCAGAACCAGCTGACGATCAGCCAGCCTGATGTAGTAAGTGGGATTTGACTGTCCATGATCAAACTGAAGGAGTTCCAAAGGGCCTGCAAGTATGAAATGACACTCAAATCACAGCTGGGCCAGGTCTGGGGCGATGCTCCTTCCTGCTTCAGGATGCAGAATGGCCTCACCTGGGATGCAGTGGCAGAAAAGCCCCTCCTCCCTGGGTACCACCTCTACTGAGCATCCCTGGCAGGCACATCCACCAGTTTCTAAACACATGCTGTTACAGTGTAGCAAAGGCCAATTCCTGGGCTGGGGGCATGGCTCAAGTGATAAAGCACCTGCTTAGAAAGCATGAGGCCCTAAGTTCGAACCCCAGTACTGCCAAAAAAGACAAAAAAGAAAAAAAGCCACTTCCTTTCCACTCCATCACCTTCTCATGAACAGAGCACATCTGGCCATATGGATGCTTTACAACCAAGGGTGAAAAGCACCCCATGTGTCCCTCACCCTTACTCAGTCACACAATGCCTAACCCTGCTATGACAGCCGAAAGGAGCTGTCAGAGGCCTTTAGCTCAAGCCAAAGCTGCTTGTGGGAGGTGCGTTTTTCCACCCTGCTAGCTGCATGCTGTGGCTCCCTTGTGAGCTCCTGGCGGAGGTGGACCTAATTCAACCTCAGCGTCAGGACAAAGCTGAACTCCATGTAGATTTGTTTCACACACTCAGGAGAGCTGGCCAGAACAGGGGTCAGCCTGGTCCCACGGACCCTTCAACTTTTTGGAGGCGCTACCAAGAACCCAACCACTGTAAGATATGCTAGCATAAAAGTCCATAAATAAAAGTTTATGGGCTGGCAGAGTGGCTCAAGTGGTAGAGCACCTGCCTAGCAAGCATGAGGCCCTGAGTTCAGACCTTAGTACCACCAGAAAGAAAAAAACAATAAGTGAAAGTTTATAAGGATCGAGTGGATGAGGCAAAGCTTTGTCACCAGGTGGAATTCTCTTCAAAAGCTCACAAGGCACCTGTTTTTCTGAGGGTGAAATGTGAAGAATGAGAGAGGAATCTTTAAAAAGTTGGGTCAATTTGTTGCTCTTTAAAATCATGCAAGGTTTTTTTTTGTGGGACTGGGGATTGAACTCAGGGCTTCACACTTGCAAAGCAGGCACTCTACCACTTGATCCACACCTCCAATCCATTTTGCTCTGGTTATTTTGGAGATGGGATCTCATGAATATTTGCCTGGATTGGCCTTGAACCGTAAACCTTCCAGTTTCTGCCTCCTCAGTAGCTGGGATTACAGGCATGAGTCAGTGGCACCTGGTTCAAATCATGCAACTTTTAAGATACCTTCATAAAACAGGCTGTTGTCTCAAAAGAATTAGAAATACTCAAATGCCCCTGAGCACAAACTGCAATTCCCAAGTTCTCCCTCCCCAGCAGCCATCTGTAGGTGGGTGCTGCCATCCCAAACTCTGAAGTGGATAATGGGGGTGGGGGACAGGTGTACTCTTGTGGATCAATAAAAAGGGAGTTAATGCTTGTCCCCAAGCAACACTGAAAGTAGTACTCAGACCTGCCAGGCTTGAAGGCCATTTTTCTCACCACGTCGCCTTTCTCTCCAGCCTGGTTGATCGGGTTTGAAAGTGAGAAGCAAACTGAAAGGCTGCCATACCTGTGGCTCGGAGCCGCAGCACATCTTTGAGGTACTTCTCCAAGGCATCCTTTGGGATTTCCATGGTCTTCCTCACAGGGCGAGTGTTGGGAATCCCCTTGCGCAAGGGAAAACCCAGAAGAGTTTCCAATTCCTTCACTGCAGTTTCTGGATCATCAACCTGGTTTCAAAGAGAATCCCAACCATGTGTCTGTCAGCTCTGGCCTCTTCTCTGCCAGTTTCTACTAGGGCCGCTCCTTACAGGGAAATGCCCATGGGTTCAGTTCTTTAGGGGAGGCCACTGGAGCCAGGACTCTCAGCTAACAAGGAAGCAGAATGACTTTCTCTTCCATTTAATTCCTAACCACACTGAACTATCTACTGCATGGAAGAGCGCTGTGTAAGAGTTCACAATAAGCTGAGCCTGGTGGTGCACACTTGTAATCACAGCCATTGGGAAGCTGAACCAGGAGCATCGTGAGTTTCAGGCCAACCTGGGCTACATTGTAAGACTGTTTTTCAAAAAACCAACATAGATAGACAGACAGACAGACAGATAGACAGACAGATAGATAAATAGATAAAATAAAATATCCTGTCTCAAAAAAGAAAAAATACATTTTGTGCAGAGGGCAGAAGCCTGTGCTGCAGTGTTGGTCTGTCCCTCCATTTGTCAGCTCAACAATGAAAACCTCTAACACAGAAAGCTGGCCTGTGACCCCTGTCACTTGGCTTCTGTGCTTCACAGCCATGTCCTGGGTATCCCAGGACTCTACCTAAAAAAACATCGCTTGGCCAGTCTGAGCACCACCTCAAATGCCTTCACCTGCAGCTCCTTTCTCAAACGGCCTTCTTCACACAGGTTTGTCTTGCCTGCCACTGCAAATACAAGCAGCTTCTCTCGTAGATCTCATCATTAGTGAAAAATGAGGCGACTATGGAAAGGCAGGGGAAGTCACTATGGAAACGTATAGCTGCAGACGTGTAAAGACCACACAGAGATGTTTGCACTAAGTCCTGGTGCACAGAAGGGCTCACAAACCAGTGACAGTGACCTTGATGGTGTGAATGCCAAGGCTGGCAGCTGCTTTTAAATTTGGTCCAAGGTCATCCAGAAGGATGGATTCGGAAGGCTGCAGGCCGAGCCGCTCCAAGCACAACTGGTATATTCTAGGGTCTGGCTTACAGATGCCTTCCATGCAGGACTCCACCACCTAAGGGAGGAGAGAGGGGGGTTCCTAAAGGTGGAGCTCCCACACTTACCCTGATATATTTTTTTAGAGAAAAAGCAGAAATGAGACATTGAGAGTTATTAAAACAAGTAACTTAAGAATGCTGTGATAAATTGAGCATGGTGGTGCATGTCTGTAATCCCAGCACTTGAGAGACTGAGCCAGGAAGATCACCAGTTCAAGGGCAGCTTGGGCTACATAGCAAGACCCTGTCTCAATTCTCTCCACCATCACCCGCTCCTCCCCCCCCCCAAAAAAAAAGGAAAGAAAGAGGGCTGTGATATAGAATGATGCTGCCTTCTTAAGTTGGGAGATTCTGGGTCACAACCTGGGCTTGACAAACTTGAGAAATCACAGCTCTGGGTCAGACACCATGGCCCTGTACAAACAACTGGCCCCAATCTCATCATTAAATGGGAATAATAACACTTTCTTATCTAGCTTAGTGGTTACAAGAAACTTAAAGGGAACCTTGAGTGAGTTCCAAACTAACAAGGCCCTTGTTAATGTCACATGTGGTTACACAGTAGAAAAGCTGCACATTTCACTGAAGGGATCCAAGGCCATGTGACAAGAGAAAGCCACAAACAGAATCTGAGATCCCTCACTGCATCTCATGGGGTCTCACACCTATATTCCTATGTACTTGGGAGGCAGAGATCAGGAGGATCACGGTTTGAAGCCAGCCCGGGCCAACAGGTCACAAATACTTATCACAAAAAAGGACTGGTGGAGTGGCTCAAGTCATAGAGTGCCTACTTACCAAACACGAGGCCTTCAGTACACCACTACCACCAAAAACAAAACAAAACAAAAACCCAAGAGGGCTTATGGAGATGTTTTTGCTAGGTATAACCTAAGGTTCAAATTCAGAATGTAAATGTGGTCTCTAAGGCTCATGTTCCAATCATTTATCAAATCCCATAAATGTTTAGCCCTGTCAGAGCACAATAAAACTTTTAAAAGCTCTATTGCGACCTGTTACATCTAAGCCTAACTTAGTCACATCATTGACTCCAGAGCTGCAAACGGGCAGCTTTTAATGGTGCACCCTGAAGCACCAGTGCACACCTGTTTCTATTCATCGCCTGGGCTTACCACATCAAACTGTTTCCGGTCCAGGGGCAAAAAGCTTTTCCCATTGGAAAGATAAAAATTGTTGCTCAAGACTGCAGTTTGAAGGCCTTTTGCCCGAATGTGAGAGATGGCCTCAGTCATCACCGGGAACTGCTTTGCCACTCGCTTACTGGTCAGCAAAGAGAAAAAGGAGTCCACAGGCACGGAGGTCTCTGACTACAAACAGGAAAGGGGAGAGAAGAACCTGAAGTCATTAGCATGAGAAGTCTTCATGACTCACCAGACAGAATCCATTCCTGGCTTCCTATTGCCACCTGGTTTTCAGGGCCCGGGCCACTGGCTTGTTTGCCTATGTGCCAAATTCCATGTATGATTTGTGAGATTGTGTTTGCTTTTTGAGACAGGGCCTCACTCTGGTGTCCAGATCAACCCCAAATACCTGGGCTCAAAGGATCCTCCTGTCTAAGCCTCCTGAGTGGTTGGGACAGTAGAGGTATGCCAAGATACCTGGCTACATGTGAGTTTTTAAAACTGACTTAGAACAGGCATGGGAGTTCAAGCCTGTAATCACAGTACTAGGGAGGTAGAAGCAGGAGGATCTTGAATTCAAGGCCAACCTGGCTATACAGCAAGACACTGTATCAAAAATCTAAAAGAAAAAAACGAACTGGGGGCTTGAATCAAGTGTTAGAACATCTGCCTAGAAAACATGAGGGCCCAAGTTCAAATCCCAGTACCACCACCACCAACAAAAAAAGACTGAGTCACAATGAGTAAAGAATAGGGCCATGTACATAAATACCACAGTTACATGAGTTCTTTATTCCAGGCATGGGGGCTGGTGGTGTGGCTCAAGTGGTAGAGTGCCTGCTTTGCAAGCTCAAGGCCCTGAGTTCAAACCCTTGTCCCACCAAAAAGCAAACAAAAAAAGAATTGACTAAGCATCTATATTATAGTTACCTTAAAAAATGAAAAATTATTCCAGTCACGGACTGACAATTTTTAAAAAGCCAGAATGTCACAAGAGGATGCATTAAACACACAGTTTATTTTTAATGATCTGGAAGGCATTTAATCATGTGCTCTGCATGACCATGATGAACTTTAGTTCTGATCCTTTTTGTGTATGTGTGGGTCTAGGGATTGAACCCAGGGCCTTACACATATGAGGCAAGTGCTTTCCCACTGACTGACATTCTCAGCCTAATTTTGTTTTCAATTTCAAGTTGTGTTGGTTCTGAAAACTCTCATTATCTATCAAAATCTGCAAAGGCAAGTCTGGTATTTTATGTATGCACATATATTTTATAACAACTTTACTGAAATATAATTAACATACCATTTAGTTTGCCTATTTAAAGTATACAAGCTGGCCAGGCACTGGTGGCTCACGCCTATAATCCTAGCTACTCAGGAGGCAGAGATCAAGAGGATAGCAGTTGCATGCCAGCCAGGGTAAATAGTTCACAAGACTCTATCTCAAAAAAACCCATCACAAAAAAGGGCTGGTGGAGTGGCTCAAGGTGTAGGCCTTCAGTTCAAGCCCCAGTACCACAAAATAAAGAAAGAAAGAAAGAAAAAAAGTATACAAAGTCAATGTATATTGTCGTGCAACCATCACAATCAATTTCAGAACACTTTTATTACCCTAAAGAGAAATGGCACTCATTAGCAATGTCCTCATTTTCTTCCAACACCATAATCCCTAGTTCTAGAAAACCTCTCCTCTTACTTTCTGCATCTGTAGATTTGAGTACCCTGGCATTCCATATTAATGGAATCATATCATTTGTCATCTTTTTTTCTTTTTTTTTTAGTACTGGGGTTTGAACTCAGGGTCTACATTTGAGCCACTCTGACAGTCCTTTTTTGTGAAGGGTTTTTTCAAGATAGGGTCTCTCGAACTATTTGCCCAGTCTGATTTTGAACCTTGATCCTCCTGATCTCTGCCTCCTGAGTAGCTAGGATTACAGGCATGAGCCACTGACACCCAGCACTTATATATTTTTAATTGTGGAAAATATGCAGAACATAAGCTTTACCATTTTAGCCATTTTTAAGTGTACAGTTCAGTGGCATTAAGTCACATTGTGTGCCACCATCCACCCACCGGACTTCTCTTCCTGTTACATTTTAAAGTATATTTTAGTAGAGTTATGCAAAGGTTAAATGAGTTTATATAAATAGAATGCTTAGAATAATGCACAGCAGAGAAAATGTTCAATATTGTTATTGATTTAATAAGCTTTCAGATCAAAGCCATTATGCAGATGGCTCAGAGGAAAGAATATTTTTAATTAATTATTTATTAATGTATAAGTTGAGCCCCTAGAGATGGAATCAATAGCTTGAAAACATATAATGGGTTATTGGGTTTTCGCTTTATTTTCAATTTAACCAACTTCTGGGTAAATTTTACAACCATATTCAAAGCAAAAGGGAATAATGAAGAAATGCAAGTGTCTTTATCACTTACTAATTCAGAGCAAAGTCTCCCAAATTCTTGTAAGAAAGCCTCAGTTGTTACTTCTCCTCTCATAAATCTCACCCAGGGCCCAGTTTCACCACCTTCTATTAAGGCCTTCAGTACAGTTCCGGAGGGGATATGATTCTGTACCTCCCATTCTGTAGGAAGCAAAATATCCAAAAATGAAACACAGGACAAACGGCTGGGGCTTGGGAAGCCCAGGGGAATTGTCATACCAGTTCCAAGGACATCACTGTGGCGCTCAGAAGGGGACACAATCTCAACCTTAGTCCTGCAAGGGGCAGATACTAATGTGTGCGACAGGCAACATTAGGTCCTTACCACCCCATGTGATGATTCAGGACACCATATCATAAATGGCTGGACGAGACATCAGGTCACTTACTGCTGTGGCACGGATAAGGAAATGCATGAAGGAGTGAGCTAGGTTCTGACAGCAGACCAGATCAAGCCCTGAATGTTGTGAGTCAGTCACCCTTCCTGGCAGCACAGCTGGAAGACTGAACCAGTCACTGGGGACTGTCTTTGTGGAATAAGCAAGAAAATTCCCATCCACAAAGACCTAAGGCAGTATGTGGATCAGCATTTGTGCATTACTGGGAACTCTTGGATAAGGGTGTTTTTTCTTGTACACGTTGGTTCTCTTCTATATAATACAGTTGCTGGGCTTTTATATATGTTATACATAAAATTCATGATTATATACCTAAAACATAACAGTTTATACATATGTTGTTTTGAAATGAAAACACTCTTGTGTTTTTTTTCTAACAAAGTAGTACCTGTGTATTGAAAATATTTTGGACAATATAGATAGTATAAAAAGAAAGCAAAGAGCTGGAGGTGTGGCTCAAGTGGTAGAGCACCTTCCTGGAAAGTGTAAGGCCCAGGGTGCAAACCCCAGTACTTCTGAAAAGATAAATAAGTAAAAAAGAAAGTAAAATGACAAGCATCTTATTCTTCAGAAATAACCAATGTTAACAGTATGGTATATGTGCTTTGAGAACAATAAGACTTTAAAGCTCAATCTAAAAATAATATTTCCTTCATTTTAGGGCTAATCTAAAGCAAATAACCCTTTTCACAGTCCCAGAGATAGCAGCCATGAGCTGACCGAGCTAAACAAGTACAGTCTCTAAGGAGAGCATTCTGTGGTGTCCGTCAAAAACTTAAACTGACATACACAGGATACAGTAATTCCACTCCCAGAAACTTCTTCAATATATTTACAAAAGTAAGCAAAGATTATATGCCAGATTCTCTGTACATAATTGCTCATAATAAAAAGGACTAGAAAATTAAATGGACATTAAATTAACAATGATACGTCCACATAAAGGAATACCACACACGTTAATATATATAAACTAGATGAATGATCAAAAACCATGGCTTGGGGGGCTGGGGTGCAGCTCAGTGGTTAGAGTGCTTGCCCACCATGTGCCCTGAGTTCCATTCCCAGCACCACAAAAAAAGAAAAGAAAAAAACATGGCTTGAAGGTCAAATTATGTCTGCTACATGTCTGTTTATTTGTTTGTTGGTGTTTGTTTTTTGCATTGCTGGATATTGAACCCAGGACCTCGTAACAGGCAAGTGCTCCACTACTAATTAACTATATCCCCAGCCCTCCTACCTGTTTTCATAAATAAAGTTTTACTGGAACACAACCACATCTATTTCTTTACTATCGTCTGCTTTCTCACTATTATGATAAAGGTTAATAGTTGTGATAGAGACCCAAATACCTTTGACAAGGACATTATGAAACACAATTATGGGAAAAAGCTTGCCAACACTTGAACTAGACCTTTGCCTATCGATATGAAAAAGCTGGCAAAGGGCTGAGCATTTGCTTAGCATGTGTGAGGCCCTGGATTCAGTCCCCAGCACCTAAAAAAAAGTTGGCAGAATATTCTAAGTAAAAAAAAAATGTACAGAATAATTGGCAGAGTATGATCCAATCTGTGTACGTATATATATGCATTTTATCCAGATAAACTCATAAATCAATGCATACAGATATATAAATACATAAAATGTTTTTCGGCAGCACTGTAATTTGACCTCAGGGCTTTGTGCTTGCTAGGCAGGTACTCTACCCCTTAAGCCTTGCCTCAGCCCTTTTTGCTCTAGTTATTTTGGAAAGAGGTCTCACCTTTTCCCCAGGCTGGCCTGGACCCAGGTCCTCCTAGTTTATGTTCCCTGTCACAGCTGGGATGACAGGCATATGCAACCATGTCCAGTTTTTTCTGTTGAGGTGGAGTCTCACAAACGTTTTGCCCAGGCTGGCCTCAAACCATGATCCTCCTGATCTCTGCCTCCCTAGTAACTAGGATTATAAGTGTGAGTCACTGGTGCCCTACTAGATACATAAAACTTTTCAAAGGATAACAAGAAACTTTTGATAATGATAACCACAGAAGGCTGAACCTATTGAGGAAGGGAGATGGCAGCAGGAAGTTTCCTTTGTATTTTATACTCTTTTAGCACTGTAATCAATAAATGAGAGAGACATAACTGGCTTTCAAAATGGGAAAAAATTTAATTAAATCTCCATTTTGCACCATCACAAAAATAAATTCCCAATAAATTAAATACCCAAATCAGAAAAACAAAACTTTAAAACTCAGAAAACAATATAGAACATCTTTATTAACTTTAAGAAGGAAAGTCTTTTCTGGGAATGGTGGCTCATGCCTGTAATCCCAGAACTTAGGAGACTGAGGCATAGCCAGGCACCAGTGGCTCATGCCTGTAATCTTAGCTACTCAGGAGGTAGAGATCACAAGGATCAAGGTTCAAAGTCAGCCTCAAGCAAATAGTTCATGAGACCCTATCTCAAAAAACCCATCTCAAATAAGGGCTGGTGGAGTGGCTCAAGGTGTAGGCCCTGAGTTCAAATCCCAGTACTGCAAAAAAGAAAAAAAAGACTGAGGCAGAAAGACCTTGGTGTGTTCATGACCAGCCTGGGCTGATCATGAACCATCTCACCAGCCTGGGTGAGATGCTGTCTCAAACAAAAAAAGAAAGAAGGAAAGAGTTTGTTAACCAAGAATCAGAAAGCTCAAGCCTTAAAGAATAAGTGCAGATGACTTTGACAACATTAAAAATGAAAACTTTGGTATGGCAAAAAAGTGTTATAAACAAAGTCAAAAGACATGTCACAGAAGGGACAAAATGTTTGCAGGCAACATTAACTGACAAAAAGTTATTAGAAACCAACAAGAAAAATGAGCAATTTAGAGAACAAAAAACTGAGTAAGCAATAAATATGCCAAAGAACAATAAAAAACACAGAGAGCTGAACCTTACTAGCAATCTGGAAAATGAAGTCAAAGTAACAGAGAGAGAAATACAGGGATGGAAGTTTCCCCCATCACACCAATAAAAATGCAGAAGTCTGAGCATGCAGTTATAATCCTGCGTACAGCTCTCAAGTGTCTGGGCCAAACTCTGAAAATTTAGTCACGTTCATGTTAATTTTACAGTAAGCTAAAAGCTGAAGTCAAAGCTTGGTGAGCTTTTCCAAAAAGTGCCAGATGGTGTATATTTTAAGTTGTGGGGCTATCAGGTCCTTGTCAAAACTATCCAAATCTTGCCATTACAGGGCAAAAGCAGCCAGGGACAACATGTAAATGAATGGGCCTGGCTGTGTTCCAAAACGACTTCATTTTTATAGACACCGAAATTTTAATTTCGTATGTCACAAAATCTTATTCTTGTTTTGACATTTTCCAGCTCTTTCAAAAGGCAAGCGTCACTCTTAGCTGGCAGGCCACATGAAAACTGACAGCAGGCTAGATTTTCCCCACAGGTCATAGATAACGCAGCTCTGGCTTAAATGTAAAATAGTAAGAGTATGACATTGAGCTGGGGATGCAGACCAGAGGTGGGGGCTTGCCTAGCATGTGTACGGCCCTGGGTTTGAATGCAGCCTAGCAACACACACCTCGAGAGTATGATGCTTGAGGTGAGCTGAATTCTAGTGCTTTTTTGTTGGTTTTCAGGGCTGGTATTGAACCCAGGGCCTGTGCATGCTAAGCAGACACTCTACCACTGACTACACCCTAACCCCTGAGTACCAGTGTTTTTTTTTTTTTTCTTTTTTTATCAAATTACCTTTGATATGGTTCACCAGAAACAAATAATATGAGAAGCTCAATCGAGGAAATTACAGAGAGAATACAAGGTCTCAGAACTCTGTTCATTCATCTATCTGGTGGACATTTCCTGAAAGACTGAGCCAGTGCTGAGCTGGAAAGGTAAAGTAAATAAATTCCACCTGGGGTCCTGGAACCCAAGAGCCCCACAGAGTAGATATGAACGGTCCCACTGCATTGGTGAAGGTGAAGCAGACGTGGTGCATGCTATCTAGGACACTCCACCTGGGGACAAGGTAGAAAGTCCTGACAGAGGAGAAGGCTTAAAGCTAATGATAGAAACCACAGGTTTAGGGATGGCGTGTAGCTCAGTGGTAGACTGCTTGCCTAGCATATATAAATGTGCACTCTGGGTTCCATCCACAGCACTACAAAAGAAAAAAAAAAAACACAAGATTTCCTGAGGACTTAGAAGATTCCAGACACTGTGCCGAAGAATACCCCCCCAAAACTTGTCATTGAAACAACAAGGAAAGGGCTGGGTGCGTGGTTAAGGCAGAAGAGCACCTACCCGGCAAGTACAAGGCCCTGAGTTCAAATCCTAGGACTTCTACAAACGAAAACAAAGGTAAGAGTAGGATTGAACAGAGGGGAGACACGGAAAGGTGGAGGCCAGCAGATGGAACAGAACTGGCAAAGGCACAGGCATACAAAAAGCATGTGTGTCTGGTATGTTTGGAAAACATCCCATAGTCCCCGGGCAGCTGATGCGTGAGTAAATGGTGTGACATGGGGCAGAAGCTAATCGGGAGAGCCCTGAATCCCAGGTGAAAGCTGGGGGACAATATGCAGGCATTCCAGGCTTGGAAGCATAGGAGGGAAGGAAGATGTGCATCTCAGAATGCAGTCCTGGGTGCTGTGTGGAGGCAGAAGTGCCAGAGAGCCAGAGGCAGGCACAGGTGTTAGGAAGTGAATACAATTGCTCGGGTGTGAGAAGACTGGACTCTAAACTTGGGGAGAAGCAGCAGGAATGGAGAGAGGGAAGTAGGTTCTCAAGATATTCTGAAAGAATTCTAGCAACTCCCTGTCCAGTAATCGCTATGTTCTCTGTAAAAGAAGTATAATCCCAACAGCTGAGATAGGAAGATCACCAGTTTCAGCCAACCTGGGCTACATAGTAAGAAATTGTTTCAAAAAATAAAAAAAGAGGAGCTCAAGCTGTCAGCATAAGGTTGGGGTGAGAGTGAGGAGCCTGGAGGAGCTGACAATGCATGTGAAAGGAAGTAGAGTGGAGGCAGAGGCTTTGGAATAGCACCAAGGATCCGGCTAAGGTTGAAGCATGAAAACTAGCTCATGTGGCCAGTTTGCCCAGCAGTGCCAGGCAGCCTAGACACAGAGGCACAGAACCCCTGTACAAGGTTGACTTAGGAAGGATACTGGCCAGCCAGCCTCCACAGAGAGACCAAACAAGAGGGACAGCTGTTGGCCCCTTTTCCTTCCCATGGCTGGGATGAGGATGTTATAGCAGGAGGTTAGGCAACTAAGACAGACCATGAAGTGGAAGGAAATAAAGAGAACTCACAGCACAGCTGAGGGAGAGAGAGAGAGGGAGGGAAGCAGAGGAAGGGAGAGAGGGAGGGAGTGAGGGAGGAAGGGAAGGAGAGAGATGAAGCTGAACCCTAGTCCCAGACCACATGCCTAAGCTTTCATGTGAAACTATCTTTTTTTTTTTCATGTGAAACTATCTTGTGTCAGTCTCTGTTTTGTTATTGTTTGTAACACCAAAAGGCAAAATGAATGTATCTAGTGTAAGTGGAACTGAGCTAAGAAAGAAGCAAAACCAAGCTAAGGGAGGATGAGGAGGCAAGGCTGGACATGGCAGTTTGGGGTGCAGGCTTAGGGGAGCAAGGCTGTGACCCAGGGGGAGTTCATTGAGCATTTAGGATTCTACAGCTAGCACCGTTCCCAGGAAAGCGTGGTTACTCTAAATACAGTTCCCCTTTACTGAGAATATGGGATGCGCCAGCCCTCACTGAGCCAAGCACGTGCTTCCGTGGACTGTCTCATTTCTCTTGCTCTTAGAAACACTGTTCCCAAGCAGTGATCAGAGAAACACTTGGGAGTAGCTCAACAAGGCAAAAAGAAGTTTTACTTCTGCAGAAGGGTGCAGCCACAGACCAGAATCTGATAGGCAGAACACACTGAGAGGGGAGTCAGCTTGGTTTTGATCTCTCTTTGGCCCTCACCCTGATGGATGGGTTTGGGTTCACAATCTTTGCGATTGGTTACTTAGAAACGGGGGCATGTGGGAAAAGGGGGACCTTGAAGCAGGGAGAACAAGCAAATTCTTTTGGGCAATATTCATCTTTAAGCAAGCAGTTTGAGAATAGGGCATCTTAGTAAATAGTTCTTTGACTGCAAGAACCTTGCAAGGTCAAGCCACCCTTCACAAAGTTCGCAGGCAGCAATTTGGGGAGGGAAGCTGGCACCTACACAGTGACAGTTAGACATTAACTCCTTTGACAGAAAACACCTGACTTCAGTTGATTCTCACATCCCCAAAGCCCAAAGATTATTATTATTAATCTTATAAAATTAGCACTATTATTAGTCCCACTTTCATGATGAGGAAACTAAGACCCAGAGCAGCTGAGTAATTTGCCCAAAACACTTTAGCCACTAAGGAGTGCTTGGCATTTGACACAAGGACCAGCGCACTGCCCACTAGATACACTGTTGCCTAAAGGTTCTCTGTCTCCCCATTGTCCTCATTCCCCACCACCTCAGTCCCCTAAAGGGAAAGAGAAGGAAGGGCTCACCTGCAGCCACTCTCCCTGGAGAGGGAATGAGAACTCCACCCATGTCGAAAATCACTGCTCTGTAGACACCACGTCCAGAATGTGTCCATCGGTGTGCTCCCTGATGCCTGCACTGGATAGGGCCCAGGATGGCTGCCCTCCGTGCCCACTGAAGACAGGAGGATTGGAAAAGTCTCCTTATGCACATAGTGAGGCCGAGGCTGCAGGGGAAGAAGGCACAGGACACTGCTTGACCTTAGTCTCCATCCATCGGACATCAGAACTGGTCCCCAACTGACCTCAGCATCTCCTCCCCCTCTGACCACTCCCCAAAGTACCCAAGCTAGAAAAGTGGGATTCGGCCCTGACTTTCCCTACTCTTAGCTTAGCCACCTCACTTGGGTTGCACCCGCTATGGATTCTTCTTCTTGAACACCGCCATCTGTATTTCTTTCCTTCCTCACTGCCACCGTCTGTCCATCTGTCGGTGGATCCTAGGCCATCCTCCTGCCCCTTCTCACACCTCCCTCCAATTCTTTTTACACTCATCAGCCAGAGAAATCTTCCAAAAGTGCAAGTCATGTCATATCTTAACCCTAAAAAAAACCTTCAACGTGGTGGTATACACCTTCAGGCGTGGTGGTACACAGCTACTCAGGAGGCTAAGGTAGGAGGACTGAGAGTTCAAGGTCAGCCTGGGCAACTTATCGAGTTGCCCTGTAAAAAATAGCTGGGGATGTGGCTCAGTGGTACAGCACTTGCCAAGTCTGTGCAAGACCTTGGGTTCAATCCCCACCTGCAAACAAATAAAATTAAACTTTCCATGGCCCCTATTGCCCTCAAGATAAACTCAGTTCCTCAACCTGGCTAAAAGGCTCCCTAAGATCTGATCCCCACTTCCCACAACACCTCCCCACTTCTTTTTTGGGAGGGGCAGTACTGGGGCTTGAACTCAGGGCCTTCACCTTGAGCCACTCCACCAGCCCTATTTTTACAAAGGATTTTTTCACGATAAGGTCTCAGGAACTATTTGCCTGTGCTGGCTTGGAACCAGGATCCTCCTGATCTCTGCCTCCTGAGTAGCTAGGATTATAGGTATGAGCCACTGGCACCTGGTTAACTCCCCACTTCTTAACCTCAGTCTGGGTGACATGCACACAAATGTATATGTGGTTTCTGCAAACACACAGGGTCCTCCTGTCTTTGCATATACTGTTCCCTTGGCCTGGAATGCTTCTCCACTTATTGCCTGGCTATGTCCAAATGGTCCTTCATGTGCTAGTTTACCTGTCTCTGTCTGCATCAGCCTCTTCTGGCTGCCAGAGAAGACAGATTAGACAGGACATCCCAAGATGTCCCATACCCAGCTTCTCCTAGCACTAACAATGCTACCACTACCTCCTCAAAACAGCAGCATCTCTCTTACAGGCCCTTGCCTTAGCCTAAACTTACATTCAAAAGGTTCAGGGAAAAAATACATACAACACGCAGACTTGCACACATATGACACAGGAAAATTCTATTTTCCTCATGAAAACCATTAAGCTTTTTATGTGATTTCTATAGTTTAAAGCCTTTCTAAAAATGAGGTGAGAGCAAAACAGATTGGTAAAATTGCTTACAAGTTTATACAGGTCATTTCAGTGCTGCCATAAGGACTCAAAAACCTACGCAAGCATCTAAACTAAGAAATCTTGCTGGGCGACAGTGGCTCATACCTATAATCCTAGCTACTCAGGTGACAGAGGTTAGGAAGGTGTAAAAGAGCTGATAAGAGAGTCTTTGGGGCCGGCAGGGCTGACCTGAATCCTTTCTGGGGTCCCTGTCCTCCACACACTCCCGCTAATGGATATGTGACCACTGCTCATTCCTTTACCTGCAGATGACAGTTCTGTTCTAGCTACTGCCCAGCCATCTTGTCACAGCAGGAAAACTCTGCAACTTCCCATCCCCCTAAGCTGTGGCACCTGCTACACTCCTGGACTGGAACCCTTTTTCTTGCTTTATCTGCCTTGTGAATTTCCATTCTTTTTTACATCACAGCCTGGTCCTCATGGCTCCCCAGAAGCCTTTCTTTCTTTTTCCAAACACACTATGGCAATGTTCTTTCACTCCCATTGCTCCTTCTCCGTGTCTTCAGTAGAGCGCTTAACCCATTACACAGTAACTGTTGTCATGCCTACCTCAGTCCTACCATTTCAGGAACCGTCTCATTCATCTTTATATACATCCATGTCCTCTCCCTCCTCCCCACAGTTTCTAGACACGGAGCAGGTCCTCAGTATAAATGAGCTGGAAGGATGAAAAAACTGGATGTATCAGAAAATAGGAGCCAGGTGTTGTGGTATGTGACTGTAATCCCAGCTTTGGGAGGCAGACGCAGGAGGATCCAGAGTTCTAAGTCAGCCTGGGCTATATAGTGAGAACTTATCTCAAAAATAAAGAAAGAAAAGAAAAGAAAGTAAAGAAGAGAGAGAGAGAGGCAGAGAGAGAGAGAAACAGGGAAAAGCTGAGGACAGATTTATGTTTGGCAGCCAGAAGGAACTACAACATAGCCTGGAGTTGTGGCTCAAGAGGTAGAGCACGTGCCTCCCAAGCACGAAGCCCTGAGTTCAACCCCCAGTACCACCTAACAACAATAACAAAAATGATGACTTGTCTATTTCTGACTGACAATTCTAGTTCTCTGGACTGGCATTTCTATACCACAAAGAATATGCTCCTCTTTGCCACTCAGAATAATGAGATTAGAACAATGTAGATTTGTGCCTAAATTTTACTTTCATAAATATGCACACATAGTGTGTTGTTGTATATTAAGGAGATGGATTAGTAGAGAGATTAAGTTCTGGCTCTAGAATCTGATTGCCGGGCTTCAAATTCTAACTCTGCCACTTATTAAGAGTGAGTTCCTGGGTACATTCCCCTCTCTGAGCCTCAGGTTCCTCCTCTGTAACTTGGGAACAATTACAGTACCTATCTCCTAAAGTCTTTGCTACCATTGTGTGAGGCAGAGTACGTAAAGCACTCAGATTAGTACCTGGCACGCCTCTAAATATTAGAGGGCTGGGGTGTGTCTTCAGCAGTAGAGTGTGTGCTTAGGATGCTCAAGACCTTGAAGAGGTCAGCACCACCAAAAACATGCTACCTACTATTATCATGTTCTTTAAAAGTTCACGTGAGTCTCGCGTGTTAATGACTATACTATGTGTATATGGCTTGTGCACTTTCACACAAACCAGTGATTCTTAATAGGGGGGGTCATTTGGGCCCCAAGGGGATACCTGACAATATCTGGGTACATTTCTTCCCCACTGGGGAAGAGTGGTACTGACACCTAGTGGGTGTCATAGCAATATCCTAAAGAATTGTCAGGGGACAAAATGTCAATGGTGCAGAGGCTGACAAACTGTGAAACAGGACATGAGACATTACACAGGGTGTAGTCACAACTGTATATATGCATATATCATGCGGTGACGTTACACATGTATATACAACCCATCTTCCCACGCATGTCCACCATACACTGACACACCTACATACTATTACAGCACTCTGTCAATTCAACATGCCACATAGGCACTGATGTGGGTTGCTGTTTTTTTTCTTTTTATGTGGTGCTGAGGAACGAACCCATGGCCTTGTACATGCTAGGCAAGCACTCTAGCACTACGCTATAGCTCATCCTAGTCCACGGTTTTTTGAGACAGGGTCTCACAAGGCTGGCCTTGAACTCTCAATCCTCCTGCCTCATATCCCAAATGCTAGGATTACAGGTATGCACCACCATGCCTGGGGCTGACTGTAGGTGTTAGTATCTACAACATTGCTGAAAGCAGACTGAGATCTAGTGGGTCCAAGACACGCATACACACACACTCATGGAAGTATAGCCCAGAAAGTCAATACGCATCATCTTCACAACCACCATATCATGTTACGAAACGACAGGTCAAGATCGCACCAGTGGGGGTGAAGGTCGACTCCACAAGGGCAGAAACGGGCTGACTCTACTCGCCAGTGTACCCCAAGCACCCCAACAGTGTCGAGGCTCTCAGTAAACACTCGCGAAGCTGTAGGGCGGGGAGCGGGACTCCAATCTGCCTCTAGCACTGCGCTTCTAACCCGCCCAACACCCTACCTTAACCGTCAAAAACCCTGCCATCGAGTCCCCACGAGCCCCTAGAGAAGCAAGTTCACCTCTCTGAGTCTCAGCGTACCAATCTGCAAAGTGGGCCTGACACTAAGCAACCCGGGGTTGGAGCGAGGGGTTCAAACTCTTAGGATAGCAAGAAAGCAAAGAGTAGGTTCCTTGGACAATTCGGATATCTCGCGGAGTGGTCCACTGCGGTGGCCTCAGGACAAGGCCTCCGGTGCAGGCGGAGGTTAATTCCAGCCTGGACGCAATCCCACCGCGGCGCTAGCAATAGCTCTCTCCTTCCTCGTCGACCCCGGGGATCTAGGGTCCGAAGGACGCACGCGCGACTCCGCATAGCCACGCCCACTCGGCTTGCGTTCTTGTGCGCATGCGTGACCCTCGCGGGTCAGCGACGGCGGCCGGGAGGCGGAAGTGGAGGTTGTTGTGGCTCCGAAAGCTGTGCGAGGGCTGTTGCTGCTGCTGCTGCTGCTGCTGCTGCTGCTGCTAAGGCGGCGGCGGCGGCGGCGCTGAGGCGGTGGCGGAGCTGCCAGCTCCGGGCGGCTCGGCTTCTCGGCTCGCCCCCCAGCCTCACCTGAGCCCGCCGGGGCCCGCGCCGGCCAGCGCCTGCCCTATGAGTGTGTCACTGGTTGTCATCCGACTGGAGCTCGCGGAACACTCGCCGGTCCCAGCCGATTTCGGCTTCAGTGCCGCCGGTGAGTCCCGCGGCCGCGTCTGGGGCCGGGGACGGGCCGCGGCGAGGGCTCTGGCCTCGGGTAGAAACGGAAGTGATGGGGATCCTCCCGTCCCACCTGTCCCCAGATGTCCTTTCTTAGAAGTCCTTGCCGTTCAGAACTGGCGCGTCTCCCCTCCGCCCCTTGTAGGATCGGGCTGTGCGTGTTGCCTGTTCCCCTCTAGCTTTCTGCTTTAATTGCTTTGGAAGGGACTCATTTAGTGCCCCGTGAAAATTATCCTAAGAAACACAGTTTGTATCCCGCGTCGCGCTGAGCACTGCGTGTGCATTATCTTCTTTAATGATCGCTGCAGCTCCCTAGGAGGTAGATAGGTAGTATGCCACGTTTATAAATTGGGAAACTGAGGCTCAGTGATGAAGTGATTTGCAGAAGGTTATCTGTAAGTGGTGAAACTGGGATTCTAATTCAGCCGGGCTTGGGAGTCAGTCAGCCCTTCACCATCAGCCACACATCTCTTTAGTGGGGAACGCAGCTGCGAATCTTCCTTCGACCTCCCAACATTACCTAATAATAACATTCAGCCAGGAGTGGTGGCTGGCATCTGTAATCCTAGCTACTTGGGAAGCTGAAATTGGGAGGATTGAGGTTTGAGGATTGAGGCCAGCCCAGGCAAATTGTTCACCCCATCTCCAAAATAACCAGAGCAAAATGGATTGGAGGTGTGGCTCAAGCAGTAGAGGATCTGTCTTGCAAGTGTGAAGCCCTGAGTTCAAACCCCATCTCCACCAAATAATAATAATAACAAGGACAGCATTCATTCAGGGGATTTATGGATTCTCGGTGTCTGCAGGAGCTTTCCTTGTGTGCAGAATTAGACATGGTCTCTGCTTTATGGTGCCAGCAGTTGGGTAGGGAGTCATGTACATTAAACAAGTACAGAGTAAATGGAGGACCTCGCTGTGCTGAATGGAGAAGTGTCAGGGGAACTCAAACTGTTTGGCTGGGGCAGGTAAGGATGGTGTCCGTGGAAGCTTCCCTCAGTATGTGGACTTGGGAGCTGCAAATTAAAGATTAAGCTAAGATTAAATATGTGTGTGTGTGTGTGTGTCAGGGTCACACCATATTGCCCAGGCTGATCTCTAATGAAACTACTTAATTCAAGGTTGAGTATCTTTCAAAGGCAAAAACTGACCCTGGTTCCAAAAGTCAACTAAATTGGCATTAGCCACATATAGACATCTACATAGGTCAGTCATGGAGTCATTTATTCAACAACTATGTAGAGAGCTCTCATTGTGCCGGACACTGGCATAAGTGCTGGAATACAGTAGTGGGTGAGACTAGCCTGGTCTCTGCTCTGACAGAGCTTATATTACATACTAAGTTAATATTAAGTCAAATCTCAGTTCCTTTTCTTCTATGTTTCATTGATTAAAAGAAAACACAGCATGAGGTTAATTCAGGGATGTTTAAAAAGACAACCTCTAAAGGCTTTTGAAATACTGTTTATTAATGGACTTGATACCTTCAGTGTGGGCTCAACACAGGATCTCAGTTTACCTGGTCTTACTAATAGTTCATCTGGGCATAATCACTATGGAACCTTCTGTTGATTTACATTTGTGTGTGTGTGTGTGTGTGTGTGTGTGACTGGGGTTTGAACTCAGGGCTTTGAGCCTATAGAGCAGGCATTCTACTCCTTGAGCCACACTGTTTGCCTGGGCTGGCCAGTAACCTTGATTCTCCTTATCCCAGCCTCCCAAGTAGCTAGGATTATAGGCTTGAGCCACTGATGCCAGGCTTCTTGTTGATTTACTTGAAAGTGCATAATTTCATTAGAACAGTTATTATACTGGGTGCTGATAACTTAACTGTTTGCTGAGAGTACTGCAGGAGTCCCAGAGGCACATGGGATGGATACCGGAAAGATGTCTTATCTTGGGGGAGAGCAGCAGAGAGAAAAAGGAAACCTATCGATGGGTATGACACTGAGAATGGAGGGGAGCTTGTTTTATTATCAGGTATTAATCATTCATGTGTTCTTTAGCTGGGGAAATGTCTGATGAAGAGATCAAAAAGAAGACACTCGCTTCAGCTGTAGCCTGTTTAGAAGGGAAGTCAGCAGGGGAGAAAGCAGCAATCATCCATCAGCACCTTGGCCGTCGGGAAATGACAGATGTGATCATTGAGACCATGAAGGCTAACTCAGGTATGCCTTCAGAAACCCTGCATTCTTTGGTAATGCAATACCTAGTTTATGTTACTTCTTTTTTTTTTCTTTTTTTGTTTGGTGGTACTGGGGTTTGAAATCAGGGCCTTGCACTCACTTAATAGGTGTGTGCTCTACTACTTGGACCATGCCCCCAGCCCAGTGACACCTATTTTGTACATGTTGTTTGATGAGCCCCTGATGTTGACCTCTAAATACATTTATCTTTCACTGCCTGTGTGCTTTATGTTAAGTCGTTAGCCACATTTTAGTTTCTAAATGTTTCTTACAAATTAATCCTAAAGCCAGGCATGGTGACCTAAGCCTATAGTCCTAACTACTTGGGAGGCTGAGCCCACGAGTTCAAAGCCAGCCTAGTCAGCATAGTGAGGTCATGTTTCAAATAAATAAATAAACAAACAAATAACATATATATATATTAATTGTAGCAAGCTGGATTTGCAACTCTACCAGTTGAGGAGAATTCCTTCCACTTAAGTCAGCAGAAAGTTGTTAAGTGCATCCAGACAAGCATGCCCTGCCTCCCCTGCTCAGCCAACTCATTCCAGCTGGGGGATTGGGTATGCCATGCATCTCCAGCATGGGGTGGCCAGAGCTGGTCAGTTTGATTTTCAAACATAATAGCCCTGAGTGTTTGTCCCACTTAGCAGTCTGTGGTGGAAGATCCCTGCTTGTATTATAGCACTACTGGATGTAAGAGGCACCCTAAAATTTCTGAGGGTGTTAGGAGTACTTTATGGGCAAAGAATGCTTCAAAGTTGAGATGCCTCCAAATTCAGCAGTTCTGTGAATATAGTTTTTGGGGTTTTTTTGTTGTTTTTGTTTTGTTTTGTTATGTTTTGTTTTGTTTGTTTTGTTTTGTTTTTGGCGATACTGGGTTTAGACTCAGAGCTTGCATCCTGGGCAGATGCCCTTTCTGCTCTGGTTGTTTTGAAGATAGTCTTTTGCTTTTTGCTCAGGCCACCCTAGACTGTGATCTTCCTATTTTAAACTTTCTGCTGTTGTTGGGATGACAAGCACATGCTATCACATTCAGCTTTTTTCCATTGAGATGGGGTCTCACAAATTTTTTTGCCTAGGTTGACTTTAAGCCTCTAACTTCCCAATCTCAGCCTCCCATATAGCTTGGGATGGCAGGCATATATCACCATGCCCAACCATTGATTGAGGTGGGGTCTCCTGCAGTTCTTGCCCAGGTTGGTGTCAAACCGTGATCCTCCCTATCAGCCTCCCAAGTAGCTAGTATTATATTGTAAGCCACCAGTGCTGGCTGAATGTAATTCTTAATACGGTGTATTACAATTTCTCTGTCAGTGTATAGTCTAACTTGAAATCTTAATGTAATTAGAAACTTTCAGCATATTTTTAGTTGTTTTTAATCTGCTTATTTTTGATTTGTGAAAGATGAACTAAAAGATACAATGGAAGAAAAGTCTTCAGAAGCGTCCTCCACTGTGCAGAGAAGTAGAGATCAGAGTAAGGAATGCATAAACGCAGCTCCTGAGTCTCCATCCAAACAGCTTCCAGACCAGATTTCATTCTTCAGTGGAAACCCTTCAGTTGAAATAGTTCATGGTATTATGCACCTATACAAGACAAAGTAAGGAAACATTTTTCCCTTTTGGGTTGGTCTATTTTTTGCCTTTAGGTAGAGAAAACTCTTGACCTGAAGGAAGGTGGATATTTTAAGCTTCAAGAAGACAGTACTTTCATGTTTTGTGCTGGAGAATTCTTAGATGTTTTACATTTGGTTGATCTTGTGGAGGGATCAGAGCTTTTTCTCATAAAAGAAACATGTAGGCACACTTAAGAAAATACCTGGGAAAATAATCTCTTAGCAGTTAGACCTGGTTGGTGATTGGGGAGTTGAAAGGAAGAATAATCAAAACAAGAAAAGAAAATGATCCACAGCATCAATATAGTCTCATATCCCCAACAAATCTTTCCTAAAGAAGCCAAGAAATCAGTTAACTAATTTTAATTTTATTACTTCTTTTTACCCTTTTCAGTGGTCCAAATAAAGCTTGCTAGAGGTCCAAGGAAAGGCATTTAGCTAGATAACCCACAGCCAGGCCATCAGCTATTTGGATAATTGGTAGCTAATGTCTTAAAGGTTATCCTTGTCCTGACTTGTTGGCCAGCTCCCTCCTGGGAAAGCAGTGAATACTCTTGTAGCCATTTTGGATCACAGCTCTCAAATGAGTTTGCAGTATTTCAAAAGCAGATCGCATTGTGGTTTTTCTTTCCCCTCTCTTCCAGCTATTTCAACCTATGAGTTGAACACTCATGGTCTAGAATTGTCTCATAGGTTTAGAATCCTTTTTTCTTCTAGACCTTTTGAGAGAGGTCCATAGCTAGAGTTGTACTTCTAATTTGCCCAATGACAGATTATTGTTCACAAACATAACAGAATAAAACACAATTGTGAATTGGCCTAATGCAGATTCATGACCATAACAGACCTTTAACTGGAAATTGAAAATTCTGGTGGAGGGTATAATATGGAACATCTAAAAGCTTGCCTTAAAGTCCCCTGCAGATACGTGTAAGCAATTTTGCGTTTACTCTGATCATATGCATTCTCTAGTACAGTGACAAGCTGTTTAAATTGATTGGTGAAAGATTACAAGTTTTCTCTTTTCCTGTTGTTATTGGATGTAAGAATTGTCTGGCTAGTGTTATCTAAGCTAACCATAGCTCATCAACTCAAGACAGTCTAGTTTTTGTCTTATTAGCAAGATGACCTCCTTAAAAGAAGACGTGAGGCGCAGCGCCATGCTGTGCATCCTCACAGTCCCTGCTACGATGACCAGCCACGACCTTATGAAGTTTGTCGCCCCATTTAATGAAGTAATTGAACAAATGAAAATCATCAGAGACTCTACTCCAAATCAGTATATGGTGCTGATAAAGTTTAGTGCACAGGTAAAAGTTAAGATCTTAAAAATCTCTTTGCCACAGAAACTGCGTTTTTGAAAATGCATGATGTTGTGTGTGATTTACAATATTTTGCACTTAAGGTTCTCGACATATCTTCCAGGGAACTGTCACTGTAGATAAATGTTTAGATTCATTACCAGAAAGACAAGAGTGGTTCATACATGTGACTTTGAATCAGATTGAGTGTGGACGCAAGGTCTTGTTTGCTTATCTGTCGGTACCTAGCCCAGTAGAGCAGTAGGCCTCAGACTTTGAAGTTGTATTATCGTTGTATTATTTTCCATTACCCCTTTTCCTTTCACTCTCTTTTTACACATTTTTGACACATTTTAAAAAATAAAATCCATTTTGTTTATTTTTTAAATTTTGGTGACAAGAGGGATTATTTTGACATTCTCTGAAGGATGCTTTTAAAGGCCTGATAGAAAATTACAATAGTTGAAAGACAAACACTGAGAGAAGGGTGATTTTTTAGATTCTGGACATTCTCATGCAAGTAGCATGATGGAGGAAGGTTTTGACATCCCTCTTTGTTTCACCTAGTGCATTAAGTACCTCAGTTGTAGAGATGTTAGAAAGGTATTTTCTTGGTTTTGCTTACTCAGTCTTATGAGCATGCATACTTCTCATATGCATAAGTAAGGTAAGCCTTATGTACTAGTCAGGTTATCAATGAGCTATCCTATCCTTACATTCATTCATTTTTGATTTTTTTAAGTTGCCTGTTGAATTTGTCCACTGAAATTTTATTGGTTCTTTTTTTTTTTTTTCTTTTTTTTGGGAGGGAGGACTGGGGTTTGAACTGAGGGCTTCATGCTTGCAAAGCAGATGCTGTTCTGCTTGAGCCACACCTCCAGTTCATTTTGCTCTAGTTATTTTGGAGATCGGGTCTCGTGAACTGTTTGCCTGGGCTGGCCTCAAACCACATTCCTTGTGATTTCAGCCTCCCAAGTAGCTAGGATTACAAGCATGAGCCACTGGCACCAGCTTTGTTAGGTCTTGAAATGTGGCTTTGTCAAAAGTTCTTCTTGGCTGTGTGCGGTGGCTCATACCTGTGATCCTAGCTACTTGAGAGGCAGAGATCAGGAGGATCGTGGTTCAGAGCCAACCTAGGAAAATAGTTCGAGAGATCCTATCTCAAAAATACCCATCACAAAAAGGGTTGGTGGAGTGGCTCAAGGTGAAGGCCCCAAGTTCAAGTCCCAGTACCACACACAAAAAAGTTCTCTCTCACTTCTTTGATAACCAACCTTCCTGAATTTGCCCCAGATAAAGAGTTCCAACTTGCTGATTAATAAGTGGGTGTGTCTGTAAGATCATTTGCTGTTTCCTTTCTCACTGGTCACCAAGGCTTGTGGGTGAAAGGGAGCCCATGACACAAGGTCTACTTGCTCTCTCTTCCTTCCTCATTGCCAGTAGACATCAGCTGCAGCCATTCAGTGGTCATCTGGAGGAAGTTAAAAGAAATGGCAGTCGGATTATATCTGTATTGTTCTGTGGGCTTCTTTGGGGTTTTGTGTCATGACAGGACAGAGTTGTTTGCTTTAACCTTTACAAATTACCCCAGCATCGGAGACATTTAAAACGTGTTTCAACTCTCCTGTAGACCTGGACTTCACAAACTGACATTCAGAATGGAAAAGCACTGAGACATCTCACTGACTGCCAGCAGGCCTTCTGAGGTCTCTGAGGAGCTTTGCAAATGATGGGAAGGTGGCACCTTCAGCCAGTTAGACCTGGTGCCCATGTAATAATAATAATGGTAATAACAGGTCATCTTTATTGATAGCTTCTTGTGTAAGACTTACTAGGCAAAATGCCCAGCAAGTATTCTCATTTACTCCTCACTCTGTCCTTCGAGGAAAACAGATCTCGTTGTCTTTGTTTCACAGGTGAGCACGCTGACTGCAGAGAGGTGTTGATTAGCCCAGGGTTACACAGCTGGAAATGTATGTTTGAGCAGCATGTCCTAGGATTACTCATAGTAGGAGTGGGACGGAGGTGTGCTGAAGGAGACAGTCACTGTTTGCCAGTCATTTTGTAACAGCAGTGTTTTAGTTATACTGTCTACAAGACTGATCAACAAGTAGCACAAAGGGAAAGCCACAGAACCAGATTAGGGAAAACTTTAAGAATATATTAGGCTTTCAAACAGTCTCAAGCTAATGAACCCACAATACTAAGCTATTTAGTAAGCCCTCAAATTCCCTGTATGTAGCAGGTACCCACCCCCTTTTAATATGCAGACAAGACTGTGGATGTTCCTGTTGCTGTCAGTGGATTTTCTTTGTACATCTGTGTTATCTTTTCCTCTTCTGTCTTTTCTTTGTTTTGCACTGCTGGGATGAAACACAGGGCCATATTCTTGCTAGGCAAGCGTTTTAGCACCGAGCTATATCCCTAACCCCACTTCTGTCAAGTTTACAGTTGTTTTCTGACACTGTGAAACAGCTTGTTAAATTTTCTTCCCTGGGCCTTGGAGATAGAATCCTGGTCCTTGGTACCAGGAGTTGTGCTATTTATTGCTAACCCTGGATGTTAGGGTCTGATCCCTATTATCTTATCAAAGCCCATCTTATCAAGGACTTTCTTGAGACATAATAACACCCCCTCAGAATAAGCCTTCAAGGTGTTAATACCGGGCTCTAATGAGAATAATAGACTCAGAAGCTACCACTTGTTGAACACTTGCCAGCTGTCAGATACAGTTTTAAGAGCTTCTCACACATTGTCTCTTGTATCCTCTCAGCAATGCCGTGAGCTAGGTCTTGACACCTTTGTATGTTGTAGTTGAGGAAACAGGCACAGATAAGTCACTTCCCAAGGTAGGTAGATCATGTCAAAGTTAAGATTCTAACCCAGTCAGCTGGACTGGGTAGCTGTCTCCATTCTTGTTCCATTCTTTTTTCTCGCTGAAGAATTTTTAATAACTTACAGGCCTTCCCTGAATCTTTTATAATTTCTTGAATTTCTGTTGGCCTTAGTTTTACATTGGTGGTTTTATAAGGAGATGTGCTTATAAACCTGTAGTGTAATATTTAGAAAACTCAGTGTTTGGGCAAGGGCATGAAAACAGGACAGGATTCAATGCTGTTGTTCTTGAAGATAAAATAGGACAAATAACCTCTCAGTGTGTTGGCTCATTTTCACTCATACACTCATATGATAGCTAGGACACCCTTGAGAAATAAAGTATATTTTCAACCCTATAGTTGATCACTGTGACAGTGAAGGGAGTGCTGGACACGATAGACTTGTCTTTTGAGTTCAGTCTCAGAAGAGAACAATAAAAATAAGACATTAATTAAAAAACAAAAGCTGGGTTTCCTTAAAATTTTGCCTCCATACAAAGCAAACATTTTAAATAAAAGAGTTATTTCTTCGGTGTTTTTTGAAGTTAGATTCAGGATTTTGTTTTGTGCATTTTGATATGGACTGAGCACTTGCATTTTGTTCCCTACTCTCTTCCTAGTATAGAGCACAGTGCCCGACACATAGCAGGTACTCAGTAAATACTGTGCAAGTGAAGCTGCATTACCAATGCTGAGATAATAAAGATACCATGTGTTCATGTTGGAATTCGCAGCTGTTTGTAGATGTCATCATTTAAAAAACAAGGACATTTTGCTGGGCATGGTGCTCATACCTGTAATCCCAGCATTTAGGATCCGGAATTGGAGGCTAGCCTGACCTATACAGTGAGACTCTGTCTCAAAAACAAACAAAAGTACATTTCTGTAGGTCAACAACTCCCCAAAGTTATCTGGTATTGAGTGGGTTTTGTGTCTTCCTCTGAGGAGGCCTAGTCACTTGGTGAGCACTTATTGAGCTCCGATCCAATGAGAGATCTGCCTTTCTAACAGCTGCAGATAGTTCCTGGGGTGCTGCAGACTCTGAAGAGCTGAGCTGAGCTGAGCCATACCTGCAGACAGTCAGTTCTCAGTGTGTCAATCCATGAGCTTCCTATATTGCTTAGCCATCCAATAGTGTTTCAGGAAAAAAAAAAAAACCCATTGCTCCCAAGAATGGGGGAAGCAATTTTATGATGCCTCTTCTTAGTACTAAAGAGATTTGTTAAATAACAACCAACTTTACACATTTTGAAGTAAAAATGCACTGTATTGTATCCAGCACATAGGTTGTTTCTTTCGGAAAAGACTCTCCTACTCCCAGTAAAACTACTTCCTCAGCAGTTTAAGTCACTTGGTCATATTAAGAAGGCATGAATAAGCCAGGTGCCAGCGGCTCACATTTATAATCCTAGCTACTTGGGAGGCTGAGATGGGGAGGATTGAGGTTTGAGGCCAGCCCCATAAAATAGTTCATGAGACACCATCTCCAAAATAATCAGAGCAAAATGGACTGGAGGTGTGACTTAAGTGGTAAGTGTGCCTGCTTTGTAAGTGTGAAGCCCTGAGCTCAAAATTTAAAAAAAAAAAAAAAAAAAAAAATATATATATATATATATATATATATATTTGACTAATGTAAAATCCACAGTGGCCTTACCTTATTGGAATGTAATTTAAAACTGCTTATGAATCTTACAGTGAGCTAGGTGTGTGGCTCAAGTGGTAAAGTGTCTGCCTGGCAAGCACAAGGCCCTGAGTTCAAACCACAGTACCTCACCACCACCAACAAAATAAAAAAGCTTACAGCAGTGGCTGTGAGATCCAGAATCCTATGAGGGTAGCAAGATAGGACTCTTTTACCTGCTACAGCTTTGAATCTCTTGGTAGAGGTAAAAACAAACAAACAGACAAAAAAGCAGCTCCTTTTTCAGAATCCTCCTGCTACCTTAAGCAGCTTGTCTACTTGGTAGGGCCCCAGCACACAACTTCCTGTGTTTGGGCTAATGCTCATGTAGGGAGTGAAATCCAGACGAGACTTGGCCTGCCAGCTGCCCAGAAAACCTGACTGAGTGTAAAAACTGGATTCATCTGTCTGTTGCCATCTACTAAGCCTAGACAGGATGGTTTGATTTACCTGTGTCCTTATTTATAAACAAACAATACCTTTGCAGGTTTACCTAAGGGGAGTTCTTTTTCTTTATTCCATGTATTCTCCACCACAGGGAGTGCAAGTCTTAGTGTCTCAAAGGTTGGTTCATCTTGGACCTCTTGACTATCACCAAGAGGTTTGCTTCTGGTATTGGACAGTCCTGATGGAATCTTCATCCAGTCATCATGTATCACCCTCATTTGGTTTATTGAAGAGAAGCTGGTTTTATCTTATACTGGTCCTTTTGTTTTTTAACATGAATTGTGACTTAAAAAAAGAAAAAAAAAAGCCAGGTGCCAGTGACTCACACTTGTAACCCTAGCTATTCAGAAGGCAGAAATCAGGAGGATTGCGGTTCAAAGCCAGTCCCAGAAAATTGTTCAGAGAACCTATCTTGAGAAAACCAATTACTAAAAAGGGCTGGCAGAGTGGCTCAAGGTGAAAGCCTTGAGTTCAAGCCCAAAACCGCAAAAAAAAAAAAAATTCTTCCATAACAATCATCAGTTACAATTTGGTTCTAGGCTTTGCAGAAGTGAGTGTTTTCTCTCAGCTGTTGTGAAAGAGATGACTAGAGGGAAAAAACTCAAGGAGGGCTGGCAGAATGGCTCGAGTGGTAAGAGTGCTTGCCTAGCAAGTATGAGGCCCTGAGCCCAAACCCTAGTGCTGCCAAAAAAAAAAAAAACTCAAGGGAAATTGTGGTTGTGGCTGTTTGGATATTAAATTGTAGTAGCTGTCTGCTTATCACACTTCTGTACCTTCTGCCAGTTCAAGTCAAAGCTCTCACGTTGCCCAGGAAACAGTCATGATGTAGGATGTTGACCTTCAGAGTTCAGTCAGCTTACCAGCCTCCTTTAGGGCATGTTACTTCTAGTGGCTGCTTTTTCTCCTAAGTATAAATTTAAAAAGCTGATGAGAAATAACTGAAGTCATGTATCTTCAATATAAAGCACTCTTTCAGTCTATCTGTCTTAATTTTTTCCCTTTCCCCATTGTTGTACGCAGGCTGACGCAGACAGTTTTTATATAGCATGCAATGGCCGCCAGTTCAACTCCATTGAAGATGACGTTTGCCAGTTGGTCTACGTGGAAAGGGCTGAAGTGCTGAAGTCTGAAGATGTGAGTGTGAAGATTTGTTATGTGTGATAATAAATGTAGCAGATTAGTATAAAATCGCTTAACGTTAAACCAATAATTAGATGTTAAGATAGCTGCGGAAATGTCCGGAGCAGGCCAACACATAGAGATGAGTGGTTGCCTAGGGGCTAGGGAGCAGAGGAGTAGAGTGACTTGCTAACAGCAGTGGGCTTTCTTCTGGAACATGGAAATGTTCTAGAATTAAATAGTAGTGGTGATTGCATAGTCTTGTGAATATACTAAAAGCCACTACATTATACACTTTAAAATGGAGAATTTTTTGTTTTCTTTTTGGCAGTCCTGGGGTTTGAACACTTGCTAGGCAGGCACTCTACTGCTTGAGCCACACCCCAGTAAACTTTGCTCTGGTTATTTTGGCGATGATGTCTCTTGACCTATTTGCCAAGTGCTGCACAACATCTCTGTTTTTCAGATTCTTTTCTCTAAATGAACATGGCTTCTCGAGAGTGCCTGTAAATACTTACTCCTCAGGGACCATAGATCAAAGATGCTTTTTCTCCATTTGTCCTTTCTTTGCCTAGATAGCCCTTGCTCACCTTCTGGCTGGCAGAACCCAAATCAGACACTGCTGTCTTAGGGTACTTTTCCTGACCTCCCTGCTTGTGCCTCCTATTGCACAGCCCATTACAGCCTAGCTTGTAGCACATCCTTTGTTAAATTTAATTTTGTCTCTCCCTCTGCTAGATTCTAAACTCTATGAGGGCAAGAAGTGACTGTTTTGGGGGGCTTACCAAATTATTTGCTCACCATTGTTCCACACCTCAAACACTGGCACTCAATAAGTATATGCTCAGTGCTTGAATAAATGACCTCAGTGCTACCGACAGTATTATCTCTAAGTAGAAAGTGTTGAGGTATCATTTACTGTGGAAGGATCATTCAGATCCATTGCTGTTCTCCTTTTACTCCTTTGGGCTCTGTCACAGTCATAGACATTTGGAGCTAAAGCTAGGAGTCTATTCCATTTTAGATTTTAATGTCAAAATTTTGCCAGCAGTCTCCCTAGAATGAGGAAGCTTCCATGTGGCAGGATCCTTGTCTGCTTTCACTGTGTTCCCAGTGCCCGGGAAAGTGTGGGAATATAAGTAATAGTGAAGATTTGTTGAATGAGTAAAATCTTACCAATTTAAATAATTTGCATAGAGCAATAATTTTGAGAACATCATATCAGGTGTCAAAGGGCAATGGGAAAAGTATTGTTAAGGGTCTGGATGCTGGTGGCTCACGCCTATAATCCTAGCTGTGTAGGAGGCTGACATTGGGAGGATCATAGTTTAAGGCCAGCCCAGGCAAATAGTTTGAGAGACCCCCCACCTCCAAAATTATCAGAGCAAAAATGGACTGGAGGTGTGGCTCAAGCAGTATAGTACCTACTTTATGAGCATGAAACCCTGAGTTCAAACCTCAGTCCCACCCCAAAAAAAAAAAAAAACTATTAAGAAAAAAGATGGCTAAGGAATGAAGAGTGAGTCTTACAGGAGGTGTTTCCCTGCAGGGTGCCAGCCTTCCTGTGATGGACCTGACTGAGCTCCCCAAGTGCACAGTGTGTCTGGAGCGCATGGACGAGTCTGTGAATGGCATCCTCACCACACTATGCAACCACAGCTTCCACAGCCAGTGTCTGCAGCGCTGGGACGACACAACGTGAGTGCAGGGCCTGTCCTCCACCTTCTCAGAATTATAGACAGCCATCAATGAAAGTGAACCACCTCAAACGTTTTACTGATAGGAAAGCAGCTTTTATTTTTCCTTCTCTCTGCTTAGTTCATGTGGAAATCTGCTTTGTTAGACCAAGTTCTCTTAGTCTAGATTCTGATTCTTCATGGAATTTCCCAAAGCAACATGAGTTGTTCTTTCCTTCTAAGAGCTAGAGAACGAGAAAAAACAAAGCTTGGCTTTGAGGTTTCTGTGTTAAAATGAAGTATGTCTTGAGGCTGAAAGCAATTTAGTGGCGGAGCACTTGACTGGCATTCACAAAGCCCTAGGTTCCAGCCCCAGTGCCTCAAAAAAAAGACTGATATCTATCACCTATACTTAGTATCTGCCATTCACTTATCTCTCTTATTAACTGGCCTACAGCAACCCAACTTTTAGCTTTATTGGGCTCTTGGTGGCCAGTTGTGATAGCAGTTTCTAGGTATAAGACACACACCTATGTGTCTGTACTGCAGTACACAAGAGGCCATTGTTGTAGGTCTCATTGCTGCAGAGAAATGAGTTGGTACCTGCACCTTTTTTTCTTCTTAAATTAAGGGTGGTTGCACCCTTCATAAACTGCACTATGAGTTTTAGCTAGAAAAGTGTATCAGATACTGGCTGTAGGGGTTTCAGTACATTGGGAAAAATAGACAAATAAGCACTTGATTAAGTGTGAAAAATCACAGCCTTAACAGGTGTCACAAAAGAGCAGTGTGTAGCCCTGTGACTGGGGACCTGCCACGCTGACATAGCCAGGGCTGCTGAGACCTGATGATGCAAAGAAGATAGGTAGGAGTTAGCCCGGTGAGGAGCCAGAGCAAGAGAAGGGCGTGTGCATGAAAACAGGAAGATCCCATTGCCAAGTCCAGGAGTTGGGGGGAGGAGGGTGAAAGTTCACCTGCAAGTGGCCCTTGGCTAGAAGAATGCCATCTTTCACAGAGCAAGGGCATTGCAGGCTCACCTCTTTGTCACCGTCTGGGTTGAGACATGCGTCTGCTCTCCAAAGTATGCAGCTCATGTAGTGGGTGGGTTTTGGCGTCCACATGCACGTGGCATGATGCACAGGGCTTCTTGGGAAGTACAGGCTCAGGGATTTGCCTAGGCGTGAAAAAGTGCCTGTGGTATGGGTAGAAAGGAGGCTGGCCACACTGGGACGAGGTCATTTTGACATGTAAAGATGTCATGCAAGGCTACTCTGAAAGGGTCTTCTCCAAAGATCTCATCAAGATAATAAGATTGAAAGAAGGTAAGATTAAAAACTCAGGAGTATTTTTGGCAGGGGAGGCTGGAATAATTTCATAAACTGTTAAATGTTTTTTAAAAAGTTTTTTATTTTTTGGTGGCACTGGGGTTTGAAGTGAGGGCCCCACACTTGCTAGTATTTTATTTTTATTTTTTAATATTTATTGTTGATGGTACTGGGGTTTGAACTTGGCCCCATGCTTACTAGATAGGCATCTACCAGTTGAGCCATGCCCCAGCTCTTCTTGCTTTAGTTTCTTTTCATATAGAGTCTCTTGGTTAACTATGGTACTACCACTACTTACACCCCCACCCCTACCCGGCCAACCACCACCACTTCCACTGCTGGCTTGGACTTCAGTCCTCTTATTTAGGCATCCCACATAGCTGGGATGGTGACAGGCACGCTCTCATGTCCAGCTTTGTTGAGATGAGGTCTTGCTGGAATTGCAGAAATTATTCATTGTGTTTGGTCTCCTTTTTTTTTTTTTTTTTTTTCAATGGTACTGGGGTTTGAACTCAGGGCCTCACACTTTCTAGGCAGATATTCTACCACTTGAGCCACTCCACCAGCCCTTTTGTGTGTGTGTGTTGGATATTTTTGAGATAGGATCTTGATCCTTCTGATTTCTACGTCTTGAGTAGTTACGATTGCAGGCATGAGCCCCCAGCACCCAGCTGTTCACTATTTTTTAATAGACACATGGGATGGTCTATCATAGAGTGCCATAATTACATGGCACAAGTAAGTTTGGTTTTAATTTTTCCCTTTCTTTTATATCTTCATAATCAGATTTACATTCCAGAAAGATCATTCTGGCCCTGATATAATCTGAATTAGATTTCAGAATGAGTTTGCTGTCTCCTTATGGAGCCTCAACCACTGACATCATACAGCAGAAGGGTTGACACAAAGTTATTTCTACCTCTGGCATGGTTGCTTACCATTGACAGGCTGCCTCTTGTGTTACTTCTTCCAGTTTGTGTTCTGTCTCTTTCTCTCTCTCTCTCTCTCACTCTCGCTAGAGATGGAACAAACCCAGGTCCTCACCTATGCTAAACTAATGTTCTACCACTGAGTCCCTCAGCCCTCCTGTCTCCTCTCTTGACACTAAAGAAACAAGTTGAATCTTTCAGCTTTCTCTTGTTGAAGAGCTTAGTGTTCTTCCCATGTACTTCCTGTTGAAGTTCTTACTCAGCTCGGTAATAAGCTGGCACTAGTTACACCTTGATTCTTTCTTGGTGCCAATTTAGTCAGGCTTAACTGCACCCCACTCTGTTGTGTCTGCCACTGTACAAAAAACATGTAGTACCTTGTCTTGAATAAAGTAGAATAGGGTTAGTTGATTTTTTTTTATTGTTATTTTTGTTGACTTTTTGTAAATCAAAACTTGCATACTTAATAGAGCACTGGTATTGTACATATTGTACATGATGTTCATTGTTAGGCAAATGTCATGTGCATTTCAGGAACTTGCACTGACTCTCTTTTTAAAACTTGGTAGCATTTACTACAGGTTTTAGATCTACAGCTTAGGAGAAACCAAGAGAGGACAGGATAGTGTGTGTGTGTGTGTGTGTGTGTGTGTGTGTGTGTGTGTGTGTGTGTGTGTGAGAGAGAGAGAGAGAGAGAGAGAGAGAGAGAGAGAGAGACTGGGGTTTGAACCCTGCTGGAGCCACACCTCCAGTCCATTTTGCTCTGGTTATTTTGGAGATGGGGGACTCTCAAACTATCTGCCAGGGCTGGCCTCAAACCCTGATCCTCCCTATCTCCGACTCCCAAGTAGCTAGGATTATAGGCATGAGCTACCAGCTCTCAGTCAAGGTACATTTTTAATGATTTAAATCTTTGAGAAATGGGGATATGTTAGATGTTTGGAGTAAAAATACATTTTGGATAACCAGACATGAAAGGAAATTAATAACGTCTCAAGTCCCAATTCTAACCTGTAAATATTTAGTTCTTTGATCAGCTAAGTGTTAGAAGAGTGGAAAAGGGTATGAGACAAATAAAAATTTCTCCCTTTTACTCTGCCTTACCCAGATATTGTGTTATTTCATTTTGTTTGAAAATCCCTCAAAAATGTTTGTCTTTTAAGTGATACCCTTAATGATGATAAACTTAAAAATAATAACTTAAAATACCACGTAAAGCTAGTTGCCAGTGGTTCACACCTGTAATCCTAGCTTCTCAGGAGGCAGATCAAGAGGATCACGGTTTGAAGCCAGCCTGAGCAAATAGCTCGAGACCCTGTCTTGAAAATACCTTTCACAAAAAAGGGCTAGTGGAGTGGCTCAAGGTGTAGGCCCTGAGTTCAAACCTCAGTACTGCAAAAAATATATACACAAAAACAAAAAAAAAAGTAAAAAAAACCAAACAAACCATATATATACGTATATATATATACGTATATATATATATACGTATATATATATATATATATATATATACGTATATATATATATACGTATATATATATATATATATATATATATATGAGATATATAAGAGAAAACTTTTGGGTTTGTAACAGCTGTCTTTTCTGTCTAATTGGTGCTATTATTTTTGGTGTTCTGGCTAGGTGTCCAGTTTGCCGGTATTGTCAAACGCCAGAGCCAGTAGAAGAAAATAAGTGTTTTGAGTGTGGCGTTCAGGAAGTAAGTAACAGGTGGTGAGATGAAGAATGAATGCAGCTTTATTTTTCTGGGATTTTCTCCTGCCCAGTGTAGCTAATTTTTTTTTTTTTTTTTTTTTTTGTCTAGAGTAAGGCAAGACATACATATGTATACAAATATATTACTCTTAAGCAACTACTGTATGCTTTAATTCTCTGTTCTTTTAAAAGACTTTTATTAGTGAGTTGTGACTTTTTCTTGCCATTTACTTAGAGCCTCTTAGAAACCAGTTTGAGAAAATGATCCATAAAAGTGTCCTTGATCACTGGGTTTATTCAGAACTCCTGTAGAAACAACTCTGAATCTCATTCTGTGTCAGCCCATTCCCAAGCCAAGTGGGCCAGGTCATGTACTTTTCTTCGGCTAATTAAGATCTTCCCTCCTCTTGGCAGAACCTTTGGATTTGCTTAATCTGTGGCCACATAGGCTGTGGACGATACGTAAGTCGGCATGCGTACAAGCACTTTGAGGAAACGCAGCACACATACGCCATGCAGCTCACCAACCATCGAGTCTGGGACTATGCTGGAGGTGAACACCGCTCTCATTTTCTAATTTGGACTCATTTTGTATGGAAAGTCTTCCTGCGGAACCTCTCCACTTTCCCTCACAGCTTGAAATGTCATCTTCCTGACAGCTGTTGCAAACTCCAGTTCTCACGGTGCCCCTGAAGGCGCCATTGCCCAGGACAGTCTGAATCGAATATTATAAAGAGAGTTTGTGCTTCCACTCCTGCCCTCTCACTCTCTTTAAAATTCAAATGATTTGACCCACTTTTAAAGAAATATTGCAAGGCATTTAATTTAGATCTGTAAAAACAAAAATTTTGTCAGAGTTAAAAGCGCATGGAGACCTTTGATTCTGAAGAAATTCGCTTTGGTTGACTCACTCTTTTCTCTAGATAATTATGTCCATCGACTGGTTGCAAGTAAAACAGATGGAAAAATAGTACAATATGAATGTGAGGGTGACACTTGCCAGGAAGAGAAAATAGATGCCTTACAGTTAGAGGTAAGATGCCTAGTAGTTGTCATTCAGTGTCTATTTCCATTGCTTTTTACTATTCTGACTGAAAAGGTCATTTGACCTTTTAATTTTGCTGTTTACCCTGCATGTAAACTTTTTTTTTTTAACTTCTGTCATTGTTGTGAAGGATTAAAATGTTTTTATTCTGTTTTTCTTTTTTGAAAGTCTAGGCTTCACACTGTGCCTTATTATTTTCTTTTTTCCTTTTTTTTTTTTTTTTTTTTGGCAGTTCTGGGGTTTGAACTCAGGGCCTACACCTTGAGCCACTCCACCAGCCCTTTTTTGTGATGGGTTTTTTCAAGTGAAGGTCTCAGGAACTATTTGCCAGGGGCTGACTTCAAACACCGATCCTCCTGATTGATCTCTGTCTCCTTAGTAGCTAGGATTACAGGCATGAGCCACCAGTGCCCAGCTTGTGCCTCATTATTTTCAATCAGATGTTCCTAGTTAAAACGATAAAGATTATCTTCTATAGCCGCAATAAAACTGAAATTTAGAGTTCCTGTTGGTACCATAATAGCAGCCAGGACCTGAACAGATGTGGTTAGAATGAGGAAAGCCCAATAGTGTCTTTCCTTTCCAGGAGTGTTTTCATATACATTGAGCTGATGTTTTACAAATTAGAGGCTTATGTATTTAAGTGTATATTCAAAGTATATATTTTGTGAATTAGAGGCTTATGTACTCCATCTCTTTGAGTGTTCTTCTACTTGAAAAAACAACAAACGTAGCACAATTTGTTGTTTTGTTGTGCCAAAGCAGTAAATTATGTCTACTGTACAGTTGTTATACTCAGAATTCTATGGTTTTTTTGGTTTTTTTTTTTTTTTACTGCTTTTACATCTACTTACATGTGTGTACTTTGTTTGTGCCCCCTCCCCTATCCCCACTTCTGGGCATCTGTTCCACCCTCTTCTCTGATTTTTTTTTTTATTATCATTATTATTATTATTATTATTATTATTATTGTTTTTGCCAAGCAAGATCTCTTGCCACATAGCCCAAGCTAGTCTGGATCTCAAGATCCTCCTGAGTTCTGGGATTACAAGTGTAAGCTACCAGACAAAGCTTAAATTTAAAAAATACTTTTTCTGGGTGTGACCAGCCTGAGCTATGAGACCCTGTCTTCACACACAAAAAAAAAATAGCCAGGAGACATGGACATTTGAAAATTTTGCTTTGCTCATCTGCAGACTCTTAAAGATTTGAAATAATGGCCTAAAATAAGGCTCATGCCTGGAGACAGGAGGATCATGAGTTAGAGGCCAACCCCAGCAAAGTCAGTGAGACCCTATCTCAAAAAACAAAATACAAACAAAATAGATGGCTCAAGTGGTAGAGCATGCCCAAGAACCTGGGTTCTTCTACTGCAAAAAATAAAGTTAATGCCTTGGTATAGAAAAGATCTAATTCTTAACATTAAGATTTTAAAATAAGTAACTTCCACATTAACTGTAATTATGTTACACTTTTTTTTTCAGCAGTACTAGGGTTTGAACTCAGGCCTCCAACTTGTTAAGCAGGTGTTCTACCACTTGAGCCACTCTGCCAGCACTTTTTTGTGTTGGGTTTTTTCAAGATAGGGTCTCTCAAACTATTTTCCCAAGCTGGCTTTGAACTTCCATCCTCCTGATCTTGCCTCCTGAATTGTTAAGAGTGAGCCACTGGCACCCGGCCACATTTTTTTTTCCATTCAAGAAATATTTGTTGGACTGGAGGCATGACTCAACTGTTAAAGTGCTCACTTACAAAGTACAGATCCCTAAGTTCAAACCCAGTACCACCATCATCCTGGAGAAGGAGTCAGGAAGATCAAGAGATCAAGGCCATCCTGGTGTCAGTGGCTCATGTTTGTAATCCTTGCTACTTGGGAGGCAGAGGACAAAAGGATCACAGGTCAAAGCCAGCCTGAGCAAATAGTTCAGAGACCCTATCTTAAAAATACCTAACACAAAACAGAACTGGTAGAGTAGCTCAAGTGGTAGGGTGCCTGCCTAGCAAGTGAGGCCCTGAGTTCAAACCCCAGTACCGCCAAAATAAAAAAAGAGTTTATGGCTAGCCTGGGTTACATAGCATTCAGGTCTCAAAATCCACCCCACCAAAAAAACTTTTTTTGTAGCTTAGTGGTAGGTAGAGCACTTGCCTAGCATGTGACAAACCCTGACTCAGTCCTCAGTACCTCAAAAAAAGGATAGAAAAATTTGTCGTCAGCCACTCGGACAGCATTGAACACATCGTTAAGTCACCTCCCTGTCGTCACAGAGCACATGTTCTCATGCTACAGGCATTCTCCTAATCGTCCTTCTCTAGACACAAACGTGCTTAGACCCTCTGTCTTCTAGAACGCTCTTTCCAAAGCAGAGAAGTGATTTTGTCCCCTTGTGTGGCCTTGGGTTCTTCTTTCTCCCAGGTCCTAGTATAATACCCCACAACCTTCCACAGGCCCCGTCTCTTGTACCGTACACTCCAGCTTCATTGATGTTACTTCTTCTGTACTAAAGAGACGCCAGGTGTTCACAGCTCTACCTGTGTCTAGCAGTTCTATGGAATCAGAGCTCTGTGTTTATCCATCTCTCCTCTCAAATCTTGCCTGCTCTCAGAAGTCCTATAAGATCCAACTGCCATGTGCCATCTCTCCCTCCCTGTAGTTCACAGCACTGTTTGTTCATTCATACAGTCATACAGCAGACATTTCTTGTTCATCCAGTGTGTGAACTGAAGATGCAGGCCACACTTCCAGAGAGTTCATGATCTAGTCAGGGCGACAGCAGGTAAATCAGTGACTAAGCACTAGTGTCGTGAGTGTTACTGATGAGAGGTTTGGTGTTGAGGGAGCTGAGGGGGGTGCATAAGCCAATGGCAGAATGGGTTTTAGTTATGGGTTTTTTTTTTTCTTCTTCTTTTTTTCTTTTTTGTAGTTATGGGTTTTTATAACCTAAACAATGTTCCCTTGCCCCCACTGTGGATGGTGCTGGGTTCCCCAGTGCCTCATGCATGCTAAGCATATGCTTATCTTCTAAGCTATACCCCCGCAGCCTTGAATTACACAGGTTTAAAAAACACTGTGGTGGTTCTTAAAGTCAGAAAGGCCAGAATAAATTTTTATAAATATACGTTTCTCCCATCTAGATTGTAAGCTCCAGCTCTGCACCCCGGCCCAGGTCCTGTTGACTAGAGTAGAGCCCAAGTGTAGTATGCAGTCTGATGAGCCCAGCCCAGTGACTGTGATCCCAGCTACTTGGGATGCTGAGGTGGGAGGATTGCTTGTGCTGTTTGAGACCACTACAGGCAACACAATAAGACCCTGTCTTAATAAAGAAGAAAAAAAAACCCTGATCGCCGGTGACTCATCTTAGCTACTCAAGAGGCAGGGATAAAGAGATAAGAGGTTTGAAGCCAGCCTCAGGCAAACAGTTCTCTAGACCCTATCTTGAAAATACCCAACACAAAAAAGAGCTAGCAGAGTAGTTCAAGTGGTAGAGCGAGCACCTGCCTCACCAACTCGAGGCCTGAGTTTAAACCACAGTAACACCAAAAGAAAAAAAATTCTGATGGTCTTCTATTCTTCTGTAGATCATTAAAGGTCAGTTTTTAATTGGATTTTCGAGACTGACAACATTGACTTACATTTTGATGTTTGTTCTGTTTCTAGTATTCATATTTACTAACAAGCCAGCTGGAATCTCAGCGGATCTACTGGGAAAACAAGATTGTTCGGATAGAGAAGGACACTGCAGAGGAAGTGAGTTGGGTGACTGCTGAAATGCCACATGGCAGGGCAGTCAGATGGTGGGTGGGGGAAGGGAAAGAGGAATCTGTAGAGTCTTCCTTTTGCAGTCTGATAATTGGTAGAGAACTGTTTTACCCTTGAAGATAATTTGAAGTGTTTAAAGGATTGAATGTTTTTGGTATCTTGGGATCTGTTTGTTTTTAACCTCAATCAGATTTTCTAGTGCCTTGTGCAATTCTATTAAAGACATAGAAGTATGTACATGAGGGTTTGTAATTTGAGTCAGCCAGTTGGTTTATCAACTTGTGAACAGCTGCTTTGGGAGCTGAATGTGGACTTCAGAAGCAACGAGATAATGCTGAGTCCTTCTAAGTTGAAGGAAATAAAATTGGGCAGAGATTTGGAGCTTCAGTGGTCACTCTGGTAAGTTTCTGGTCTGGGACAGTGGTTTTCAGATTTTAAGAAAATAATCCTTTAATGCTGCCATTCATCCAAGCATGACACACTTCTGTCATCCCAGCTACTCAGCTGAGGCAGGAAGACTCCTTGAGCCCAGAAGTTCAAGGCTAGCCTAGGCAATACAGCAAGAACCTACCTCAAAAAAAAAAATAATTGATTAATTTTAAAAAATAAAAGCCAGGCACTGGTGGTTCATGCCTGAAATCCTAGCTACGCAGAAGGCTGAGATTGGGAGGATCACAGTTCAAAGCCAGCCTGGGCAAATAGTTCACAAGACCCTATCTCACAATACCCAACACAAAAAACAGCTTGTGAAGTGGCTCAAGCAGTAGAGTATCTGCCTAGCAAGCAGGAAATCATGAATTCGAACCCCAGTACCAGTACCACCAAAAAAAAAAAAAAAAAATGCATTCACTTTTTCTGATGTGTCAGAAGAAAGTGGTATGATCTTAGCGACATTCCAGTGGAGGGCCCAGGACTCTGCCTGCTTGATTTTCCCTTATTCCCAACAAATACATGGACCCAAGTTTCCAAAGAAAGTAGTTTGAAAACCAGTGAGCACCTGAGGGTTTATAAATAATTAGGGCTTTAGGAACCATTCTGTGGACCTGGGGACATTGTAATTCAGCGCTTCCCTTATTATTAAGTGAAGGCTTCAAAAATTCCTAAATGATTGCTCTAGTGCCTTAATGAGTCCCCACCATTACCTGGGAGAAAGAGGTTTAAAAATAAGTAAATTGAATAATGCTTAATACTGGCTTTAAAATGATCTTTAGTTAAAAGTTACCAGCGAAGTTCTTGTAAGAACCTTCCACACAGTGGAAGCTTCCTTCCAGAGGCACTTGAGGACACTTGACTGTCTGATTCTGAATTGGGCTTCATTGGAGTGCATGGGGAAGGGCATGCCTCTCTGTAAGCTCACAGAGGCAGAGCAGTGTTGCTGCCACTCCGTGTCACTTTGTGGATGCACAGGAAGGCATGTTGGCAATGCCTCTTCTGCCTTGCTAAAGGGTTTTTCTACAGGATATTCAGTGTAACCACCTAAAGTTAGACCTTTGAGAGCTCAGCCAGGATTCTCTTTTCCTTTTAAGATTCTTTAGGATTAGCCAGGCTCCCATGGCTCACACCTGTAATCCTAGTTACTCAGGAGGCAGAGATTAGGAGGATCAGGGTTTGAAACCAGGCTGGGGAAATAGTTCATGAGACCCTATCTCAAAAAACCCATCACAAAAGAGGTCTAGGGGAGCGGCAAGGCCTTGAGTTCAAACCCTATACCGCAAAAGAAAAAAAAAGATTTTTTTAGGATTAGTTGCATTCTCTAATTCTCTTAAGACATGCCAGTGAAAGTATTTGGGACAGGGAAAGGGAAAAAAAGATGCTATTCGCTTCTGCTAATGTGTCAGAAGAAAGTGGTATGACCTTAGTGACATACCAGTGGAAAGCCTAGGACTCTGCCTGCTTGATTTTCCCTTATTCCCAACAAATACAGGGAACCAAGTTTCTTTTCACAGAACCTGCAAGCAGAACTGGCTCACAGTTGCTTTTTAGGAAGAGGTAAGATGGAGACCAGATCAGATTCAGATGAAAGCTCACAGTGCTTGAAAGGATGCTTTTGTTTTCTAGTAACAAATGTCATTTGTCTGTAAGCTTGGAGAAGGCAAGCCTTTTTCCTGCACTGTCCTTCTTTTGCCCACTCCCCTACATTAGAGCATGCAGGGGAAAACAGTGGCCTGGACCCTGAGTTTCACTGATGGATCTTTGTTCATGGGCTTCTTAAAAAGTTCATGGTGGATGCAAGGTGTGAATCAAAGTTGAAACTCATTGCGGACTCACTTATAAATACTGTGCCTTTCACCCAGTGCCTGAGGTGGTGTGATTACTGTAGCATGTGAGCAGAGTCTAGAAGATGAAGCTCATACACACTTGAAGATTCTTGGTTTTCATGGAGCTACATCTATGTGTGAGGCAGTATGTGTGAATTCCCCTAAAGATTCCTCTTTTCTCTTTGACATTTAGCTCCATTTATATCAATATTTCTCCAGCTATGGATTGTGAAATTGAGTTTGATGAACTACAAATCGCATTTTTATTACAGAGAATATGGTAGATGCTTTTGTTTTGATTTAAATGTGTTTGGCTTAAGTGTTCTCACTGAACAAAACATATACAGTTTACTTCCTTTTGTTAGTAAGTTCTGTCCATCCCAACTTCCCCAAAGAGTCAGTTTAGGAGAAAATACCAAAAGGATCCAGTGATCTCTTATGTTAAAGTAATATTGACCAGGCACAGCAGCTCCCATCTACTCAGGAAGGGAAGATCAGGAGGGTCATGGTTCAAGGCCCCTGATAAAAAACACAAGAGCCTCTTCAAAAAAACAACAAATGCAAAAAAGGGCTGGGGGTTTGGCTCAGGTGGTAGAGCATTTTCCTAGCAAGTGCTAGGCCCTTAGTTTAAACCCCAAAACTACACACACACACACACACACACACAAATATATATATACATATATACATATACATGTGTGGGGAGAGACAGGAGAGATAATGTCAAGCCAGATTTACAGCAATTTTAAAGTTACTTTGATTAATATAGTAGAGGAACTTTTAGAAGTCCAGCATTCTTCCAATGTAATGACATGGGCTATAAAGTCAATTTCTATAAAACAATTATTAGGTTTTTTTTTTAAGACAATGCTATTAGGAGCCAGCTAGACAAGTTGTATGAAAATGTTTAAAAATAAAGTTTAAAGCCTGACCCTTTCTCCAGCATGATAGATGTCACGTGCAGCACAAGCAGGGTCTCTGTAGAATTTAGATCTAGCCCAGAGGTCATGTCTCCCTTGCTGTAGAGCTTTGGCCTCCAGTGTGCAGAGAGGAGTTTAGAATGTGGTCTTGAACCCAGACTTGGTCCTGCACTGGACGCACCACACTCAAGCTGGGCGACCCTAGGCATATTGCCTTACCTTTCCCTAAGCCTCAGTTTCTGTTAAACGTTGACTTGTCTGTCATATGGCTTGTTATGAGGAATAAACGCAGCATTGCCTGTGAAACACATAGGCAATAGCTGCACCGTAGGGTTTTCTCAGTCACTTTCAGCTGCTGTCATTATTACTCCATTGTCCACACAGCCCCCTCACCTCTCCCAGTGTCTAGACAGTGGACTTGAGACAATTCTCAAGTCTGTAGACCTTTATACCTAAGTCAGTTCAGGGCCCCCTGGCTAGCCGGCTGCATACTCTTGGACAGGACTACTGCCATCTAATAGAATTCACCAAAAGTTTTTAATTCTCTTGGGTTTTTTAATCAATTATTTATTTTTTCTTTTCTTTTTTTAGGATTCTGTCTTTCAAATTCTCTTAAGTTGTTAACACTACGTAATATGGTAGGGAGAATGATGGAGGAGTTGAATCTAAGCAAAGGTACATTGTAAGAACATGTGGAAATGTCACAGTGACACTCTCATATACAATAATATATGCTAATAAAAATGGCCAAGTGCCAGAGGCTTATGCCTATGGGCAGAGATCCGGAGGATTGAGGTTCAAAGTCAGCCCAGGCAAATAGTTCACAAGACTTTATCTCAAAAATACGCAACACAAAAAAGGACTGGCAGAGTGGCTTATGTGGTAGAGTGTCTGCCTAGCAAATGTGAGGCCCTGAGTTCAAACCTCAGTACCACACAAAAAAAAGGTCTTTTTTTTTTAACAAAAGATTACGTAATATGAATTACGTATGAATATGAATTAATATGAATTGCCTTTATAAATAAATCCTAGAAAAATATGAACTGCTTATATCCCTGTGAATTTATGGCTCATGAAAAAGTAATGAGTTTGGAAAAAAAAAAATCCATCTTCACAAGTTTCTTAGATGACCAATGGATAATAACCAGTGGATGGTTTGACACGTAAGCTGGGGAAAAGGGTACTTAATGAGAGGCTCTGGTCTGGTCTCTGTCAAACCATCTCCTTCAGAGCCTCAAGCTCGCTTGTTGCCTTCCAGCAGTTTCCCTGGACACCCAGCTGCTCTGATCCCTTGTTCATCCTAGGAGAGAGATAGTAAGGAAGAAAAGGGTTCTCACAATTTTTATTCTCATCACAGAAATTCTTTCAGATGATCACCTTGTCTTTTGCAGGTTTGGTTTGTGAGAGTTATGTGCAGATAACTGGGGGCGGGAGAGGTAATGACATTAGTCCTAAAGACCCCGTGATCGTGCCTGACCTCTGTTTGCCCTTTCAGATTAACAACATGAAGACCAAGTTTAAAGAAACAATTGAGAAGTGCGATAGTCTGGAGCACAAGCTAAACGATCTTCTCAAGGAAAAGCAGTCTGTGGAAAGGAAGTGGGTACCCTTCATCAGATCTTTACGTTAGCCACTCTTCTATAAACTAAGCTCCTTCATTCCTTTGAAAATACTGACACCCCCCCCCATTTTTTGGTACTGGGGGTTGAACTCAGGGCCTTAGGCTTGCTAGGCAGGTGTTGTACATTTGGGCCATGCTTCCAGCCCTCCAGGTTTGTTTTTGTGTTTTTGGTTTTTTTTTCCAGTGAGATGGAAGTTTGAACTCAGGGCTCTGTGTTTGCAAAGCAGGCACTCTACTGCTTGAACCACACCTCCACCCTCCTTTTTGAGCATGTGCATCACCAGGTTTCAGAGGTCTCCCGATGGATGGAATAAACTTACAGTGAAAGTGTGTTTCACATGAGGTGGATGCACGGCAAGTGTGGTGTTATGCTGTCAGGGTGTACAGGCCACTTCCATTTTTACCTATAACAAGCAATTTCCTTGTGTCCAGAGCTGCAGCTTCTCTGAGCCATGGTGGCTGAGAACTGGCAGTTAGAAAGAAACTGCTGGAGATGTCTTGGGCTTTGCCTCAAACAGGAAGTGAAGGCCAAAGGTCTTGAATGTAAGGTCATTTCTTGGGAAATGACCAGGGCTGGCAGAGTGGGTGGTAGAGCACCTGCCTAGCAAGGGTGAGGCCCTGCATTCAAACCTCAGTACCACCAAAAAAAATGCGTTTTCTAATATTTTTTCATTGTAGCAAAGTATGTTTATAATACATCATCACCCTGAAACTCTCTCACCAAGAGTTTTTTTTGACTGTTGCAGAAGAAACACAGCAATATTAATAGAAACGAAGTTTTAAATCTCCTATGGTTTAAGTACTCTTAAGTTAAAAATTAGTTAAAACTGGAAATTCTTTTCCATCCCTTGTGTCCTGCTATCTAGCAATAGCCATAATTAACAGTACTGTTGAATATTACTCTTCCAGATCTTTAGCTCCACCCACATAAACATTTCATATATATAATCTGCTACTAGCTGGCATGGTGGTGCACACTTGTAATCCCACCACTCAGGAGACTGAGGCAGGAAGATTATGAATTTGAGGCCAGCCTGGGCTACAGTGAGACCCTGTCTCAAAACCAAACATAATCTTTTTCTAGAAAAACAGAATGATACCTATTCTCTTTGGTAAAATACTCTGGAGATTTTTTTTTCCTACTAGCACGTCAGATCTACCCTGATCTTTTTTTTTCTTAAACGTTTTTATGAGCATATACAGTTATTCAAGGAAGCTTTGTTGCTGTCCTGATCTTTTAGTAGTTGCCTTGTTTCCAGTCTATGGATGTACTAATTTGAAACAGTTCCCCGTTGATAGACGTTTAAATTGTCTCACATACCGCACTACTGTAACCACATTGCAGTGCACATCTTTCCCCATGTGTCATTTTGCACAGTCCTGAGTACATCTGTTCTGTGGGATGAAACAGTAGAACAAGGGTAGGACAGCTGTGTGAAAGGGCTCGTGGATTTTTTTCTTTCATAGCTATTACAAGTTGACTTCCAAACATTCATACATACAATTCTTGCTGTGGTGCCACTGTGCAGGAGTGCTTTTTTTTTTTTTTTTTGGTATTGGAGCTTGAACTCAGGGCCTTCACCTTGAGCTACTCTGACAACCCTTTTTGTCAAGGGTATTTTCGAGGTCAGGTCTCAAGAACTATTTGCCTGGGCTGCCCTCAAACTGCAATCCTCCTGATCTCTGCCTCCTGAGTAGCCAGGATTACAGGCGTGAGTCACTGGTGCCTGGCTAGCAGTGCCTCTTTTCCATGCCTGAGCTCTTTGGCATTTTGATACATAAAAATGATACCTCAAATGGTGTTTTAATTTGTAATTGTTTGCTTATGAGTAAGAGTGGGCATAAAGAATAGGGCACTCCCAGTTCTCGAAAGCCCTTAGATTAGAATAAGCACCTTTTATCCTCCTCAGCAAGTGCGATGAGGTCAGAGCACTTGACTCTCTAAGAATGTCACTTTTCCTCATAACTTCCTTGTCTCAGCTCTGTCTCTGAGGCACCTATTTAACCATCGACTGCCAAACAGAAATAGTAGTAGTGTTGACATGAGTCACACAAGTTACTTTTTTTTTTTTTGGTTGTGGTGGGGGAAAGCGGTACTGGGATTTGCACTAAGGGCTCGCATTTGCTAGGCAGGTACTCTACCAGTAGAAGTTTCTGCTATTGAAAATTTTCTGATGCTTAAAAAAGGTACATCTGGATTAACTAAAGCAAAAATTCCTGCTTTGCACAGCTGATTGCAATAGCATGGAAGGGAGGGGCCTGCAAGAAACAGATTCTGAGGTCATGGCCCACTGTTCAGTCCCAGGGCAGAGCGGGAACTGTGTCAGCAAATGAAAATGTGCTTCCGTCTCCCCTTGTTTTCTAAAAGGTGCACCCAGCTAAACACAAAAGTGGCCAAACTCACCACTGAGCTCCAGGAGGAGCAGGAAATGAACAAGTGTTTGCGGGCCAACCAGGCCCTCCTGCAGAACAAGCTGAAGGAGGAGGAGAGGTTGTTGAAGGAGACCTGCGACCAGAAGGACCTGCAGATCACTGAGATCCAGGAGCAGCTGCGCGACGTCATGTTTTACCTGGAGACGCAGCAGCAGATCAGCCACCTGCCTGCTGAGACCCGGCAGGAAATCCAGGAGGGACAGATCAACATCGCCATGGCCTCGGCCTCCGGCCCTTCGTCAGGGGGCACTGGGAAGTTGCCTTCCAGGAAGGGCCGCAGTAAGAGGGGCAAGTGACCCTGAGAGAAGCACATGTCCCTGAGACTGTCCCTGACTGCAGGGTGTGCTGGGACCTTTGCTAAGTGGGAGGGTGGGCCTAATAAGTATGAGAGAGAATAAGCCGCATCGTTTGCTCTTTCATTCTCTAGCTGTGGTGTGATGAGTGCAGATGTTGGTGGCAGTGGCTTCAAAGGTGGTGAGAGTTCACTTACTTTTGACGTTCAAATGACCATTATGCCTTCCTGCTTGGTAGATGCCCCAGCCCCGCTGTGCACTGTTGCGTTGTATTTATTGAGTTGGAGCATATGACCTTCAGTTTGGGGAAATTTTATTGTGACTTAAAGGTAATATTACCTAGCACTAAAGCACTGAATCTCTAGGGGTCATAGCAGCTGGTTCCCATTGGCTACTGAGGAGCTAGGAAAATTCTCTAGCATTAGTCTCACATCACTGCCATCCTTCCCTTCCTCTGGGGAGTCAAAGAATTGTTTGAATGTTTAGAAGAGATGCAGGGTCATAAGCCAGGCGCTGGCTGGTCCCCGGCAGCCATCCCGACTTGCTGTAGGGCTAGCCAGGAAAAACAAACAACCCAGGGGAAATTGAGTAGACCCAGTATAGGAAAAATGGTGGCAGTTCTACTTTGTTTATTTTGGTGACTCCACATGTCATTAGGCACCTCAAATTAAAGAGGCTCAGTGGTTCTCCAAGACACAAATCTCCAAGTGTATTTCCTAGCATCTAGCAAGAATAATTGAGGAGGTTTGCCATCCACGGGAAAATGCAGAGGGAGGCCTCTGACTGCCTAATTGTGTATTTTGCTGGGATCAGTATTTTCAGAATGTTTACAAAAGATCAGGCTGCATGTTCAGGTTGCGGATGGAGCAAGCTTGGGCAGATTTTCAATTATGCTTTCAAGATACAACCAAAGGCCTTCTCAATCCAAAAAATTGGAATTTCAACAGAGCCCCTTTCAAACAGTCATGTAATGTGTGTTGTGGGCCAACAGGAGGGTTGTGTACTTTCTCTAGAGCCAGAAACATCAAATAATTCATGACCTACAGTAATTGAGCAAAATTGAAGTGAAACCCATGTTGGAATTTAGCTTCTAGACAAGGTAGCTGGATAGGTTAACAAGGCATACTGTCAAATGATGGGTTTTGTCTTCTGCTGTATAATTCGCCAAAGGTTTTAAAGGATCACATTTCAGAACTGGCTTTTTAGACTGTGATTGGGCCTCATCCCGTTTGACCTAAATGTCTTATATATTACTTGTTAACAGTCAACTATATTGCTAATCACCATCCAGTTTTGTGGAATGTGCTGCAGCATTTCCCTAACCTTACCTGTGGTTTTGCAAAATGAATGTACTTAGACATTCTTCATTTTTACTAAGGGCAGACCAACACTCTTAAGTATTTCTTGGACTTAAATATACAGATATCCTAAAGCAAGAGTGGGAATGTAAAACATAACCTAATTCTCTTTCCTATAGAGATTCTATTTTATTTAAAATCTATTTTTACACTAGTTAGAATCCTGCTGTTTTGGCCAAGTACTCGTCTTGCATGTCTGACCTTGCAGAAGTCGTGGTGGATGGGGTGGATCGGGGTGGATCTCAGCATACTGATTACGAGAATTGGAAATAGTTTACGGCGCGAGGGAGCTCTTCCTTTCATTATGATCGTCTCCATCAAGCAGCCCTGCCACTACCTGGGAGGGCAGAGATTGTCAGCACAGGTGGGACAAATGCTCTGGAAGGCCTTGCCCAGGGGAATGAGCAAATAGGCAAAGGTTTCCAAACTATTTGAGGTTTAAAAAAAAAAAAAAAAGTTCCAGGGGAAAAAAGCAAGATATGTAAATAAAATGTTATTTTAAAAGGTCAAAGAGTTATGTTTGAATTTGACAAAATGACATAAGATTGAAGCTGCTAGTGTTTTCTTGAAGATGGAAATGAATCATTTACACATACTACCTTGAACAATTAGATTGCATTAAAATAATCAGACATTGACATTATTCAGCCCTGTGTGAACTTTGTGTCTCTGACATTTGCTTGGGAGCACCTGTGTAATAATCTAAGAAAGTGTCAATGGCCTGGATTTCAGAAGCAGCATAAAAATCACCTCTGCCACAGGGTGGTGACAAGCTCATTATCCATCGTTCAGACCTTTCCTCAGGCTTCCCAAAGGAATGCAAAGTAGTAGAACCTAAGCCTGAAGTGGAAATGGTGGCCCCTGCCAGTTTTCCCAGCCACTCCAGAGGCTGATGTAGGTGGATCACTTGAGCCAGGAATTCATGGCCAGCAACAAAGCAAGGCCCCATCTCAAAAAGAAAAAACCATGCAAGATACAGACTAGGGAACGTTACCTGAATTTGGCAGCTTGGGGTAGGAGAAACCTAGATACAGTCTTTTGCAAACCAAACACAGTTTTGTACACCCGAGACCTTACCAGACCCTATACCAAGCAGAGTGTCACAAATGTGACTCATTGGGACCCACTAGGTAATAGAAAGCACTAGAAACAACTCCTCCCTCCCTGCTTGCACAGCAGAGTTGTCCTCATCCAAAGTGCTGAGAAACTGCAAACAGCCAGCCACTAGAGTGTGAGAATTTGGCACATCCCGAATGAGCAACCTTCTGTCGGTGCTGGAAAGCCCTCTCTGTGCAGCCAGGATACACATGTTGCAAGTACCGAATAAGATCTGCTGTGATGTGCCATGGCACGCTGCTTGGGCTTGGGGCATACTTTGCTTCTGTGATGGACTCTCTGGGCTTATCTGAAAAGGCACTCTTGACACTTGGACACTGATTCTGCCACAAGAATCTGAAGACCAACTCCTGCTGCATAGTGATGCTGGGGACATGTAAGCTACCTAAAGGTCCAGTCATTGCCTCCACCAACCTTGGGACACTACCAAGTATTCTGTGGTGGGTATTCTGATGGGTGGGTGCCTTCAACCCATCCTATTTTTTTGCCCCCTTGGTCCTGGGGAATGGAACCCAAGTGCTTGCACATACTAACCACACATTCTACCACTGAACTACACCCCCACACCCTTCTCATTCTTGCATGTGAAAATTCTTAAAATAGGAGTCCTAAAATATCTCCACCAAGTAGATGTAGCTTTTTAAATTTATGTGGTTTTTTTTCTTATTTTGGATTTTTTTTAAACACTCTTATTTTATAGCTTAGGTTGGCCTAAAAGTAGAGACCATCCTGCCTCAGCCTTCTGAGCGCTGGGTTTTCAGAAGTATGCCACCGTGCCTGGCATAAAGTTAAAAATAAGTGACTGGCAGGTGCACTGGCTCACACCCATAATCCCACCTTCTCAAGAGGGTGGTGATCAGGAGGATTACAGTTCAAGTCCAGTCCTGGCAAAAAGCAAGGACCTCCCCTCCATCCCCATCTCAACCAGTAAATGGGGCATGGTGGCTCGCAGCTGTAATCTCAGCTGTTAGGGAGGCCATAGGCAAGAGGATCATGATCTGAGGCCAGCCAGTGCAAATACTGGAGACCCTACCTGAAAAATAAAAGTAAACAAGACTGGGGGTGTGGTTCAAGTAGTAGAGTGCCTGCCTGGCAAGCACAAGGCCCTGAATTCAAAACCCCAGTACTGCCAAAAAAATTTTTTTAAGTGACAATATTTAGTAGCAGTAACAGGGAGAAAAGCTTTTCCCTTTAGGAAAGCCAAGTTTCATCCTAGTTCCAAGGCCACATGATATTGGAGCAAACAAAAAAATACCGTTTAAATTTGTTCGTTAAGGGGAGCTAAAAAGAGTCCTTTTATTTTGTGTTGGGGAGGGGTTGTGGCCTCTTTATCCTGACTAATGTCATAATCAACACTTCTACTTTGTCTTTTCATTTTTTAATGATAATCCTCTTCACCTTGAATATCTGAATCCTGGGAGGCTCCTTCCAGACACAGAAACCCATAGGTTCTGTTGGGCACTAATTATTAAAACTATACTTCCTGGCCAACTACTTCAGAACCACCACAGCCAGCAAGTTCCCATGAGCACTGCATAGCCTCGCCGAGATCCTGCAATCTTAGAACAGGAAAGCTGTTCTGCAGTAGCTTCTTAATCTGAATTTTGCATTCTTGCTGCATTAAAGGAAGAGATGAGCAATTTGTTGTTTTATGAAGATGACTGCAGTCTTCGGGGCCTAACGTGGAATTGCTTTAGGTCAAAACTTTCTCACCGGAATCATCTGGAAAATGTGGTTTTGGTCCTTGGCTCAGAGCTGCGCTGGTGCAGATAACATTTGTTACTCAAGGCTAATTACCAAGCTCACTGAGTGAACTAAAGCAGCTTTGTTTCTTTTTCAGACCCTGTTCTAAATTCCCTGATCTGAGACTACTTTCGGATCCAGCCCAAGATGGTGGTCCAGGAGGGGAGAAATCACCTACAGAGTCCAACATGGGGAAAGCTAACGCTACCTGGGATAAATCCACCCTGGTGCAATACGACTGGTGGTGCTGTTCTTTTCAAATGATCAGAGTCAACCTGCGGCACTGAGGCCTCCATGGAGATATTTTTGCTGTCTTTTGCACAAAAGCAGCAGATCCCAGACGGAGTCTCCTTGCAGGTTTGTTTCCCCATTCACAAAGGAAGAGCCCTGGGTCTGGGGATGCAGCTCAGTAGTAGAGTGGCTGCAGTTCCCAGGGCAACCAAAAAATGCCAATAAGGAAGTACCCATTGAGAGCCCTCCAGCTGCACGCATGCCTGCTTCTGAATTCTCACTGCCTTGTGATGGTCCAGCAGGCAAAATGCTCAGCCCAAACACAGAGGAAGTCAGGTCCTCTGTCAAAGAATGAGGTGTTCCCACAATTTGATAAGCCTGCCCCTGTCACTTCACATTATTAGCACAATGCTGAGCACCAGAAGGCTTGGGTCCTGAGTGAAGAGAATGAATGAGAACTAATTTCTGGGGCAGAAGAACAGATCACAAAGTTAATACCTAGATGTAAAGGAGAGCTAGCAGAAAATTTTAGGAGGAATCAGGAGAGTTCTCTTGGAAACACTTAAACAAAGAGCAACCCAAGTCTGACTTGTTACACACAGCCAAAGGGTCATGTTAGCAGCATTTCAGGGACTGTCTTTGGTAAGGGATGCAGCCTGAGCTGAAGCCAAACCCACTTATCTGATTCCTTCATTCATCTGATTCCTTTATGCTCAGGCAGAAACTACAAGTCTAAAAATGGTTTAGTTTGCAAACCCACCAGCAATACAAGAGCCACGTCACATTCCTTCACCTCCCCACCCCACCTGTCCTTGGGGATCAAAACTCAAATCCTCTTTTCAAAATCCAGGCCTCAGGAAAACAGCTTCATTGCATTTGTTTCCAAGCTGGAGAAAATCAACACTAACTGGCTTTGATCCCAAAAGGGCCAACTGCAGGATTCAGAGAACTCTGCAGCCAGGAGGAACTGAGGCCTCCTCTGTCCGCCCTCCCCCAGCACATTTGACTTCAGTTATGTCGGAACTTGCCTGGGCTGGGGGCTGCTGCCAGAATTCTCCTGGCCCAGAGAGAGGACGCCCCATGCTATAACCCAGAATCTTTCCTGAAAGGCAGGATTCTCAGTCACTTCCAATCCTGCATTGGCGAGATTCCTGGTTCTGTTTGGCTGGAGTAAAGCTAAAGCTTGCTCCTGTCTTTCTTCCTCTGTGAGCTGGCTTGTCTTCTCCCTGCTCCTCTCTGCCTCTCACAGTTGTATATAAGAATGTTCTATGGCTTTTAGAAACGGAACAATCGTGAAAAAGCCCCTCCTCTCCTTGCTAGCTCTTTTATGATTCCTTAAAAAACAGTTTCTTTTCACTTCTGAGATAATATTTTTGTGGGAAGAGAGATAATTGGCCCTAAGAAGCTCTGATTGGGTTGGTGTTAGCATGTGTGATGTGGAAAAGCCTAGTACATCCCTATGAGAGACTTCTTTTCAAGCACTGATCACTCCAATTAGGCAATCCAGAGAGGCTAATCCCAAATCTCTGCTTTATTTGGCAGGACTCTTGAGCTGTATTTGTTGAAAATGAGAAGTGGAACCAAGTCTTAAGTCCTGTTCTACTGCTTGACTATTCAATTCCAAGATCAGATCGGATTTGCGGAATTCCTCCTTACTGAAGCATGGTCACTATACTGAGCACTTGGTGTGTATCATTCATTCATTCCTAGTACAGCCTTGTCAGGTCCATAGTCATCCCATTTTACAGGTCAGGAAACGCAGGCCCAGTAGAAACAGGATGGGATTTGGCCACCATGGACTGAGGTCACCGGATTGGTAAGTGGTAAAAGCAGTGTTCAATCTCTGCCTCATCTGACCCCCCAAGTCTGGGCTGGGCCCCATTCCACTCTATTGCCTCCCCTAATTTTGAGATTTGAGAATGTAAAGAACACATTCTATTGATTACTAGAAATCATTAGGAATTGATTGAGTGGTTACATGGTGTTATGGTTTGGACCTTGAATATCCCCCAAAGCTGTTGAAGGCATAGTGCCCAGCTGATGATGCTATGGGGTGGAACCTTTAGGGCATGTGGCCTAGTGGAAGGAAGTTAGGTCATTGGGAGTGTGGCCTGGAAGGGAATATTGGCCCTGACCCCTTCCTCTCTCTGTCTTTGCTTCTGAGCCACCATGACTGAAACAAGCCTCCTCCACCATATGCCCCTACCATCATGATGTACAGTGCTTCTGTGTGCCCACAATCTCAGGGCCAAGCACCATGGATTGAAACATCTGAAAGCATGAGCCAAAATAAACCTTTCCTCCTTTTAAGTTGATTTTTCTGAGGTATTTTGTCACAGTCATGGAAAACTAACTGGCACACATAATCACCTGGAGAAAGCATTAGGCCGCCTGCCTCTGTTTCATTGTGGCTTTGGAAAAGGAAGGCAGCACTGAATTAAGACCACTTTTGTGGGAATCAGAGGGTGCCCTATGCCCACCCCCAAAAGCCCTCACCTCCTCACCTAGAGCTTTCTAACCTCCAACATCAGCAGGGGCTCAGGTGGCACAGAAACAAGCAAGACAGAAGAAAGAGCCCTGGTGCTTTCCCTCTGTGCCCAAGGGCTAGCTCTAGAAATCTTGCCATGGCAAAGAGCTGTCCTGGCCCCTTCATCCTGGGAGAGATGGGGACCAGTCCACAGCCACCACTTAAGCCCATGCTCACTTCTTTCTTTTTTTTTAGTTTTATTACTCATATGTGCATACAAGGCTTGGTTCATTTCTCCCCCCTGCCCCCACCCCCTCCCTTACCACCCTCAATACCCAGCAGAAACTATTTTGCCCTTATTTCTAATTTTGTTGTAGAGAGAGTATAAGCGAATAACAGAAGGGACAAGGTTTTTGCTGGTTGAGATTAAGATATAAGCGTATAACAGGGTAATTGACTTCCACATTGATTTCCTTGGCTGGATGTTTACCTTCGGGTTAAATTCTTTTTTTTTTTTCCCTTTTTTTTTTTTTTTCATTTTTTCTTATTATTCATATGTGCATACAAGGCTTTGCTGGTTGAGATAAGGATAGCTATATCAGGGTATTGGCTTAATTCTTTTTTTTTTTTTTTCCCTTTCTTTGTTTTTTCATTTTTTCTTTTATTATTCATATGTGCATACAAGCTTGGTTTCATTTCTCCCCCCTGCCCCACCCCTCCCTTACCACCACTCCCCCCTCCTCTCCCCCACTCAATACCCAGCAGAAACTATTTTGCCCTTATTTCTAATTTGTTGTAGAGAGAGTATAAGCAATAATAGGAAGGACAAAGGGTTTTTGCTGGTTGAGATAAGGATAGCTATACAGGGCATTGACTCACATTGATTTCCTGTGCGTGGGTGACCTTCTAGGTTAATTCTTTTTGATCTAACCTTTTCTCTAGTACCTGGTCCCTTTCCTATTGGCCTCAGTTGCTTTTAAGGTATCTACTTTGTTTCTCTGCATTAAGGGCAACAAATGCTAGCTAATTTTTTAGGTGTCTTACCTATCCTCACCCCCTCCCTTGTGTGCTCGCTTTTATCATGTGCTCAAAGTCAATCCCATTGTTGTGTTTGCCCTTGATCTAATGTCCCACAATATGAGGGAGAACATATACGATTTTTTGTCTTTTGGGCAGGCTAACCTCAACTCAGAATGATGTTCTCCATTCCATTCCATTTTACCAGCGGAATTGATAACAATTTCGTTCTTCTTCATGCTGCATAAAATTCCATTGTGTATAAATACCACTTTTCTTAATCCATTCCGTCAGTGGTGGGGCATCTTGGCTGTTCCATAACTTGGTATTTGTGAATAGTGCTGCAATAAACATGGATGTGCAGGTGCCTCTGGAGTACCGTGTCACGATCTTTTGTATATCCCAAGAGTGTATTGCTGGATCAATGGTAGATCGATGTCTAGCTTTTTAAGTAGCCTCCAAATTTTTTCCAGAGTGGTTGTACTAGTCTACATTCCACAACAGTGTAGAGGGTTCCTTTTTCCCCGCATCCTCGCCAATACCTGTTGTTGGTGGTGTTGCTGATGATGGCTATTCTAACAGGGGTGAGGTGGAATCTTAGCGTGGTTTTAATTTGCATTTCCTTTCCATGCTCACTTCTTTCACACAGAGTCTCATGGAAACTGAGGTGCTTCCTGGCCTGGAAAAGCTGCTTCTAGAACAAAACTCTCCAGACTCTAGGGAGGTTGCTCTCCAGAGGCACAAAGGGCACAATAGGCAAGCTGGAAATTGGATTCCAAGAGATTTGCTTAATTTGCAACTTCAATTTATTAAGGAATGAATAGGGCAGAGATGGCCTAGGATACCATTCTCGTAAACTACTGGGGACATCATAAAGCAGTATTATTTTAGAAGGTGTCACTGCCATGTGTCCGTGTGCAGATGTGTTACAAGAGCTTTTTCTTTCCCTCTTTTCTAATATTGTAACAAGTCAAATTTAATTTATGAAATAATTTGGTACCTGCTTTTATGTTATGGAATTCATATTCCACTTATATTCTACTTACTTACAGTGATACACTCTAAAAGTTAGGAGAAAATAGTAGAGAAATATATTGTTTGTATGTTTATTTTTTATTTATTTGCAGTACTAGGGTTTGAACTTAGGGCCTCATGCTTACAAGGCAGGCGCTGTACTACTTGAGCCACTCCATCAGCCCTTTTTAGGTAGGGTCTCAAGAACTATTTTCTAGGGCTGGCCTCAAACCAAAGTCTTCCTGATTTTTGCCTCTGAGGTAGCTAGGATTGTAGGCATGAGCCCTTGGCGTCCAGTGTATGTTTTTTATTTTTGAGATATAATTAACATATGCATGCAGACCTTAAGTGTTCAGATTGATGATGGCTCTTTTTTTTTTTTTTTTTTTTTTTTTTGGTACTGGGGTTTGAACTCAGGGCCTCCCACTTGCTAGGCAGGCACTCTACCACTCGAGCCACTCTGTCAGCCCTTTTTCTGTTGGGTTTTTTCAAAATAGGGTCTCATGAACTAATCACCTGGGCTGGCTTCAAACTGAGATCCTCCTGATCTCTGCCTCCTGAGTAGCTAGGATTACAGGTGTGGGCCACTGGTGCCTGAGATAGTTTTTGTACAGCCTGTGTACAAGTCCCCCAGCAGATAACATGATTTGTAAATTTATATCCATTCTGTGGATTGTCTTTTCACTTTCTTTTCCCTGAAGCACAAAAATGTTTATTTTGCCAAGATGTGGAAGCTCACCCCTGTAATCCCTAAGTATTCATGAGGCTGAGGCAGGAGGATTAGGGGTTCAAGGATAGCTTGGGATACATAGTGAGACCATGTCTCAAAAAACCAAAAACCCAGAAATGTTTTGTCCCTCAGTCCTGGGGACTAGCAGTGTGGGATCAAGATTGGCAGGATTGTTTCCTTCTGAGGACTGAGAGACAGAATTTGTACCAGGTGCTTCTTCCTTTCTAGTGTGTTGCTGGCAATCTTTGGTGTCACTGGGTTTGTAGACATCTAGTCTCTGCCTTGCTGTTCCAGTGGTGTTCCCCTTGTGTACATATTTCTTTTTTAAAGGACACCAGTCATATTAGGTTAGGACCCATTCCTGTAACCTCATTTTCACTTGATAACGCCTGAAAACTATCCTTCAATCACATTTTGAGGTGCTGCAGGTTAGGATGTCAGGGACACAGTTCAACCCATAATTCAGGATGTTTTTGTTTTTGGCAGTTCTGGGGTTTGAACTCAGGGCCTCATACTTGCTAGGCAGACACTCTACCACTTGAGTCACTTGAGTCACTCCACCAGCCCTTTTTTGTGATGGTTTTTTTTTTGAGATAGGATCTCACCTGAACTATTTGCTAGGAGCTGGCTTCAAATCTTGATCCTCCTGATCTCTGCCTCTTGAGTAGCTAGGGTTATAGGCATGAAACACCAGAACCTGGCATAATTCAGGGTGTTGACTCTCTGAGCTCTTTCCTGTGTCAGGACCTTTGCATGTTCTGTTTGTTCTTTCTGCAATGCCCTCCTGATCCCTTTGGATGATGGGGGACTTCTCTTCCTTTTAGGTCTTAGCTTATATGTCATTTGAAAGATATTGATTGTCTTGTTGTTGCTGGGTTTCTGTAGTGTGTAGAGGATTATTATTTTTTTTTTAAGAGACAGGGTTGCTGGGTTTCTGTAGTGTGTAGAGGATTTTTTTTTTTTTTAAGAGACAGGGTTTCATTATGTAACCCAGGCTGGCCCTAAACTTCTGGGCTCAAGTGCTTCTCTCAACTCAGCCTCCTGAGTGGCTGGGGTTGCAGGTGTGCGTCACTGTACCCAGCTTAAACCATACATTCTTAAAAAGTTACAACTCCTATTAATCGACTCACTCAGGTCCAAGTGTCAGAAATCCAACATCAACTGGCATAGTGAAAAAGGGAATTGGTGAGTTCTCATAAAGGGAAGGCCAGGGGTGGAGCTGACCCTGGGGACTCTGTCCCCCATCTGTCTGTCTTGCTCACCACCCAGAGCACTGCTTTCCCTCTTTCCTCCTACCTCCCTGAGTGGGCAGGCTTTCTCCACGGGTGGAGCGCTGCGCTCTCCTCACCTAGCTCACTGACATCTTTCTCTTCAGCCTCCATGTTCAATCCCAGAACAGGACAGTTCTGGTTAGCCCAGTCTGCATCACATGTCCCTGTCTGGGACAGTTACTCTGCTCTGACCACACCTAGGTCTTGTATCACAGTCAATGCTGTGGCCTTGAGGGCACCACGATGGGGCCTGGGCTGGGGGAGCTCCCCAATGGGAGGAAGGCAGCTGCTATGAAAACAAGGGGCAGGGCAAAGCAACTGGCCTCCACTGTGAAACCATCCACTGTAAATCAGAACTCACTGGGGGTGTGGCTCTGTAGTAGGGCCCTCGCCTTGCCTGGCATGCACAATACCCTGGGTTCTTAGTAGAGTTCACTAACTGTTGTTGCAGTCTGTAAATATTTTTTTGTGCCCTATGAAGTGCCATGAACTATGAAGTAGGAACTGGGGAGAGTAAATATGATGAAGCCCAAGTCTGTACTCCCAGAGGCTTCACAATTAAACAGCAATTGGCATCATAAAATGTTCTGCTCCAGGGCATGGGAAAGGGGGCACCAAATTCTGCCTGGTTGTGGAGGTTAAGGAAAGCTGAAAAGGGGAAAGATGTGGTGGTGCCCATGTGTAATCCCAGCACTCAGAGGCGGGAAGATGGGGGAGTTCTAGGCCAGCCTGGGCTACATTGAGAGGGTGTCTCAAAAAACATTGTGTGTGTCTGTGAGAGAGAGAGAGAGAGAGAGAGAGAGAGAGAGAGAGAGAGGAGAGAGAGAGAGAGAGAGAGAGAGAGAGAGAGAGAGAGAGAGAAGAGGCAATCCAGGGCTCAGAGAGGAGGAACTGCCTGGTAGACCCAAGAGTGTCCTGGCTCCACTTGGGTCAGGCTAGGGCAGTGGGCTCCCAAAGATATCCATGGGACCCAGGACCTAGTACTGTTACCTTTGGTGGCAAAAGGGACTCTGTAGATGGAATGAGTGCGTGACCTGACCATGGCTCATCAGGGTCTCCAAATGCAATAACAGGGTCCTTTCAAGTGGGAGTAGGAGGGCAGAGTCAGAGGGAGTGCCTCAAAACACTGGACAGGGCAAGAAGCATTGCTCCGCTACAGCCTCCAGGAGGAACCAGCCAGGTCCACATAAAACCCCTTTGGGACTTCTTACCGCTGTGACTGTGCCTTAAGGCTATTATGTGGTTTTTAACCCATTGAGTTTTGGCAATTTGCTGCAATTTCCTTCCTTCCTTTTCTTTTTTCTTTGGCCCAGGCTGGGGTTTGAACTCAGGGTTTCCTTCTTGCTAGGCAGGTGCTCTACCACCTGAGCCACACTGCCAGCCCTAGATGGGTATCTGAGAGTGAGAAATTTGGTGTGGTCCTGGGAAGGACAGTGGGGACAAGGTGAGTGGACACCGGAGGCTAGGCAACCAGTGAGGCCTTGAAGAAGCTCTAGGAAAGATGGCAGCTTGGTGTTGAGTCAGTGGGAATAGAATGGTGAATAGAGAAGGGGACATTGTTTCCAAGTTCCCAAGGTTAAGATTAGTGAGCACTGTAAGGCAGGGGTGGGAGAACTGTGTCTGTGAGGGAGGAAGAAGTAGGTATGCCAGGCAACCTGGAAGTTGCCAGTGTGCATAACCCACCCTTTCTTTTTCTATGAAACAAGATCTTGCTATTGAAGACCAGGCTGGCCTCAAACTCAAGATCCTCCTGTCTCATCCTCCTGAGTACTGGTATTACAGGCATACACTACTATGTCTGGCTGTGCTAGCCCCTTGAATGGTGCTCCCAGTAGCTAAAGAAGTGAATCCCAGAGGAAAGAAACAGAATTCTTTTTATTTGTTCATTAATTATCTTAAAATACTCTAATTGACACAACAATTGTACACATTTGTGGGGTATGGTATGATAATTCAATGCGTGTATTTAACAGGCAAAGATTAAATCTGAGGAACAAACATTTCCAGACCCAGTGAGAGGGCAGAACTGCTTCTCCACCCGACACTAACTGCTGAACCTGCACGCCGCCTAGTGCTCACTTCTTACAGGCATCACGAAATAACATCCCTGCTCTACCCTACCAGGTAGGCACTGTGGTTGTCTCCATTTTCTAGATGAAACTGAGGCACAGAAAGTCGGAGTAACTTCCCTGTGTTCACACTGGTTGCCTGCATCTGCTCTACAACTTGACCCATGCTCCTAGACCTTTTTTGCTTTAGTTATTTTTCAGGGTCTCACATTTTTGCCTACTCCATCCTGGACCTTGATCTTTGCATCTATGACTCCTTAATAGCTGGTATTATAGGTGGGCTTACTGGTGCACATCACCCCACATGGCTATTTATTGAGATCAGGTTTCACTAAATTTTTGTGGGGTCTGATCCTCCAGACCTCCACCTTTGGAGTAGCTGAGAGTGTACCACCTTGCCGCTTAAAATAGTTTTGAAACCATCACACCAGCCACCAGGTTTTCCTCTCGCACCTCAATTCATAGGTTTAGGGCACATGGCTATTCCTGACCCAGGCACCAGTAAAGAGAGTGGATTATCCTACAGTCAGTTGATTCTGGGGCTGGATCTGAGCTTGGCTTCCGCTGAGGCTCAGGGTTGCGTGGGAGAAGGGGATGTCTGAATCAAATTGGGTTCAGGGAGAAAGGAAACCGGAGGCTGGCAGGGTTGCTGGAGGGAGTGCTCTAGGAGTGCTGGGGTGAGGAGCTGTAACAGGCGGGGAAGAAGCTTTCAAAGACAGAGCAGCTAAATTTAACACTCAATTCCACCCTGGCTTCCCCAGTAGTGTATTCATGAGAGGGTGAGGGGAAGGGATGAATGGGTTCTTTTCTGACTGGGAACCCTGTGTGTCCCCTCTGCCCAAGAAATTTTGCAATTTGTGTTCTCTGTAGAGACACAATAATCCTTTTTGTCACTCAGTCTTTGCAAAAAAAAAATGCTAACTATTTTACAATGAAAGTCAAGGTTATGCTAATTAAAGAAGGATCTAACGTGAAGCCAAGATAGCTTTTTTTAAAAACTGAAATCAAATGCATATAAGATAGAATTAACCATCCCAAAGTGAGCAAGTCAGTGGCAATTAGTACATTCACAGTGTCACGCACCCACTGTCAACTTCCAGGACATCTCATTCCTCATTGCTGCTCCCCAAGCACCTCAGCACCAAGTCTGCTTGGTTTGCCTCCCTGGGATGCTGCATATCAGTGAATGAAATCACACGGTATGTGACTTTTTCCACTTAGCATCATGTGTCTGAGGCTCACCGAGGCAGGTACTCTACCCTTTTGTTTACCCATCAGTGAGTGGACATTTGAGCTATTTCATCCTTTTGGCTATTCTGAATAGTGCTGCTATGAACATGTATGCACATGTATTATGTCGTGTGACCCTTTTACATCTGGGAGAGGAATGTATGTACCTACAAGTTAAATTGCTGGGTTGCATGGTAAATTCAACTTTTCCAGAAGTTGCCAAATTGTTTTGCACCAAAGCTGTACCATTTTACATTTCCACTAGCAATGAAGGAAGGTTCCAACCTCTCTGTATCCTGCTCCCCACTTGTTCTTTTCCACTGTTTTAATTATGGCCATCCCTAGGGGTTGTGCAGTAGCAGGATGGATTTTTTTATTTTTTTGGCAATACTGGAGTTTGAACTCTGGGTCTACACCTTGAGCCACTCCACCAGCCCTTTTTTGTGATTGTTTTGAGATAGGGTTTCGAACTATTTGCCTGGTCTGGCTTCGAACTGCCATCCTCCTGATCTCTGCCTCCTGAGTAGCTAGGATTACAGGCGTGAGCCACCAGCGCCCAGCTGAATTTTCATTTTTTTTCTTTTTGCCACTTCCTCCTTTTTTTTTTATTGTTTTTACATTTAATCACATGTATATACATTGTTTGCACCACCTCCCCGCCCTGAATTTTCTTTTTGATGCTGGAAAATGAGCCCCGGATTTTGGGCATGCTAAGCACATGCTCTACCACTGGGCTACAACCCTTGGACCTAGCAGGCTAGATTTGGAAAGTGCCTACTAATTACATAATTATCTATTTTGTACCAATAGGGCCCAAATCTTGCACTTGATTTGTTTTAAAAAATGCAGGGTGGGGGAAAAGCTTCTATCCTTCATGCATGCCAACCGGGCTTACTTTTGGACATAGTGAGGTTGGACATACCCTGATGTGTGCCCTGCATAAGTTAAACTCACTGAACTCTGCTTAAAAACAAAAGGCAACCAAAGAACAGTAGGAACCTATGCTGCCAGTGTTGAGTCTGGCTCCTAAACAGCTATGCGCTGGTGAAAAGAACCATGATCTCCTTGTTTCAACTGAACAAGACAGAAAAAAGAAAAAAACAGCCAGAAGCCAGCCTGACATATGTATTGTTCTTTCTTGTTTGTTTTGTGGTGCTGGGAATGGAAGCCAGGGCCTCACTTATGTTATGCAGGTGCTGTACCACTGAGCTATACCCCTGGCCCAGCCATGTATTATGCTAATTTGAACATGATTGGAGGAGTTTATGGCGTGGATCCATGTGTCTGTATCTGTATTATCTGCCTATTTCTATAAGATATAGCTTGAGATAGACACATCCTATAGGTTAGACACTAGGTAGGTAGATCCATCCATCCATCCATCCATCCATCCATCCATCCATCCATCCATCCCTTTATTTCTTTGGCTTTGTCAGCCATTACCCTTGTTCTCCATGAGTACATTTTAAACACAACACAAAGCCAGGCACCAGTGACTCACACTTGTAATCCTAACTACTCAGGAGGCAGAGATCAGGAGGATGGCAATTTGAAGCCAGCCCAGGCAAATAGTTCATGAGACCCTATTTCGAAAATACCCATCAGAGAAAGGGCTGGTGGAGTGGCTTAAGGTGAAGGCCCTGAGTTCAAGCCCCAGTACTGCAAAAAACAAAAACAAAAACACAAGCCAGGCATGGTAGCTCACAGCTATAATCCCAGCTACCAAGGAGGTGAGATGGAATTGCAGTTCGAGGTCAGTCCTGGGGAAAAAGTTAGTGAGATTCCATATCAACCAACAAGTCAGGCCTAGTGCAGTGGTGTGAACCTATAATCCCAGCTACTGGAAGGAGGATGTTATCTGAGGCTGGCTCCAGGCAAAAATGTGGGACCCTATCTAAAAAACAACTAAAGCAAAAAATGGCTGGCTCACATGGTAGAGCTCCTACCTAGCAAGTGCAGAGCCCTGAGTTCAAATTCCAGTATTGCCTAAAACAATAACACCCAAGAAGTCCAAGTGGGAGGTGCTGAATGAGCAGACCGTTGCTCTGGAGGGGTGGCATGGGTGAGGTGCAGGGAGAGCGTGACTCTGAGGCTGGGAACGGGGACTAGAAGACCCTGTAGATGGGCTGCGTCCACAACCACCGGGTACACCACAGAGAGGTCAGGCAGGGGAGGGGCCGTGAGAGTGACTGCCAGGGAGCCAGGGGCAGAGTATCTCCAGAAGAGGCTGGGGCCAACTGGGATGAAGACTGAGAGTACATCCAGCAAGAGGAAGATGGAGAAGTAGGCATGGGGTCTGCAGTGGGCAGCTCTAGAGGACTGGATGGACAAGTGCTACTCCACAGAGGGCATGGTGGGCAGCGTGAGAGCTATACAGCACATGGGGCTTGCTGGAGAGGATGAAGCAGGGGTGTCCTGTGAGCATGGTGGGCACGTGTCCAAACTTAAACAACCTTGCTCTGGAGGAGCTTGCTGCTGCACCCCGAGTGTGAAGCCTCAGGGATGAATGGACAGTCCACGAGCACCTCTTGTGTTCTCCTAGCCCCAGGGCCGTGTGACAGTGGCTTACTGTTTATTGCTACTTTTTGTTGTTGATGCTGGGCCTCAGCATGCTAAGCGAGTGCTCTCTCACTGAGCTACACCCTGACACTGTTGCTCATTTGTGTGTGTGTGTGTGTGTGTGTGGTTCTTTTGTAGTGGTACTGGGGTCTGAACTTGAGTCATGTTTCCAGCCCTCTATGTTTTTGATTAAAAAAAAAAATTCCGGGCACGGTATTAAGGGAGGCTGAAGTAGAGGACCACTTGAGCCCAGGAGTTCAAGATCAGCCTGGATAATATAGCAAGACCTCACCTCAAAGGGAAAAAAAGCAAGTAATAGCTGGAGGGCTGGGGTGGGAGAAATGGATTCCAAAAGCAGATCAGAACACGTTAGCAGATGATGAATAAGTTTATGCCTTGGTTGTGGTGATGTTTTCAGATGTGTAAATGTCAGAATGTATCATGCTACGCGTGTTAAATATGGTTATGCTGTTTGCTTTTGACGGTACTGGGGACTGAACTCAAAGCCTGCTGCTTACTAGGCAGGCACTCTACTATTTGAGCCACTCTGTCAGCCCTTATGCATGTTTACTACAAGCAGTCTGTTGTATACCAGGTATACCTCACAAAAGTGGCAAAAAAGTATACTTAAATAATTCTGACAGTTTCAAAGGTGCCCAGCAAGTAAACCATAGGTCTCTCTCCTTTTTAATAATCTCCAGTCCTCCTTCTCAGGGAGCAGTTGCTCAGCCTCTTGTTTCTGTCCAGAGGCACCCAGGAGCATCTGGTTATGTGTTAATTCCTTCCTGCTCTTTAAAATCCTAAATGTGGGCAGTGGGTGAACTCAGGGGTAGAGCACTTGCCTAGCATGTGTGAGTCTCTGCCCTGGGTTCTACCCCAGCACTGTTAAATGAATAAATAAGTAACAAAGCCCCCAAATGCTGGTACTGATTTTGCAGCTTGGCTTTGCTCTGGCCCTGCCCTCTTCATCTGTACAGAGCTGCTTTTAGACTTGCAGCATCTGCTCTGGTTCTGCCTCTTGCCATCCTGCCCTGCTCCTACCATCCGCCCTTGATGACATTGAGGAGGTTGGGGGCTTTGACTCTTCCAGTGCTATAGGGAATAGCCTGGCCAATGCCTTTGTGTCTCTCGGTGTGCAAGGTTTCCAGATCTGAGATTCTATGTCTCTGTTCAAACCCAGGCTGTTTCCTTGAGCAAATTGCTCAGTTTTCTCCTCTGAACTACTGGGGAATAGTAGGTTGTGATATGCATAGAAAGGAATATTATTTAGCCTTAAAAGATAGGAAATTCTGTCACATGCTACAGAGTAGATGAAGTTTGAGGATATCATGCTAAGTGCATACTGCATGATTCCACCTTTGTTAAGTTTCTCAGCTTATCAAATTCAGAGTCAGAAAATAGAGTGATGGTTATGAGGGCTCACAGGGA